AAAAAGCGATCTTTGCAATGATAAACACTACTTGGGTAGTAGTGAAAATAAGGCTATAAGTTTATTGCTGCGAAGATCGCTTTCACATTCACGTCTTTATTCGCAGTTCAAATTTTTGACTTTCATATATTCTCAGTCGTTTATTCATTACTTTACGGGTTATTTGGAACCAACATAATGATCAGCTCCCAGTTGGCTTGTTAGCTCAGTTGGTTGAGCACTGCCACGGTATCGCAGAAGTCATGGGTTCAAATCCCGTACCGGCCTGAATTATTTCGGGCCTTATTTTCACTGCTACTCTAGTGGTGTTCATTCCTGCGAAGATCGCTTTCATATTCACATCTTTATCCGCAATTCAAATATATGACTTTCATATATTCACAGTCGTTAAATGCAGGATAACTCGTTAATCTTAGTTTTGATTCTGTGGACAGAATTCCTTTATGATACCATTCAAACAAAGGGTAAATTTTGATAAGGCACAAACTGCTGAGAAATTTGATGTTTGTCAAGTGACTTTAACAAACACCTGCAACAATAAAAAATGACTCGGAATTTTGTTTGTATCAGTGTATCCACAGAGATCTCGCAGCAAGGAATGTTTTACTGGGGAAGGACTACGTCGCTAAGGTTTCCGATTATGGTATGGCACGTGATGTGTATGAACAGCTGATGTACAAGAAAGAAACTCAGGTAATTTACGTGTTAAAAGTGCAAGGAGTATATAGATTTAAAAGTATTATCATTTTTGTGGTTCTCAGATCTGATTCGTACTCCCTCCATACAGCTGATCTCCATGCTCTTGTGCACTAAATTATGAAAGTTTGGTGTTCAAAATATCTATTTAAATGGAAGAATTGGAATTTACCGGTAGATATTCCATGAGGTGGCTCTTTTTGTCCACTCTTTACAGCTCCAATTGGAATTTGAAAAGTTGGTTTTTGTGAGGGGGGGGGGGGGAACTGGATGACCCAGAGAAAAACACTCGGAAAGAGGACATAATAATAATAATAACATAAAATAAAACTCAACCATTATATGACGCAGAGTTCAAGAGCACCTTCAGCACTACGTTATCTCTTCTTCCCAAAAATGTCTTATATGGCACAATCGGATGAAATCATCCGACAACCCAAGGCCAACCTAAACGCGGTCATTCTGTCGAAGAATTTTAAACTCATGTAATACATAATTCTTTTGTTTGCTTCTTTCAGGGCAAACTTCCGGTTAAATGGATGGCTATCGAGTCCTTGGAGACATACACTTTCACGATGGAATCTGACGTGTAAGTCACTTTAAATGGCCTAGGTATGAGGCTAAAATCCTGACTGAATGCTCAGCTACCAATGTGAGCCCCAAAATTTCGTAATTTTCCTTGACAGTTCATCAGCACCATTTATACATTTAGCCAGAGGGAGAGACGTCGTGAGTTTAGGACGAACTAAGATATTTAAAAAAGAACAAAATATCTCGCTAATTCCAAATACTAATTTTTCCTTAAATCTATTTTTAATGAGCAAAATATTAATTCTTATTTTCTGGACCCTTTTTAATCTTTAATTTTTTTTTGTTCAAACGCAGGTGGTCTTACGGAGTACTGCTTTGGGAAATAGAATCAGGAGGTAAGTCCTGTTTCCATCTAGTACTGCATCTGATGCAAAAAAAAAATTTATTGCTGTTGAGTTTAAACTGAGTCTGAGCGAGTCAGTTGCAGTTTCATTTATCATTCAACATTGTGATGCATTTTCTGAAGAGAATTCACAACGTTCAATCTCATTTTTAAAATTACTTTCTGTCAGAAGTTTGCGTTGAATGCATACCTGTTTTGCAAAAGGAAAAGAAGTCTGCTGCGTGACAGTTTTTTCGTGTATGAACCTAAGTTGATGATGGGTAGATTGACGTTCATAGTCAGTTTTGAAACGGCGAAGTTTCGAGCAGAAGGTGGTAAGATTCTGCGTATTAGTCAGAGTAGAAATCTTGGCGTTATGTGTCTTAAAAACGATATCTAGGACGGCTAATGTAACTAAGATATATTCCCTGCTTTTAGGGTTGAAACCTTACCCTGGCCTTAGTACCGCGGAACTGATACAGGAGCTAAAGAGGGGATACAGATTGGGGAAACCTTACGGATGCTCGGAAGAAATGTTAGATATTCTTAATTGTTTTTAAAGGCTTGCCATAATTTTCACTTCGCGTTGAATATTTAAACATATGCTACACCGAGTCCTCAAAAAAAGTTAATATAGAAAAAACATCGTTCCACTCGGTTTGACAAATCGACAGTGGTGCAGAATGGTTTGGACTGTTACCGACAACAATATTCGTCATCAGAGTGGTCCACAACATTTCGATGACGGATATCGCGGTCGATAAGAGTACCGACCTCGCTAAACTTGTTGACTTGTTTTTACCACAACGATATGGGAAACGATATGGACAGTGCTTAAATGAGATTGAACTAAGCCTTCAGTTATCTCAGTATGCAGTCCATATTTAACAAATTTAGCCAAAGCAAACAAATAGTGGAAATTTCTATCTCATCCCTTCAGGGCCTGATATAGTTATTGATTTCTTAATGTTTATGGAATGACAACAACATTTCCAAATTACCAAAATTAAAAAATTATGAGTTCTTAAGTAAACGCAGCTTTATGTAACCATTTTTTTTTGTTTTTTTTTTAGGTACCGGACCATGGGAGATTGTTGGAATCCAAATCCTAGCGCAAGACCAAATTTTGACCAGCTGATTGTCCGTCTCGAGAGCACAATCATGACTTAGTTTACATTAAATTACATTAACAGCGGCAACAGCAACAACAATAAAAACAAAAGAACTATAAGCAAACAAGGAATTTTGTTACCGTTTCCCCACACGTGTCAAATGGTATCAAAATTGTAACAGAGACAAAATTGCCGCTTTAAGAAAACAACGCTTACTTAAAGGGACTCTCCTATTTCACTATGATGTTCTTTTACTATAATGTTAAAGGGGATGATATTTAACTACTTTTGTTTTTTTGTATCAATACTATAATCGCATAGAAAAGGTGAAGCAACAGAAAAAAGCAACTGATAAACATCATAACTACAACTAATAATCAGTTTGTTAGAGCATCGCACAAATGCTCATTGTACTTGGGATATTTGTTATAAGGGAGGAGGGGGAGGGGGGAACCATTCTTGCCTCATTATAAAACTGAGTTAGCCGAGCAGTGTTACAGTTTGGAAATAAGGTAGAACCCGCTAACGGGAAACAAAAACTTGTTCGAGTTAACGGAAGTTCGAGTCAGTGGGGTTCCGTCGTCTTCTACTCTTGCATAAGCTTTTATATGGTTCTAGTAAATATGCTGTTTTATTGTTATATTAGCAGAATGTTCATGAGAGCAGGTCTGTAAGGTGTGAATTACACTGATAATATTCAGAAGCTCATAAGGTGACACCTAATAAATTCTGGTACTTTTAAAAATTATATGCTTGTTGTAGACTTGGAGTGACGTTCATTTTGCAAAGAAGAATGAAAAAGAGACGTTTGGCAATCGGAAAACAGAAAATGAAAAAGGGACAAATATTAGCACACGCTAGTTGATTTTTAGAAGTTTTTGAATTGGATCAGCTCACGCCGAAGAAAGGTCGGAAACAACAGAAAAAACGTTTGCGACTTTTATTACACTCTCACTTGGTTCTGAATGTAACTTTTCATACAGCAATTATTATCCTTTGTTTCCTAAATACTTTTGTTTTTTTTTTCATATATTCTTTCTTTTTTCATCGATCCATGTCTCGTCCCATTTCACCCATGTCTGCACGTTTGCTGGAGTCCAAGTAAAAACTTTCGCGGGTTTTGCCAATGTAATAAACCATAATTGCTTAAAAGAAAGAGAAAAACTAACAACTTATATATTAAATGGCGACAGAGATCGAAAATTTACCATTGCAAAAAATCTGATGGAAAGAAAATGTTGGAAATAACAAGTCGTGATTTGAAATCAATGCATTTCCGAATATCGGAGTCTGAATTTGACCACATGTACTGAGGTTGGAATAACCATGGATTTCAACGTAAACTCGCCAACCATGTTAACATAGATTAATGTTTTCGATTTTAGAATGACTTTTTATCGGCCGATAGTCACTCAGATAGATGAAATCAGTCAGTGATGTTTTTTCAAGTACTGCCAAAAAAATTAATTCGGTAAAATAGTATCTAATGCATCTTACTCTCCTCAATGTTTTGGAGAAGATGGTCTTTACTGCTAACGGTAAACCTATTTCTGTTACAGTTAGCGGAAATGTTAAATAATGAATTAATTTTAATTTTTCTAAAACATGTTCAATCGCTTGCTTTTAATATTGAAGTCAAGCAACGAGGGTAATTTCCGATAGAGTTACCGATGGGTCGATATAGAGTAACTTTCTTTTCTTTTTCCCGCATGTGCCACAAGCAAGACAAGACACATGACAGTCTAAGATTATGAAACTTTCAAATCAACACTGATTATTAAAAAAAAAAATTATGGTTCAATTTTTTGACGACGAATAGTTAAAAGCTTGTCAGTTTTTACGTTTAGCGGCTAATTTTTTGTGCCACTTTACGGCTAACGGTTAACTTAATTGAGACCCTCGGATAAAGGTCCACTAAATCATCGCGTGAGGTATGATCCGAGTTCATGACATGTATATCTGCTATACAACTATGTTTTGAATATTCCATCTTTTGTTCTTTTGTTCAGAATACTGAGTGTCGATACAGAACGTAAAAAAGTTTGAAACTGTCGAAAGGATCCAAATGACCTTAGACGATCAGTGACCGTCTTTTTTTTTTCCAGATAAATGATGTTATTTGAAAACCTAAAATTTCCAAATAACCAGAGATGTTTTTGAACGTTGCTAGCTAAGATTTATGTTAAGGAATAGGTTTGCAAGTGAAGTGGACTATGAAATGAGCACAGGAAAACACGTAATTTACTATTCAACATTTTTTCTAGATTGGTCAACATATAACAAAAGCTGTGATCATTTTTGTAATATCAGTCGTTCTTAGAAGATTTTTGCTGCTTCTCTCGAGTCTTTGAGTATTTACTCAGCCTTGTGAGATCACCACAACACGGTATTCCGATGAAGAGTTTGGTAAGATATCCACAAGCGATATTTTTGACGTATATTATTGCCTTTGGTTTGTGTATCGATGTTGTTCGCTCCTGTAATTGTGATGTTGGTAAGTTTACTGCTGTTAGTTATTTACCATAGAATACTTCTTTTCTTTTAGGAATCATGTTTTATCACGACTTTCCTGGTAGTTCCGTGGCAGTTTAACAATTCTTAGCTAGTTAATTACGTTATTCAACTCTAGTTTTTCACCTAGCTTAACCTGAACTTAACGCATTCAAACGCTTGAGCGATGCTCGGGTGAACACACGAACTTTCAAGTACATGTTAAAATAATAGTTTCTAGATATATTCATGATCCACCGTTTATTTCTGATAAACACTAAACATCTTTGTCGATTCAAGTTTGTTCATCCTAATTTTTGTGATATTAAGTGATAGATTCGTCTAAATGATTTCATTTCAATGGCATTTCGCGTTGTTATGCGTTTGTGATTAATTGAAGGCACATGCATATTTCTTCACGGACACTTACCACAATGTTCTGCAAAACTGAAATGTAATGTTTATAGTACACTGATCACCAACCAGAACATTTCTAATTGTTTTTTTTTTCTGTTATTTCACATACCCCTGTGCCTAGCTTTGCTCTGTCACGTTAATAAAATAAAAATATTTTCTTGGTATATTCACGAAAACATTAGAACAAAACCAAATAACAAATCGAAACCCTCTTTTCTTTGGTTTATGTCACCTAACCGAATAAGCTAAGATACTAAACGAAGAGTAGGGTGAGCTTAGCTTTTTGAGACCAAAAAACAAATATATCGAAAAAGAAAAAGACAACAAAACAAAACAAAACAAAAGCAAACTAACAAAATTTCGAGCATAAATTTCTAGAGCGTTCACAAGAGAGAGAGAAAGTTACTGATACAACGATTCTTCCCCTACAGCCAAGCTAAAGGAATTAGGAGTAGAGGATGGCCATATCCCGGATCAGGCCATGACTGCATCTTCTACTCTTGATGCCAGTCATGGGCCAGGTCGAGGCAGACTCAATCAGGGCCCAACTGGTTCCCAGGGCACCGCCTGGTGCGCTCAGGAATCAAACACTGATCAGTATTTACAGGTGGATCTCGGTGAGTAAAAATCTAAAGCGAGCTGAAAGGAGCTGGGTCAGAGACAGAGTATCTGCAAAAACTTGAGCATCAGTTCGCTGCCAATTTTTTTTTTTTTATGTGAAATATGGCCTCCATCCCTAAACATCTCTGTTGCCTGAAAAGGGCCAGGATATTTAAAAGGAGGTAATGCAGATGGATTTACTTTAGGTTCCACTTTCTTAAATTTTTAAAGTTATGTGATCACAAACGATACTTTATACGCACTAGCACCCTGGAGACATGATGGAAGATTACGAGGAGCAAAATTTTTGAGAATTATCTGATAACCAAGAGGCAGACAGAAAAATCGATCAATCGAAGGACAAAGACTCTGCCTTGGAGTAATTATGGTCATCTCCACAGCTATGGCGAGCATGGAGTCAAATATCTAGTTGTTCGAAGGCCGATTAGTGCTAAACCAAGGTTGAATTTTAATCTGGGTTTCTTTATTCCTTTATTCAAATGTCTTTTTGGAATAATGCCCTGTGTTCTTTTTAGGGCATCAAAGAGTCATGTTATAGACAGAAAGAATTCGGCCGAATTTTATTTTAAAGCTATCAGATCTGAAATCAGATTTCACACTAGCCCTGGGTTATCCTAACCCAGCTTTGAACAACCCGGCTCAGGTTTCTTAGTTTCTCTATTCTAGAGCCCTTTTCAGAAGATTTTTTTCCTTCCTTTTTAGAGCATCCAGAAATAAAACTGTAGACAAAGAGAACTTAACTGAATTTTTTAAAGCTTTCAGATCTGTAATCAAATTTCACACTGAGCCTGGGTTATCCCAAACAAGCTCTGAACAACCCAGCCCTGAGTGTTTGTCTTTCCTCACAAACTTATCGTAGTGTCTGTGTTTACTTAACCCTTTAACTCCCAAGATCTCTTTAGTAATTGTCCTTACTGTCTGCCATACGATTCTCATTATGTTAGTTTGGAGAATTTGATATTGGATCAGCTAATAATTAATAGTTTACTTTATTCTCATTACTTGTATTGATATTGTAAGGAGAAACTCTGTCTTGGTCACTTATGGGAGTTTAAGGGTTAATTTAATTATAAACTGAGAAAAGTACTGTGCTTCTGTTCAGCAGTATGGATCAGCTAAAGAAGTCACGTGACCTCCCTAAAACCGAAGAATTTATGTGTACCAATGAATAGATTGATTATTGACGGCGTAAATAATGGATGGTTTGATAAATTAATAAACTAATAAATCCATCTCCCGATTGATGGATGGATTGAGTAACATTCATAGAGCATAATCATGAGGCTGATTGATTAGAATTGCAATAGGACTAAGTGGCTTCCAGTTCGATCTGTAATCACAAGAGTGATAACAAACTCGGATGACCGCGCAGCGACATGACAACCTGTTACCAATTAATAAAAAAATTACAACAATGAAATTGTATTTTTGTTATAATTAATACTAGGACATCACCCTTTATTTCAGCATATACGTCAAAAGTTACTCATATCGCGACCCAAGGATTGAACGATCCTTCTAAGGTTGTTAATGGCCCTAACATCACCAGCTGGGTTAAAGAGTATACACTGCAGTATAGCTCTGATGGTGAAACTTACAACGGGTATTATTTCGATAAAAAATTAAAGGTAAGAGACACATAAATAAGAGAATATATTTTTTGCTGATCAAGAGCGTGGGAAAAAAATTTTTGAGAAATCTGAGAAGAGGAATCGAGCCTCAGACTTTCCGATTCGACTCTCTGGTGTTTTACCGCTAAGTCACGGAGACTCTATGGTGAAGAAAGCCATTACGAAGTTTATGTATGGCACACGTTTTGCATACCACTAGGATCAGTAATGACGATAGAGTCATTTTTGAAAATAAAATAAGAAAGATGCTAAAGTTTGGGCTCGGTGAAGAAATAAAGAAATAAAGAAATAAATATTTTTTCACCACCAATGTCAAATTTTATCATCATTCCGGCTTTATTCTATTTACAAACATGAAACGTTTGGAGGTTTAATAAGTGCTTTACCACATATTTCAAACTTTTACTGTAGAGAAATTAGAACTCAATATTCTCCGATAAAATCCGAGGAGATTTTCTTTACCACGATAGTCAACTTTTTCCATATAAGTTTTGCTAAATGATTAATCCATTTGATAGTCAAATGATAAGGATAGCATATAAAATTGGTTCTTTTTCTTGTTGGTACAGATATTTGATGGGAACAAAGACGCCGGGTCTGTATCCTGCTGTGAGCTTCCGTACCCTTTAATTGTGAGATATATTCGGTTCAAACCTGTGTCGTGGGAGAAAAAGATATGCTTGAGAGTCGGTGTCTTTGGCAAAGGGAACGTAACAGGTACATACTTTTAATTATTGACTTTGTTGATATTATAATAGCTGCAATCATAGATAAACTACGGAAGAGGAAGAGAATGTGTAATTTCTTTAGAAGTTTTGTAACTGGTTTTTTTTCAAAGTTCATTTTGGATGGAATCCTTCAATATATTTCCAACATCTTGCTGGACGTCTAACTGAAGAAATTCATTACTAAAGAAGTGAGAAGTTAATTGCGATCGAAGAGGCTTACATTTGATTTCGCAGGAGCTAGGTAGAGTGACAACCACTGTGTGCGACTCAAAGAAGATCTTGAACTGTCGATCTTGGCTTACTATTGGTGATAGGACCGAGTGGAGTCTAATTCGGTCTGTTGTTACACTTTCCAATGATAAGCTTGACGCGCACACTGTCCTATTGGTGCTCAAATCGGGCTGGTGATAACCAATCGCCTTCGAGAATTTTGTTATAGATTTGATTACGAGGAAAATCATATAAAGTAATAAAGTTATACAAGAAGTTACACGTCCGGACAGATTTGCGTAAAATATTGGCTAATAGAACTTATCTATTTACTTTCCAGCGCACACCATAATCACAAAAAGTGAAATTGCGATTCGACACTATTGGTGGTGTAAGTAGCCATCATATTACTTATGGCACGAGAGAGAACAGTTCATTGTTTTTTTGTAACAATGAGATAACGATGAGAATTCTCAACTTTAAATAATTTTTTTTCTACCTTTTTTTCTAGGGCCTTTCCTCTGGGTTTTAATAATCATGCTATTTTTCCTTATCTTCCTGGCTTGCTTTTTCTATCGTCGAATCCGGAAACAGTACGTATTATCAATGCTTCCGAATGCTTGAAGGAATGTTTGACTGTTTAATTTATGGCTTTACCTACCTTACCTTAGTAACGGTTAAAACTGAGTTAAGAATAGTTTTTGTATATCCTCTTCGATTGAGGTCAGTAAATTATATAAAATTTTAGGTTATATTGCCATTTTATTAGAAATTATCTTTGTACTTAGTTTTGATGATATATTTATGTAAATATTTAATTGCATCATTGTTATGTATAACTCAGCCGCGGGACTGCAAAGTCTTATAATAAAATACCTATCTATACCTATCATCTTAATTTCTTTCATTAACACAGACCAGCTCTAAAACCAAGGCCAACTAGAACGGAAAAGAATCCATCTCTCTACACAAATCCATTTTCCCCACGGTCAAAGTCACAGAAAAACGGTACGTTGACCATTGAAATGGCAGACATCATGGAGACACAGGAGGATGGCGCTTATGAAGAGGCTGAGGACGAAGTACAAGAGGTAAGAGCCCACACAAAAGCAGATGTACCTTGAGTATTAGGACCCTTGCCGTTACTCGAAGACAAATTTGACCCAGGAGTGACTAGGCAGATCATAGCTGGCCAGACATGGCTACACGTGGCTAAAGAGATTCATTAACCAAAACATTTTCTGGCATTTTATGTTTTCGAGAGCTTTTCATGATTCTTCGTACTTCCTCTGATACGAAATTCTAACATCAACCGGAAATCGGCGCTTTTTCCACCTGTCTTGTGTTCTCTCAATTATACTCTCAATTATACCTCGAGGATCACCGTAGAAATGAACTAAATTGTATGCTTCATCATTAAAGAAATAAAGGAAATGCCATTCCATGATTTTTGCAGAAGGATTTGTATATAAAACTTCTTGAATGTTTTCATGGGTTTTCAGGTTGTGGCCCACTTCACAGACGATGGGTTTGACAATAAACATGGCGTCACTCACTTTTCAGTGAATGACGAGGATGAAGCGGAATTACCGCCGATCATTCAAGACCAGGCGAAAAACGATCCAAGCCGAGGAGCCTCACTGAGCTCTCAGAACCAGCCAATCAGGGGGGCTTCAGTCAGTTCACAGAATCGCCGCAACACCGCGCAATCCCAACATCTGTACGAAGCCATTGAATAGAAAATGGGTCACCTGATCTCATGAAAATTTTTCATGCCACCTTATTATAATTCAGAGACCATTTCAGCATAAAAAGCGATGCAAGATGCTAAAAATAACCAATGATAAAGAAAAATATCTGCAAGAGTTTTTTTAGAATTTAATCAATCAGTCAAGTGAATTGTTGTTGAAATAAAATCAGAAAAAAAGCTTTCTTACGTTGCTACGGTCGGGTCAGATGTCAAAGTACGACCATAAGGTATCAAAATGAACTAATATTTTCAACTTTCTATGGAACCTAGCTAGATAATTAAAATACGGGGTCTCTAATAGAGTGTAAAGCATGCTTAGACAATTTTATTGCTTTTCTTTGAACTGACCTTGAGGAAAACCCTTCTAAATGTTGTCGAAATGCAGAAAAAACTTAAAAAAATATGAAGCCGAGTTCATGGCTCGACCCGAAGGCATTCGGGCTAAAAATAAAGTAATATTTGAAATTCCCACTGTAGAATAGATCCGTAAAATTGTAGAGAATTCGGAAGGAGAAAGAGATTACAACTGGCCGGAGGAGGGGTAGAGGAGTTTTGAATATTCTCCAGACGACAACTAATCGCCGCAAAGTTGTTAATTTACAGGAATGCTACCAAGAGAGACTGTAATTGATCGGTGTTTAAGTAAAATAATGAGCTACGAGTCGCTGTGTGTTAGAAATAGAAGAAGAATATACTTGACAGTGAATAAGATTTTATCACGCCAATCAACTATCTGAAATATAGCGTGAACTATTGAGAGGGAGAGGTGCTACGTTCATGGCTAGTTTGTCTTTAGGAGTCGCTCTCGAAAGCTTATCAAGTAATCCAGCAAATAGCGTTTCTGAGTGTCCACAGCATACTCCAGGACGTGCTCTGAAAGACACAGGTCTAGAGCACCAATATCAGAGCATATTCGTGAAGAGTTTGAGCTGCCACCGAATGTCCACGTTTTGGGGCGTACTCTGTACGTTCCGTCGATCAAACTATAATGGCTAGCTAATTAAAACCACCTTTATCTAAAACAGATTAAAACGACGATACGAAGTGTCCACGTTTTAAAGCCAAATATGAACGGGAAATACATTCATGTATGGTTCCAAAAGCTCAGAGCAACCTTTACCGAAGCGCATTTTCATAAAAGAAAGCGTTAAAACGTTACGGCCCAATCAGTTCTCACTAGTAGTTTATTTCAGATGAAAGGAAGAATTATAAAAGATGTGTTTATTCATTAGAGTTATGATAGTGCGGATAATTGCAAAAAAACATCAATTGTGCGGTCAAGCTATCAAGTGAAGATGGCGGTATTTCGACTGCTACATTTGTACTAGTCGTTAGTCTTTATCAGGAAGTACTAAAGTTATACTTTATGTGCGACTTTATCGGTGAATGCCTGTAAAAATACCAACATACGTTTCAGTAAATGAGAACTCTTTGGCATTCCGGGTGTAAAGTGTAGTTAGGTCGTATTTTATTTGAACAAAGTTTGCTATTGCCTTTTTTGAACAAAACTACGTTGTAATCCATCTTAAATTAAGCCAAAACAATTTATATGAACATTTGTTCTTGAGTAAAGTCAAGAGGGCCGAAAGCTACGACTGGAAAGAATATTTATTTAATAAAATCAACTTTTTTTTTATAGAGAAAACCTGATGGTGTGTATGTGTGTGTTTTTTTAAGACTTGTTAACCTTCAAAAAAAAAGGAGAAATGATCAAAGTTAACTCATACTGCAAAGTTTCACATATTTTATCCACACACGAGTCACGTAGCACATGGGAGAAGCTAAGTACTCGTTAAAGCAAATTGAAAATAAATGAAGGAATTTCTAGAATGGTCGTAAGCCTGCACAAATGATATGGAACATTCAAGCTTACTCTACTTTGTAGCTAATATAAAGGACATGAACACTTTTACTTAGCCCTCGTAAATCATGTAAAACACCTAAGCTGGTTTTGGCTAATTTACTAGAAATGCACACCTTTCGTAAGACTGAAAATCTGTGATCACTTAGAACACAAAACTTTGTTCATCTGATTGAAATACGTAAAAAATTTTCCTTGCACTAAAATTTTCCAAACTTATACGGTTAATATTGTATGGAGTTTTATTTGGAAGAAAGGTTATGACAAAAGAATACAATAGATGTTGGGCAAGAAAAACTAAAACGAGTGCCACTTGATTATACAACAACTAAGTTATTTTAAGTCTTTTAACACCTCATTAAGACCTTTGTGAAGAATTCATTGTTGCCTGAATTCTTTATGCTAAACAAAATACAAAATATTTATGCAATGAAAACAGCTTTTTGACTATTTTTCTTACAATTTTCCAAACGTTTTACAAAGCTTTTTAGCACTCTCTTAATATGACATTAACTCTTTAAACATTTTTCTCGTAAAGTGTCTCGCTATAAAAAACCCTTAATGTGATACAGTGTATATCTTCGATAAGAATCATTTTAAATGGTAGACATTCTAGAGCACGCTTCCACAATTATTTCATTTTGCAATACTTTGACGATCTAAACATAGAGAATTATTTCTAATGAGAATTAAATCATGACGACACCATTTTTCAGGTTGAGTTGAAACAGGTCAAACGCGTGATCACCAGTTAACAGCTATGCGAAGAAAGTAAAACAACTCAAGAGTCTTTTGGTTTTTGAAAGAAAAAGTAAACTCATTAATTAGATTTAATTAGTTTAGAGTGAGAGAAAGGCGGATACCTTTTCCCAAAGTACTGGCCTCGTGTTGTAACGATGTCTATTTCGATAAGAAGTTCATCCATTTTAAATCTGGAGTTTAATCAGGACAAAGGCATCATTTTTTGCGGACTTTAAAGTATAATATCACTATTATCTACGTTAAGTTACCAAAGGAAACTGCAAGACTTTAAAATTGACACATTCCCCTCCTTCTTGTTCAATATATCATGGTATTCTTCATAATAAAATATCCAAGAATATTCTCGCTTCCATGTTAATATACACATTGCCCTTACATTGTCGATCTTAAAGATATAGTTTTTTGTTTACGTTTATGCTATTCTTAAGGGAATGAAAGGTGTTTTATCGGACAACTGGAAAAAGTTAGAGATTTCTGTAATCGCTGTTTGCTCTGTTTAATAAATCTAGTTTATTTGTTTCAATTTTCCTTGCAGCAAATCAATTTGATAAATCTGTAATGCACGATTAGAATTTACCGTTTTGTTTTAAATGGCGTTTCTCAGTCGGTTCTTAGATATTGTGCGAAGTGTGGATCAAAAGTTCCAAAGTTCATTTGGTTATATTGTAACCCACATTTACATTTATGACAATAAGGAATGAAAATAATGATCTGTTACATTACGGCAAGTTTGACACCGACGGCCTCTCTATCTTCTAATTTTTTGCATTGTACAACATGTTAAAAAGTCATTGATTTAAGGACTTGTCGGTTTTATGTCTTTTGTAAGGAACAGTTTTATTCTGCCATGACAAATCATTTTGTTAAGAATGATACTCTCCTCTCTCGTGAAGGAAATTCGAATCACTGAGGGCCTTGAGTTTATAGTTCTGCATATAAGTATATCTGCTTGGTCCTGCATATGCCATCGTCTTGAGATCTCTTCATAATGACAACTTTCCTCTAGCAAGTGCTAAGAATGGAAAGATTTTGCTTTCTTAAAAAAACGAACATGCCTCCTTTAAAAGTGAGACATTTCGAGGAAAAAGTTGTCTTTGAAATAATAGGAGCTTTTTTGGGAAATTATTCTCATACAAATTGGAATTCTTCAGTTAAGTACCAGCCATCATTTCTTATTTGACTAGTAACTAAAGTAGCTAAAGAAAAGTTTGGCTTCGTTTGCTAACTGTCCAGAAGGGTTTCCTACAAAGTTCGGAGTTACTAAAAAAAACTGTCTGTGAAGGACGTTCCGACATCAATATAATCGATATAGTGCTTGTGTCTCCGAAATGAATTAGCATTTCTTAAATACTGCGTAATAAAATGTTTGTACAACGTAACAAAGCAAATGAGTTCCTTGCTGGAATTCATCCGCGGGGATGCGCCCGAATAGTCCTAGCACAATATTGTTTCAAAGAACCATTTTCTAAACCGGCGATATTAAAATTTTGAGGAGTGAGGAAAAGTGAACCTCACAGTAAAAAAGTATACGTCCAAATAATGATAGTCTATTTCACTTAGAAATGTCCATAAATTTTCTGAAACCCTAGTATTTTCTTATTATCCAGGACACCTAAAAGAAAAAAGATCACCGAAGATACTCTAATATTTGTGAAAGCGTACCCGACAAACAAATGTACAATTCTTTCCATTCGTTTTCATAATTACATCTCTTCATGCCAAAATAACACTTTTTTAGAAAATTTTTTTGCAAGATTACAAGATGAATTTTGGCTGAATGGCTGTATGTTTTGAAGATTCCAACGAATCTTTTCTTTTTTCGTCAAAAGGAATCGAACGGAAAGAAGAAAGAACGCAAATTCACGATCTATTTTCGACAAATATCTGGATTATCTTGCTAATGAAGACCGAAAGAAAATACTGATAAAATCTGCACTGTCACTGAACAAGTTTAATCACCCTGCTTACGCAGACGCTGTAAAAACGTCCCGGCGGAACTCTTGTCAAAAGTGGTTTTGAGAGAAATTTATTTGAACAAGGGTTACGGTTCGGTTGGTATTGTTTATGCGATAGATACGAGACTTTTTTTTATATCAAAAGAGCCTAGGAACGAATTTTGGCGTCCATTCAATGCAAAGAATAGAAAAAACTTGGAAAGAAAGACGTGAATCATTTTCCGGAAATAGCTTCTAGTAATCATCAACAATGCTACAATTGTTATTTTGACTAAAATTGATTGAATTAGAGACGATCAATAAATATACACCCATGGGGAAATCGGCATAAAAGAAACCATTATCATTATTAAAGAATGAACCTTGGTTGCTCCGAAAGATGCATATTTCGTTAGTTAACTTAATTTTACACAATTCTAGGAATACTATGTAGCATCACAATTTTACAAAACCAGTTTAAATGAACTTCAGTCGTTGGCGTATTGTTCAAAACCTATGTAGATAGGAAATCGCATTTTAGTACACATTTACTAAAAAAATTGTAGCCAAATATCGATTATTTCTTTTATATTCGCCCTTGTATCGGGTAAAAGCAATATCTTCATTACAGATCAAACCACTTGCCCCCCAAACGAATCAGTGACAAGTGGTAATTGCAGCCCAAGGCCACTGCGGTAAGGTCGCCACTCATGAGTCTGCATTTTGATGCACTTATACGGAAAATACTCTACACTAAATCATACCGACTTTTTCGTTATCATCGATAAGATACCCATCTAGGGTAACGGACAAGAAATTTAAAAAATCGTCAAATAATTCGAAAACCTGAGCGTCCTAGGAAAAAAAAGAACCTTTCTTTTAATTTTTCAATGAAAAGGTGAAGTAAACGAGAACTATGGGTTGGTACAACTCAGCATAAAACTCGGAAGTTCTACAATTTCCCTTTGATTTGTTATATTTATTCCTCTATCGATATATTTTAGAGTGATAAAAGCTGAAGAGGCATAAATTCTATTATAGTCAGCCAACCGTGAAGTGTTCCTATCGCAGTCAAGAACGTTCTGTTTCAAGAGGTTCTCACGGTTTGTCGTCAACCTCAACAAAACCCGATTTGTTACACAAAGACGGTTTGAGACTTAAGATTTACGCCATTACATTGCAATGAAAGCTAGTAAATCTCAACAAAGGGTTAAAATTTCTTCCCACGAGAACACGGTGTCTAATATTGGCCTCAATCACTTTCAGTTCACGCAAATGATTTCTTGTATGGAGTTCACTAAGGCACGCGCCACAGAAACTTATATCTCTTCAGTTTCACCGCAGCAAAATATACGTTATATAATTTACGTTCTAAAATCTCACATATGTACGCCCTGTGTATTCTCTCTGACGCTTGCCTTTGCGGGAATCAATAATTTAATTGAGGGTATTGTGTAAAACTCTCGTCAATTATCTTTAAACGACTAAAGTTGAATAGACAAGAAAAGGTCACGAACCATAAAATTAACCAAAATTAAAACCCTGCAGCACTTGACTTTGATAATTTCACATGAAGAATTTAGCAAAAGAGAAATAAATAAGATCTTTCTCTGAGTCATCGCTTAAAACACCCCGATCTAACCCTGAAAGTGATGGCATTGCTCTTTGATGGAACATTATTTTTTCTCAGTCTAATTAAATACGATATGACGTCGTATATACGAACGTCACTTAACTTTGTACTTAAGCGGGCGTTGGATTGCGGTTAGCTAAACAAAAGAAGTCTTAATGCTCTACGTTTAAGGTTACCCGGGCTAACATAGACATAACGAAAAGGTCTCCGTCGGCTGCAGAAGTAGCCTCAAAGTGCCAGAAGAACAGGTTTTAGCCGATCAAGATGTCGCGTTCTTCGTGGAAATGGCTGTTTGTGTTCATAATTGCAATCGTATTCTCACAAGCAAGAGGCACTTATTACGGACATGGATATTACCCAGGTAAGTTTTTACATTTCTTTCCTTTTTTTTTTTTCCTTTTTGGTGTAATAACATCAGTAAGGCTTTTCTTACAGAACAGTTGTAAAACAAGGTAGGTTCCTAATCAAACACAATTTTTAAGTAGATTCTTTATCGTAAAAATTTCAAAGATGATATACCTTTATTCGTGGTTACTTTTTTTTGGATCCAAAATGATTCTAACTTTTTTTTTTTTAAGTTGTTTACCTCAAGAAAACCACACACAGTGAATGAAAATTTTCACCGAGACATGCTGTTTACATAAAAACCTTTTTAAAAGTTCACTTTTACCCAGCAGTACCTGCGTATATTCCACAATTCAAATAATTTGCCCTTTAAAAAATTTTGGGAAATTTCATATCAAAAAACCTTTTCAAGCAAGATTCTGACATTTTTCTGAACAAATACCTTCCCTAATCACCAATTCCTAATTATGAAGTTACAAGTTTAATTTCCTCGAACTCTCAAAAAAGGATGAGCAAGTCGTTACATGAAGCTAATTACGTTTCCAAAGGTAATTTAAACGTTCCCATGATAAAGCCTTTCATTACAATTGAAAAGAATACAAGCAGGAAAAAATGTTCATTTTAAGACAACGTATTTGTCATAATATCATCTCACTTGACGATTTTCATCCATATTCCTGTCACTATGGTACATCCTGCCTTCTAACAATATGCCGAACATTCCTTATGCATTAAAAGAATGCGTATTGCATTGTGTTAAATCTTTCTGAAAGACTGTTCTTTACACTCCCGCTTAAAATTAGCTGATTTCATATGTGATGGATTTTCAACGAGTGGGTCACTAAAAAAATATTGGTCTCTATAGGGAAACGTGCCAAATCTATTTTCTTTTTTACGCTGTATAACTGCTGGTGTACACCAAGGCAAGATCCAGTGTATGTCAATGTTCAAAAAATTGAAAACGACTTTGAAGCAATGTTTGCTCTCTTGCCACAAAGTTATTACAATGTTACCAACTTTACCCAAGGCATAAAAATATCAATCTTACTCTGAACAATCCCATTTTTTTGTGGCGCAATATAGTGTTTGTTGTCTACCCAAGATTAGGGACTTCGCATTTAAGTATTTGACACGGGAGCATTTGAACCACATAAAAACAGTTTCTTTATCAAGAGTTAAGAAAGAATTAGCAAAAATTAAAACTGCAAGTTTCTTTTACACGATCTTAGTACCCCTGTTCTTATCTTCGATCAGTTTCAAGCTACGCTCTTAAAAATTAAAATTTTCTTAGCATTATGTTGAGCAATTAGACCACAAACCAAACTTTACGAGAACTTAATCTATTCGTTTGAAATTTTCCAACAACCTCTTCAAGCAAGGACAAATCCTTGACGGAAGACAGGATTCAACAGTAAATCTTAACACAGGAACTGATTCATTTCATTTCTCTTTTACTAGCCATCAATGGCAAAAGGCTTGCGGCCACGCAATATTGAGTAACGCCAGAACATATACAAGGGTGGGGTAAACCTCCAGGCAATTAATCCAGTGAAATAAAGATCGCTGTTTTTAGTCAGATATTATGGCTTTCTTCCCCATAATTCAAGCTTAACCCATTAGAAAAACCCCTAAAACTCCCAGGACGGTAAACAAGTTACTTTTTCTCACAACTGCTACACTCTGTCTAACAAATAGCGCTTTAATTTTACATAGAATACCAAATTCCCTAAACTAATGAAACTCAATGCACAACAGGTAAAAAATAAATATTTAAAAACTTGACTTAACCGCTCGCTATAAGAACGGCAAGCTAAAAAAACTAACTGAAGAACAAGCGGAACTTTGATGTTTTTCTCTCGCGTTCGTGGAAAATTTATAGGCAGTCATGCCGGTTTTACACTGGTCCTCTTATACCAGATAAGCGTGTTTTTTTTTAGCATTTATCGTTAATTGAATACCCAGTATCGCATATGCGTAAATGAAGGAAACGACGTAGGTAATCGCTTTTAGAGATAATTTTCCCTAAATAGCTTTGAACTGAGGAAAGGAAGAAATGTCACCAGCGTCAATCATTAATCATTTAACCTCGAAAGTATTTTTGCATGATTTCCGGCTGTGCATTTTTTTTTTAATCTTAAGTGACTGTTGCATAATCTCTCTCTTTTTGTTATCTTTCGTCATTTCCCATATCTAATTCCCTTCGATTTTCTCGTCAGGAAATGCTTTGTTTCAACAATTCCTGTTAGTTTCTTCTTCAACAGGAAATGCTCTTTCCCATTTGTTCTCATTTATCTCTGAGACGTCGGCTTAAAATAAAGGCTCATTGAATAGTTTATGTTAATAACTGCAGGACCACCATAGTCTGGGCTATACCTAAGACCTCCCTCCCTCCCTCCCTCCCTCCCTCCCAAAGTGTGGTTTCGTCGGTCAGTTGGTAGAGGCGTCCAACTAGTATTTAGGGGGACTGGGTTCGAATCCCGTCGAAGACGGATTTTTTTTCAGGCTTCTTTCCTGCAATTGCATAAATTTCAGCCCATGTAACTGCAAGGATCATTTGATTTAACTTAAGATTTTTAGAACTTTTTAAGGTTTGAACTGAAACGAGCGTAAGCTGTTCGAAAGTATCGTCTACAGTCGTCATTTATTAATGATCAGTTAGCTTGCTTTCACAAGCTTTGTCTTTTCTTTTATTTTTTAGCACCGACTACGCAATCGCCCGCATGTCCGTCATATATCACCTCAAACAATAATGTAAAGTTCACCGCCTCGACCAAAAGCCTGGGGCCTGGGCACCCAATAATAAATGGAAACGACATATGGTGCGCGGCAACCATCGACAAAGCACAACATCTCATTGTCGATTTAGGTGGGTAGCTGACGTAGATTTCAAGTGTATATGTTATAGGACTATCAGAACTCCATGAAGCGGCATACCATCAAAGACAAAGCTTAAAGAAAAGAGTTTAAAAGATAGCGATAATTACTTGGAAATCAGGTCTGTGTGCGAAAGGGTATTTCACGAGAAGTATGACAGAAAAATGTGCAAGGCAAATCACAAAACAAGGAACCTCTCAGTCCCTCTGTGCCTTCTTGCATGGTCCTTCATCATGGTCTGGGGAAAGCCTGGCATTTGTGCTCCAGAGATTTCAGCGGCAAGTGGGTCTTTACCATAAAGTAATTTCCATTGCAACGGAATGCCATCATAGCGTTGAATAACATCTTGCGCAACAGCTTGAAGTGCTGGCAACCGCTAACTGAGCATGAAAAATTCAAATATGTATAGATAGATAATGTTTTCCATTACCTTCGTTTTGCCTACTTCTTTGGTCAATTCCAATGCCAAGTCACCTATTCTTATGAAACATCAGGAAAATTATACAACGCGAATGACTTCTTTTTATAGTCAGTCCTATTTTCGGGCATTAATGTTGTTGAGGAACTAAAGAATGATTAGGCATACATTTTTAACTGTTTCGTTTCTTTTCAAGGTGGGGTTGTCAAGATAGACCACGTGGCTATACAAGGAAAAGCAGGCACAAAGCAATCAGTTTCAATGTATTACGTAAAAACAAGTAAAGACGGGAGCACTTTTAATTACATTCTTGATGATAGTGGAACACGTCCCAAGGTAAAACATCATTGAGTGAACAAAGTGCCAATTGATCTTGAAGCAATTGCTTGCATTTTATTCTTTGATAATATAGTCTACCCATGACCAGACCAGACATGCTAACATTAATAGAACTGTAATCCAAACCCTCATTTTGCGCTGACTGTAAGATTATTCTCCGGCTTTTTTTAAGCCGGCGCGGCAATATAATTTTTCGCTTGTTTCCTTTTTTCAGGCATTTTGGGGTGCAATAGATGATGGTGATTTTGTGGCCAAAACGAACTTGAAGAAACCTGTCAAAGCTCGATATGTATTGTTTAATCCGAGAGAACCACAAACAGAGGCAAATGGACTCTGTCTGCGAGTGGACGTTAATATATGCAACGGCGGTAAATATCTGAATTTAAGGTTAAGGACGCATGGGAAGGCGTAAAAATAATTGATCAAAGGGACATACCAAACAAAGAAGAAATTCTATCAGATTTCTCCGCCTTCTCTCCAATATACATCGATAATTCCTTTAAAGAGGAAAGTATAAAAGAACCTGAAATTAGGAGAGGATACGCGTCTGTCGATTGTAACATTACATGATAACGAATATAGAATCGATCCTGAAATAAGGCCTGAAAAAAAAATTCAGGCCCGTATCGCAGAGGCCATGGGTTCAAATCCCGTACGGGCCTGAATTTTTTTCAGGCCTTATTTCAACTACCAGTTCAGTATTGCTCATAACTGCGGTGATCGATTCTATATTCGTTTCTTCAACCGCAATGCACACATATGATTTTCATGTGATTACAGCTATTATAACATGAAAATTTCCAACATTTTTCTCGAGAACAACACCTTTTGTGGCTTGGCAAGGACCTATGTGACGCCGATGTGATAAAAGCTTAAACATTTTGTAATGTTATGCTTCTAAAGTATCTGTGTGGCATTTGCAGAACTGACACCTATAAATGGCGGATGGACGAGTTGGTCCAGCTGGTCAGAATGTTCTCAGCAGTGCCACATTTATGGTCAAGGATCTGGATATGCCATCAAGAGTCGGCATAGGACTTGTTCAAATCCCATTCCTACGTTCGAAGGAGCCGCATGCAAAGGGAATTCGGGAGAAGATGCCTTTTGCCTAAACAGCTGTTCTTGTAAGTGCTCTAATCATTATATCTAGTTTGACTTATCATGTTTTAGATGCACCACCAACCAGCAATATATTTTCCAAACAAATAAATCTTTGGGGCACGATTTTGTAATGGTATTCTCATTTCACAATGTTTTCATACAGCCACGATTCTTCCCACGATGCAAATTTTATGAAACTTTATGAAAAAGTTTTACCAGCATCGCCAAAACTAACAAAGGGGTCGCATTCACTCTTGGCCCACCTTTAACACGCCTACGCCTTTAGAAATTAAAACAACCAAATTGTTCTGGTTCCTTGTAGCTCAAGTGAATGGAAATTGGGGTTACTGGTCACAATGGTCTGCCTGCAGTAAAACTTGCGGTAACGGAACAGCAACTCGGACAAGGAAATGTGATAGTCCTCCTCCCTCTGGCGGCGGGTCCTCTTGTGTTGGAGACGCAAAACAAACGAAGTATTGTAGTGATCGTCAGCATTGTCCAAGTAGGTGATAATCTAAATGCAAGTATTTACTGCTCATCTCATTTTTTTATGCCAAAACGAATGAACATGAAACCTTTAATTTTCAAGATCGAACATTTTAGTCCCTCTTGTTGATCAAACTTCTTGCTTCGCTATTCCCGAATAAGGGTAATATCTCCTACTACTGAAATTTTTATCATACAGTATTAACTTTCCTTCAATTTACTTTGTGTGTTGCTCAATTTCTGGCCGTTATAAACTAGAGCAATAATCTTTTTTTTTCAGCACGAGGAAAATTTCGAAATTTTTGGGCGAGCGATAGTTTATTTATTCACATTTATCTAAGTCACGCTTGTTTTGTTGCCCATAAACCATGGGCTGGAAAATCGACTAAATACTTGATGCCCAAAACCTTGCTTTTTCTCCTTTTCTCTTGAAATGCATAGTTAATGGTGGATGGTCTCCCTGGTCCAGCTTTGGAGGATGCTCGGTGAGCTGTGGAGGAGGGAAACAGACACGGTATAGGACATGTAACAGCCCATATCCTCAGCATGGTGGCCATGACTGTGCGGGGAGTAATGTCGATCATCGAAACTGTAACTCTGACCCATGTCCAAGTACGTATCACAAAGATACCTGAGGTACAAGTTGGTACCAGGGATCAATTATAGGGTGGGACACAAATCACAAGAAGATGAACCCTTTCCGCGCTTCTAAAACGATGACAAACTGACAACAAAATGCTGTGGTGATTTTTTCCAGTAACCTTGTACTGAAACCACCAGTGAAGTAGAGAGCGGAGTGGAGACTATTTATTGCAGCTCGACTCCCATCCCCTTGGTCCGCGCGGAACTGGTGCAAACAGATTAGATTATAGATTATAGATTCTTAACATCCATACGATGTACAGCTCTACTTTTTTAAAATTTATTTGCAAGTATTTGTTATTTATTCCTTTCTCTGATTGGTCAGTTAATGGCGGCTGGACTAATTGGCAGTCATGGTCAGGTTGCTCTGCGACGTGCGGAGGAGGTTCACAGACGCGCAAGCGCTCTTGCAACAATCCCCCACCACAACATGGCGGCATTCACTGTAAAGGAAGCGATACAGATCATCAATCTTGCAACACTGAAAATTGCCCCAGTAAGTAAATTTCGCAGATAATATCTGTAGAACCTTTAACAAATGGCTACAGAAGTTTAAAAAACTAATCCTACGGAAAAATGCTGTTTTTGTAACAATTTTATCTGACTTTTGTTTTGTAAATGAAACCAGATGTGTTAATTAAGCCTTCCCCTTTTTTACTCAAACGCTTTTTTTCGTTCTAACTCACCTATTAGTTACATTTCATATGGTGTGAACCTTCGTTCACTGAGCGGAAAAAAATTTGTTGAGGTATGTCCATGTCGTAAAAATTCAATATAATCCCCTTGGGAAGGAAGCAAATTACAAATGTGGCCTCTATTGTGCCCGTAACTCTTGACGAAACAATATCTTCCCGTTTCGTTAATGCTAAACATAGTCTTACGCAGCGCAGAATTGACTCCAAATATGGTGAGGCGACTCCTTTTTGAATCATCATGTTTCCATTTTAGTTAATGGAGGCTGGACTGAGTGGACACAATGGTCTGCCTGTGACAAAACGTGTGGCGGTGGAAGCTCCTATCGACGAAGGCAATGTACCAGCCCACCACCTCAGAACGGTGGCAAAACATGCCCTGGAAATGGTTACGAAGTTCAGAGTTGCAATTCGCAAGGATGCCCAGGTACTTACCAAAATCAAGTCTAGATCAATGAATCGATTAAATTATTGTCGTATTATATTTGTCCATTACAACTTCCAAAACCAATGATCAAAAGGAAGAATCTCACTCCCATGGATATCTTTAGCAGGAGTTAACACATGATTAGTAATATCCTCGTATTTAGTATTTCAAATCTTGATAAGAGAGTTACTCTGAGTCATTTGAAGCCACGCAATAACATTCTCCTTTAACCGTTTCAAAGTGGCGTTTATTGTTCATGTTCGTTCTCAGTTACTGAATTTAAATCAAAGATTCCAATATTTCAACTCTATTGGTTCTGCTCCTTCATCTCGGCTATTTTTGGAGAGTGATTTAGAATTGAGCCTTCTTGACATGCTTTATTCCGTTGGGAGCAATCTCCGTCACTATTTTCTATTTTATTGTATCCACTTATGATCAATGACTTCGCACGAGTTAATCAGAGCCTTTAAAAATGATGTTTTATCTGAAATAGTCAATGGTGGTTGGAGTGCGTGGAGTCAGTGGTCGAGCTGTAGTAAATCCTGCGACGGACAGCGAACGAGGCAGCGCTCGTGCACCAATCCTCCGTCATCCAACCAAGGAGCCTCTTGCCCAGGGTTAAGAGTACAATCTGAAGCGTGCAATGTGGGAAAGTGTCCAGGTAAGTGCAAGAATAGCTTAACTTTATACCTAAAAAAAAAACCAGACTTAAGGTGAGCTATTTATAGAGGGAAAACCAAAATACCGTACATACCTCATTCGAATCATGCACTATAATGCACTTGTTCATCGGAAATCACGTGAAATACTCAGGAGGATTGATTTTTCCACTGTAAAGAAACAAAAGGTGCATAACAGCTCGGGAATCAACCAAGAATATTGTCGCCCAGGAACCTCAACATGATCAGTAATTGGTTAACGGATGAATTAATAACGATACTTTAAACTGACGAAATTTACTTGAGACCAGTGGTATCAAGTTTATTGTGAACAGACCTTCTCTTGCGCTCAAAAGGAGAACAAAGAAACCTTGGAAACCCAACATTAGTTGATAAACACAGGTTTCATACAAAATTTTCTCTGCATAGGCCCAGTACATGGCGGCTGGAGCGACTGGAGTGAATGGTCGACCTGTACAAAATCGTGTAGTGGAGGAACACAAAAGAGGACAAGATCTTGCACTAACCCTACTCCTGCACACGGTGGAAATAGCTGCAGTGGAAACTCAGAGGAGTCCCAACAGTGCAACAAACAAGCATGTCCAGGTAAGAAAGAGGGGATCGAAGGCATAAAACTACCCTCATAGTGAAGGAATCTACAAAATATCTGTTTCGTGAGACAAAAAGATTGAATGTCTTCGTTCCTTTTGTTTCCAGTGGACGGCGGGTGGACTGAGTGGGCCCAATGGACAGGATGCAGTGCAACATGCGGAGGTGGAACACGATCAAGAAGACGTGCCTGTACCAATCCACCACCGTCCAATGACGGATCAGGATGTACTGGCGGATACGTGGAGGTTGAAAGGTGCAACACACAATCGTGTCCAGGTGAGGCATAGGAAGAAGAACCTGGAAAGTTAACCAAGAGTTACGTACGACATTCCTTTTGGGTTGATGAGTTTGGATTTTTATATTTTTGCATAAAAGTAGAGAATTTGTAACATTTTGTCCCAGAAATTGTAATTTCGACGCTAAATACTTCGTTTTTCTTGACAGTAACTTGGCACCCGAATGCGTAGATTTAATCTTTTAAAAAGGTAAAGATAACCGTGAGGACAAATGATGTTGAAAATCTACCATGCTTCTTTTTCTTTATTGCTGCTAGTGGATGGCAAATTTTCTCCGTGGACTCCATGGAAACAATGCAGCAAGACGTGTGGAGGAGGAACTCAAACCCGGACAAGGCAGTGTGATAATCCCCCTCCCTCCCAGGGTGGGAAGCCCTGTGTTGGAGATACCCTCCAGACTCGAGTGTGTAGCACCAACGTCTGTCCAGGTGAGTTCTATTAGTGTTTTCGGCTTCCAAATTGGTACTCATAAGTAAAAAAGAAAGGTATACCGAGGGATCCTTCCTTCCATCGAGAAATTAACGGATAATGATTCACTCCACAGCAAAAGTAATGGTTAAAGTTTCAACTAAAAGAAAAGAAGGTAGAGTTGTCTTTTGGCGACTCAAACACACGGCAAAGTCAAATCTGAAGAGCAAGAAATGGTCATCTTTTTACCATTCACGCAGCAGTAATGAGAAAGTTTTCAGTGGCAATGATTAACCAATCAACCATAGACATAGACAAAGTAAGACAAAAAGCCTAGTTAGCTCTTCTCTGTAATTTACAGAGAGAAATCGACTTCATTCTTTCCACAGCTGATGGTAGCTGGTCAAATTGGGCAAGTTGGAACTCCTGTAGCAGGACATGCGGTGGCGGAACACAGTCAAGAAGACGTCAGTGCGACAGCCCGCAACCGTCCAACGGAGGAAAGTTTTGTCCTGGCGACGATACAGAGACAAGGGAATGCATGACCCAGGCATGTCCAGGTAAAATCATCATCGATTCGTTTCTCGGCCACCGCAATCCTTCTTTTTAAGGACAGTAACAATTCAACGCTCCAGAATACAATTAGAACTGATGGCACTCTGCACCCGATAATAGTTTCAGGCTGAAAGTATCACCGAGAGAATAAATTATAGCACTTCGTTAGAACTCTGACGTGGGGCCGATGCTCGAAACGTCGGCTTTAGAAACTCTTTCCGATGGCCAATTTACTTTAATTTGATAATAAAACCAAGTAAACTTGTAATACCTACCACCGACGCAGCTCGACAATTTCTTTGGAAACTTACCTCATTTGCACAGAAATAGTTTCTGTCGCTTAAAATTGATAGCTTCATGATCCTCTCTTAATTTCAGTTGATGGAGGATGGACTAACTGGGCTACAGGGCCATGCAATGTTCTATGTGGCGATGGAAAACGTAACCGAACAAGAACGTGCACTAACCCACCCGCCTCGGGAGGCGGTGACGTCTGTATGGGGCCAGCCTTTGAAACGGAGAACTGTAACTCTGGACCTTGTAAAGGTGACGAAATTAGCTTATTTCATAATTTAGATTACTAGTTATTATTAGGTGAAAGAAAAGCACAAGTAAGGCCAAAACTGATTGATTCTTCTCGCGAAAAAACGCTCTCTAGTCTCCGAGAATTTCAGTTGCAAGGAAAGTCTTACATTTACCAGATCACCTCAGTATCGTTCAACATAATGTATGAAGAGTGAAATCGGTTCCAGAGCAATATGTACCGGGTTTGCTTTTGGAAGTAAAAAAACTAATAGATATAATACTTTTACAGCAACTACAGCGCCAACGGCTACTGCATTGCCTACACCTACTATAGGTGAGTACACGTTATGTAAATGGCACTGCCACTATTGCAACAATTTTTGCTGTTCTAAATTTCTGTACCCGATGAAATTTTACAATCCTGCCCAGCTTCACTAAATTCAGGTAGCTGTGTTGAAACACACCACTTTTTACCAAGTTTTCGTCGAAGCTCTATAAAATCTAATTACACCTGTCGGTTTTTGTTATAAATAGTCTAAAAATAGTCTATTTAGAGCCAAAATACTTATTCTCTTCCTTCATTTCTTTAGATCCGAATATCCCCAAAATTGACCTGGTGTTTGCCATTAGTGCCACATCAGCATCATTTCAACAATCTTATGAGCTAATGAAAAACACCGTCAAGAAATTCATCGATACATACGGCGTGAACAAAATCCATTACAGCGTCATTGTGTACGGCAATCAAGTAATCCGAGTGGTCAATTTTAACAGAACCTTTCCTCTCTCCGCAAATGAGCTTAAAACAGCCATTGATCGCCAACCTGCTTTGCCCGGGGGCCCCGTGCTGACAAATGCATTACAAGAAGCCTATCGGGTCTTTAAAGAGAGTGTTGGACGATCTGGTGCTAAAAAGGTCTTGGTAGTTATTACAGATAGGAATTCTGGTTCGAGTACAAACTCCTTGAGCCAAGCAGTGAGACCACTAGAAGATCTAGGGGTCTTGGTGATTTCGATAGGAGTAGGAAATGAAGTCTCCAGAAGCGAGTTGAATATCATTTCACCTAACCCGTTGGACGTCATATCCGCTCGTTTGAACATCAATCCATCAGTATTGGCCGTGCGTATAATGGAAAGGATTCTCAGACGTAAGCCATTTCGCTCAGCTTTACTTCGACAATATTGTTTCATTGCTATTGCTGCTATCAATGTTGTTGTTGCAAGTCAAAGATGTCTTCCCTGTATCCAGTCACTTTGAATCTAATGTGTTCTCTAAGTGTTCTGTTGTGAATTCCAGTCATTCTATCAGTCACCCAGTTAGTCTGATAGTCAGTCTGTCAGTCAGTCAGTCAGTTTGTCAGTCTCAATCAGTTAGTCTGTCAATTTGTCACTTTGCCAGTCTGTCAGTCTATCATTTTGTCCGTCAGTCAGTCAGTCAGTCAGTCAGTCAGTCAATTTATTTACCAGTTAGTGTGTGAGTCAGTAAGTCTACAGTCTCTCAGTCAGTCATTCAGTCCACCGGTCGGCCAATCAGTCAGTCTGTCTCTAATAGAATCTTTTCATTCATTCAAATTTCCAGTTAATTTCCCAGACGTTGACGTTGGTTTTGCCATCAGTGCTGCGTCAGCTGATTCAGATAAAATCTTCAGTCTGATGAAACAAATAATCAACACAATTGTTGATCGTTATGGAGTTAATAAAGTCCGGTTTAGCTTCATTGTTTACGGAAGCAGGGTAACCACTAGATTCACCTTTGACAATGCACCAATAACTCAGGAGGAACTCATCAAGGCAGTGAATGGAACTGAGAAGGTTACTGGAGACCCTGACCTCGAAAAAGCTCTAGAGGAAGCAGAACAGCTGTTCACAAAGACATCCAGGCCTAACGCTACCAGAGTGTTTGTTGTGCTCACGGATATCGTCGGAAGTGGAGATGATAACTCGCTTATAGCCACTTCTGCCAGATTACGAAAGGGAGGTGTGCTTATTCTATCAGTAGGATTTGGACAACAGGTGAACGCAATTAGTAACCAGATGACAAAGGTGGTTATAGCTCAAAGTGATTACATTAGTGTGCCGGATTTTACTACACAGAGACCAGTTGTGATAGCAGAGACCATCATGTTTAAAGCACTGCAAGGTAAGTATAACTTTAAGTGTGTGCCGCTTATGCCTAGAGATTAAGCACTGACACTTGTGTTAGGACTGAGTAGATGGCGATATTTGTTGGAAATGATTTTTTTGCAACGGCGAGTTAGTGCGTTTCAAAGAAGGGATGAGGTTTGTTCGAACCTTTAAATTTTGAGAACTTGATTTGGTACAGTGATCATGATAACTTATTTCTTCCTTCCTTCTAAATTCAGCCAATATTCCAGAGATCGACCTGACTTTTGTCATCAGTGCTACTTCCGCTTCAACCGATAGAACATTCACATTGATGAAGTCCACAATCAATAACATAATTGACAAGTATGGAATCAGCCGAATCCATTACACCGTAATTGTTTTTGGCTCTGGCTTCACAACAAGTGTTGACTTCTCTACTAACGTGCCAGACAAAGAAACATTGACTCGTTTGGTGACGAGTCTTCAGAGAGAGACTGGAACTCCAGACCTGGCGAAGGCTCTCCAAGAGGTCAAGAGAGTGTACGAGTTGAGGGAGGTCCGGCCTAACGCGAAAAAAGTGCTTGTGGTCATTTTGGACAAAAAAACGGACAATAGCAAAGTTCAGTTAGAGACGATTGCAACCGATTTGGTCCAGAAGAGTATTCTAATCATCGGAGTCGGTATTGGAAGATCAGTGGATCGAAATGAGCTTATTTACATTACCGAAGAAAACCGAAATATCATTGAAGTAGAACCAACAGAGAGGCCAGAGGAAGTGGCAAGGGAAATTATGAAGATCATTTTAAGAAGTGAGATTTATTGAACTACTTCGTATTGTTTCCTAGTTTTATTGATCATCCAGATATTCAGGCATAGGGAGATCCTTTGTGCTTTTGACTGCTGCTGACTTCCGATCCTTTGCACAAGGTTGCTATAGCCTATGAAAGAAAAAAAGGAAAAAAAAGAAAACTAGCAGAAAATTGATAACTATCAACTCTGGACACTTGGTCAAGTTATCGAACAATTCTGCACATCATCCATTTTTTCCTATGTCATTGCTGTCCGCATAAATGTTCGCAAATTTTAACGAAAATTTTAATCAATTGCAGCTTCCGGTTATTCACAGTGGTCGGAATGGAGCGCATGCTCAAGAACCTGTCGCCAGAGGGGCGTTGCCGGGACCAGACAACGCACGCGCAATTGTGATATTCGTGAGCTAGGATGTGATGGCCCTAGTGAGCAATTTGAAGAATGCAACAAAATAGACTGTGAAGGTCATTACACTTGATTTTTAGTTCAACAACTCTTGAATCTTGTTGGTAACTGATAAATATTGTTCAAAGTACCTCAGGAATTATCGCGGACTAAAACTCCGATAAAAAACGAAAACTGTAGGAAACCATCTAAATCCTAAGGAAAGAAAACTCTTCATACATAGACAAAGTAAGAAATGCGGAGGAAACACGATAAGTGGCGAGGCAGCATAAAGCAGAATAAAAAATTAACATATGACACACCTACTCTCAGTAAATTAAATACGTACGTAAATTTAATGTAGTCCTGGGTTTGCAAACACTGAAAAAACCCATATTAATTATATTTGTTAGGCTGTGCGGAAAGGACCTCACTCAATGACACAAATTACAGTGCCTCGACTGTTGAACAACCGGCTCAGTTTGCCAAGCTGGACACTTCTGACCCGAGTGCATCGCAAAGAGCCTGGTGCAGAGACATCAACGACGTTGGTGGCTATTTGCAGATAGACTTAGGTAAAAAACCTTTTAAAGATAATATTAAGGTTTAAAGGAGCTAAGTCATGGGTTTTGCTTAATGGTCCAATTTGCGTTAATTTATTCTTTATCTCCATTTATACAAGGACCGCACGGTATATTTTTCATACCAGGGTTTGCAAAATATCAAAATTGCGTAACAAGGATACGATATTCCTTAAAGGCAATTGATTTCTTGAGAAAACCATAAGTTCCCTTTAGATAATAAAAGCCATTCTGTTACTGCGTGACCTTTCAATGCTGATCCTGGTTCACGGAATCTTAAGACTTCATCAATTTGAAGAAAACAAAACAATTCTTGTTCTTTATCACCTCAGGGGAAACTGCTGATGTTTACCAGGTGGCCACAAAAGGTCAGGAACAAAACGATCGATGGGTTAGGAGTTATTACATAACGCTGAGCTCAGATGGCAACTCCTTCTTTAACTATACCCAAGGCGGAAGAACTAAGGTTGGTCTTCTCTTTATTCTTTAGTTTAAAGCATTTGAAAATGTTCTTACCTGTGGACAGTTTGTATTCGGAAGTTCGAAAATGACAGACAAGGGCTTCATTATAGACTCAATAAACTTGTATAACATAGCAAACCGAACGACACGAAAGTACTGCTCAGAGGCTTACAAATGAACAACCATCAACAGCACGATGAACAGAACCCGCTCGCACAGGAATAGTTAACAATTGATCAAGAGAGTAGTGCTAAGTAGCTCAAATTGTAAGACCTTTAACTGGGTTAATGATGGAAATCTTAATAAAAAGTAATTCATTATAAGATCTTAAATTTTGTCTATTATCTCGCAAATAACTGTAGGTATTCTCTGGCAATCGGGATTCAAGATCCGTTGTTTTTAACAACCTCAACGCCACACAAGCCGTTCGATATGTCCGTTTTTATCCAATCACATTTAACCAGCAACCATGTATGCAGGCGTCGGTGTTTGCCTGCACTGGTGAGTCACATCTGCTATTTTATACTTCAAAGAATTCCTATTAAACAGAATTCGATTCATTTAACAATGATTTTCACTTTTGTAAGTTTGTTATCAACTTAATGTTATTTAACTGCAGCAATGTAATATCAAGTTGAAGTTACTAAAGTTGAGGGTAACTGAGGTGAATTCCACGGAAACAGGTCGATTATTTACTTTTTCTCAGTTTCATGGTTATCTTAACTCCTGGAGTCCAATCAGATATATAATATGTTTCTTTTATTTTCTGTGTCTAGAAATAATAGACCCAACAGCAAATCCAGCTCGAATTTCAGAGGATGCAGGAAATGGAATTTGTAAGTTGTTGTAACATTTCTTGTCTTTTTTTTGTGGGATTTTTCTTTACATTGTGATCCTTACCACTTTGGAATTGTCAATGTAAGTGCATTTGTTTGAGCTAAGTAAAGCCAAACCCAAAGCAACTACGACGAGCAATCATATGAGAAGACACAATAACCACCCGGCAGTCTTTGCGATGCGCGGGAAAAGGAAAGTGACCTTATCGCGAGTATAGTTCAATCTCATTTCCATTAACCCTTTAACCCCTAACAGTGACTAGCATCTAATTTCTCCTCACAATATCACCACTGAATCACACATCAGTGTCATGAGAATAAAGGAAATGATCACCAACTGAAGAAACTCTTGATTGTTGGACGAATTCTCCTTGTCAGCACCTTAGTAAATGTACAGAGAACAGGATGGAGAGTATGAATACTGATGTTGGGGTGTAAAGGGTTAAACAAACTAATCCTGCAACTTTTTCATATTTTTAGTGATCGCGTTGTGGATATTGGCTGGCATCTTAACTTTCCTTCTTCTCCTGGCCTGTTTGTACTATTGTTGCTGGCATGTTTGCTGCAAGAGGTAAAGAGCACATAATAAGTCATTTCTATTTTACCATTGAGCATGTCTTACATATATGTGAACCTGGAGTTTGTGCATCCAACATACTCAGCTGTACTTTTAGAAATTATGCCTGCAACGAAAATTCGTGGGTATCTTCGCCACAACCAGGCGATGTTGCATGTGCCGTATTGGGAAGAAAAATAGAGGCGAAACTTATATGCTTGTCTTTTCTTTAAGGGATCAGCGTTGTAGGAGAAGATTCTACGTAATTTTGAACAAGAAGGACTTTTTCCACTCTCCTTGAGAAAGTACCCATCATTTCAGGCGAAGTGTTGGAGAAATTCTCGAGAACAATGGATGGCTTGCTTTTAACTTGTAATCACTATGTAACCCTTTCACTCCCGTGAGTGATCAAGACAGAATTCCTCCTTACAGTATCAATACAATATCAAGCAGACTAGTGACGAGAATAAAGAAAAATATCAGCTAGGGGATTATTGGTTGATCTAAGACTAAATTTCCTTAAATAACATCATAAGAAGGGTATGTCCAATAGTGAGGAGAATTACTCATGAGATCTTGGGAGTGAAAGGGTTGAAGTATTCCTGAGGGCTTACTAACTCCCTTAATTTCTTTCATTGGCTCTTAGAGGGAAGAAAAGTAAAGGTCTGACAGCTTTTAGCGAAACATACACGGAAGAAGATGGCGGGTATCTTATAGAAGACGGTGAAAGCAAGAGATGGAATCCTCGTGCGGTTCCCATGGTGGCAAGAGCACCAAAGGTCGACAAGGTTCCCGAAGACGAGGTGCAAGAGGTTAGCATTGAGATGAAAGAAGACAGTCCCCAACTTGGTGAGTACTTCGCTTCCTTTTTTTTGGATAAGAAGACCTTCGTGTATTCTTATAAACTCGAAATTAATTCATCAATCTTCTGCATGCACAATGCATGTACGATCGAGCTATAACAACTCAATTACCCATGGAATAACTAAACCTCCTACTAATTGTTTTCCAGGTGTCATCCAATTCGGCATCGAAGCCGATAACACAAAAGAACAACATGTAACGGCTGAAACTGTCCACTCAGAGACTCCATTGTATTCCCAAGAGGTCAACACTGGAACAGTAAAAAAAGGCGCTACAAAGATGACCATGAGTTCCACTGACACCCAGAAAAGGAAACGCGCTCAGAGCGAATCTGCTGCTGCAACTCTTGAGGAGGCCGAGGCTACTTCCAAACAATGGTCGTACCAGACAGAACAGAGGCAGAGCTCTGCTTTTGCTAATGAAGGTTACATGAGGTATATTTCTTTATCACGGAGTATTCAGATTAAGTGTCAGGCAAGCAAAAGTAAAGTAATCACAACCTCCAATTAAAATAAAAGTTAGTATCAGAAGGAGCCCATTCAAATTCAAAGAAAACAGGGCAAATTTGCGAAAGAATAATCAGAGAATAATTTCAGTTTTATATTTTAATTGGTCAAGAGGGTCACGCACTCGTTCAAGACAATTCCACCGAACATCTTTAGTAAGCAACAAGAAAATGAAGTTTATCCGCTTCATGGAAAAGAAGACAGTCCAGTAAACGCCTCTGTTTCACGGAACAGAGTCTCGATCAAAACTGATCCTACTTACCCTTATCTCATCCTCTTATTTAGATCTCAAGAGTCAATCGCACCTACTCAAGTTCGTACCCGAACTCAGGAATTAAGACGCGCTCAAAGCGCAGATGAACTGTCCGCCATCGACTACGACATGTTCGAACAACGACGCGAGTCGGCTCAGAGCGCCTTGAAAGGAGAAATGAGTCGTGATGGTTACATGAGGATGAAACAAAGCAGCCGAGGTTCTTCAGTCGATGAAACGGACCGGGGCTTCCAAATGGGGACTGTAGATTTGGCTATCGGAGGTATCGGGGCACCGAATGTCCAACGGGGATCGAGCCAGTTCTATGGAATGGAGGAACAGGAGATGACATTCTCGGCAGATAATGGTGGACGTCATTATTATGAATTGGAAGACGGGGGATACCGTACGGAAGAGTGGTATGCTCGTGGGGGACATGAACCCGGTCGGTTGAGGGATGAAGGATTTAGGGAGATCCATGTGGAACATCAACCTATCTACCACGAAATAGAAAATGATAACAAGGTTAGTGAGGAACGTGTTTGTTATTCATACGTGAAATATGATAAATTTGTTAGAGAATTCTAACTGATATCAGTATCATGGAGAAAATCGGATCTAAGTGTGTTTACCACTTTTAGTCTGAGTTTAAGGTATAACCAAAGCTTTGCACGAATAGAAGAAGTAATATACGGTTAAATATGCGATGTCGAAACAGTCCGGGCCGTATTTTTATCCCACTTATATCCATGCTTTATATTTTAACATATTTCAATATGAATTTGTTATATTGAATTTTTAAATATTATCTTAAAAAACAGTTTTCGATTTATTTTCTAGGATTCATTTGTAATTTTCAAGTATTGTAAAGTTTTTGTAATAATTGCGTAATTCAGCCTTCGGCTGCGATGTAGTTTTAATAAACTATCTGTCTATCTATCTATCTATCTACTATTTTTAAATCTGAAATTAAGAAATATAGCCCTGTTTTTATCGTTCAGTTTGTTAAACTCCTGTTTGGATGTTGTTTTTGCTTACTTTTGGTCCTGTCGTCGTCGTTATGACAAATTGTATCAAACTTTCATTGTTTTATCTGATCATTCCAATTAAATTTATGTTTTTTTTTTATTTCTTAGGGCTTCAGGCACAGCCGACTTGTCTAATAGGAACAACTACGAAGTCGAAACTAAGTCCTTCCATACAAAAGAAAACGAAGGAGGATTACAATCTTTTCAACGAAAATTCAGTGAAATTCTTCGAAAACCGATTAGTCTAACTCGATGGGTTTAAAGGTCTAACTTTAGAGGTGGACCGCTTTTTCTGAAGTCCAAAAAATTTTAGTTAAATTGATTGCAGTCAGGTTTTTCTGTGATACCTACTCACTGACGGTGTGGGTGGGATAGATTTAATAAGATAACATTAGAAAATTCTCATTGTGCGTGGAGATACAGCTGTAGGTATGAATTAAGGTGCAGATCTCTCGTTTTGCTCTTCTCCAGGTCAGAGGCGAAGGAAATAGAAAATTCTTTCTTCTTCTTTTGACCGAAAGGTGTTCAATGAATTAAAATGCATTAATAAATAAATAAGAAATTGGAGCAAATTTATTACTTAGGGACAATATTGACGGCGATAATATTTCTTCCTACCAAAAAAGAAAAAAAAAAAAATAATAACAAATGTGTGATTATTAGTGTGTATTATTATTTTTTTTATATTAGAAATTAGCTCTTTTTGTATATTTCCAATTCCTTTTTGCCCGTAGAACTAAAGAAATTCGCACGTTTGCGAAAAGGCTATTGTAAAGTTTTTCCATTCAAGAGAGAAGGCCTTGTCACCTAAACCTGCAGTCGAGAAACATTTTGCTTGGGTATCTCTCTATAGGCGAAATAATTTATTAGCCCATTTGCTCTCCTTTTTAACTATAAGATAAAAACATAGTGGGCAGCTCTTTTCTAGAGAATCCTATTAGGAAATTTACAAGCATTTGTACAGTTGAAAAATGTTTGCTTTGTTTGTCGAGTTACAGTACAGGAGTTTCAGTACATTGCTATCTTGCTGTAGTTTAAATTATTGAATTTAATCGATTAAATTCCTATTTCAATTGTATTAGCTGGAGGCATTCCTTGAAATAAAACATGGTGTTTTAATAAAGTGTTAATGTGTGTTTGAAAACTAAGAGGTTCCCATTCTTTCGTTTATTTTTCACTTCTTTCTTCCATTTTACCTCCTCCATTAAATTTCTCTTCATCTCTCCCCTCCCTCCCTCCCCACTTTCTATCTCCTATCCCCTTCCCTATCCTTCATTCTCCTCTTCAGCCTCCCTCCCTATTTTTTCCTTCCCATTTCTCCCTCTCCCTTTTTCTTTCCCCCTCTTCTTCCAGACCCTCAAACATTCCTCTTCCCCTCGGTTATTTAAAGTAGAATATTCACCATGTCATAACATTAATTTCACACTGGATCCTCGTGATACTAAGAAGGGTAAAGGTGAAGTTATCTCTTGATTTAGAGGACCCATCCTACAGAGATTAATTGTGGCTTTAGTAGAAAGAAATGTTGTAGTGTTGTAACAGTTACATTAGATGGGACAGTAGCTGTTACATCAAAGGGTTATATCTCATCAGATTATCCTGTCAGTTGGCTGGTACTCATTCTCACTCTTGATCCGAGCGAGGCATTATAGGAGTCAAATATATTTTAAGGAACAAAAAACAGGGTTCAAATTCCAACCTTTTGACCGAGAGAATAAGTGATTCGGAAAAAAGTGATTTTTTTCTTACAATATAACCTAGGATTGGGATAAGAATTGTTACAAGTAAAGATTTAGAGATAAACTTTATTCGTTTGTCTCACGATGAAGTCACTTGCGATGTTGATCGCGACGTTTCGACTGCAATACTGCAAATCTTCATCAGGCGATGAGGTCGATTGGTTACGTGTCGCTATTTGTAGCACGTTGGTTCGCTGCAGTTGGTGCATTTCGATTCTAATTATTATTCTGGTTGTTAGATGTTGTTCCTTTATAGATCTGTATTGATCGGCTGCTGTCAGTTGTTTGATCGTGGGTATCCAAGCTTCGGGATTTCGATTCCGCTATCTCTATTGATGTCGTCGAGATGAAGTCTCATATGAATAGCCTAGGTGACCTTACGTGTGTACCAGTGAGGGTCACGATCAATAAACTTAACCTTGTTCCAAATAGGAATAGACCCCGTTTCGTTACGTTAGTGTGCTCCGAAACCGCAGAGGTCTGAGTACGAGCAAACCGTATGTCTCTGTCATATTTTTTTTTTATACTTTCTCGCACTGATATCCCTGTTTCACCGATATACACTTTGCCACATTCACATGGGATCTTGAAAACGACACCGTTTTGTTTTGTTGGTTCTAGGGCATCTTTAGGTCTCACCAAGTGAGATCTAAGCGCTGTGTCATACTTGAAAACGGTCCGTATGCCTTGATGTTGTAGGCAGGGGCGAAGAACCTCTGATACACCCTGTATGTAAGAGAGAACGGCAGTAGATTTAAATTCCTTCTTTGTTGGCAGTTACTCTTGTTGTCTTTGCGAGTTTTTGTACGAACGAAGAATGATAACCATTAGAAACAAGTACTGATGACAAGTGTTTCTTTTCCTCAGAGATAACTGATGGTTTTGTTGTGAGGTGTTGGGCTCGGTCGTATGGATACTTAACAATACCACACTTCACTGACGTAGGATGGTGTGAATCATAGGCTAGGAACTGGTCAGTGTGTGTGGGCTTTCTGCAGAAAGTGGTAGCGACAAGACGGTCTGAGTCCCTTGTGACAGATGTGTCGAGAAAAGAAATGGTGTTACCTTTCTCGATTTGCCGACCTCTCGAATTGCGTCCTAAGATCAACATATTTCCAATACAACGGGTCGATTTATGAACAACAAGACGGAGCAGCTATGGGAAGCCCTGTATCCGCGGTCATAGCTAACATCTACATAGAGGAATTTGAGGAACAGGCAATAGCAAGTGCGACTTGCAAACCTAAGATCTGGAAGCGATATGTAGATGACACTTCCCAGTCATAGACCGAGACCATGTCAATGGCTTTTTACAATACTACTCGTTTTACTATGGAAATCGAGAAAGACAACGGGTAAACCACGCTCGAAAATTTAAGCATTATGCTCTTGAGCGTCACCCCTGTGACTGTAGTATCAGGCGCAAACTATGGAATTTTTTTCATAATGCTATTTTTTTCATTATGCCCACATAATGAAATAATTCAAAGTAATAGAATTTGAGAGCCTTTAAACCCCCCCCCCCCCCTTCCATTCCTATTACCAAAAGGTAAAACTTTGGGTTACCGGGGTTCAGAGCGCAACATTTTATTGACTCAAATTTCTGAAGCACGAGCAAGAAAAACAGGCTTGCTGTTGGAAGCACTCAGGCTACAGAGTTTTTCTGTAGGGAATTTGTCATTATGCTGGAATTATGCTCCATGCTTTGATCATAGCAGTATGTCCAAAAATATACCGGCATAATGTATCTGACCCTACGATCCACAGCAGATAAAACTGTTCAATATGATCCTGAACAACTTTCAAAATAACTGAGTAGGATGGCAACTTAAATGAGTTTGCTTTCAACTTGAGTGAACAGACGGATAACCAAAGTGAGCCCGCCGTGATGAAGGTGGGTTTGCCCACAACTTGGCTGAATGAAAATATGTTTTTTCGTCTTGTCACGAGCGGGGAAAAAATATTCGCGACCAATCAAAACTCTGACCTTCGGATTCTGCCGTATTCATACATATGACCTCATATTCCTGCCTCAAACATCAACTCTTCTTTATACACAATACACATCTACTAGAATTGTACTTCTTTTAATTTTAACCTTTTATTTATTGAGTCACAAGTAGAAACAACACCCAAAGAATACTTAACCTTTTATGCGTAATTAGAGAATATTAAAAATAAAGTTATCAGAATATAAGAAAGCTGCATTCTTTCCACCTTGAAGTTTTAGATATTCTGTAAAGCATCGACTGAGAAAATGGGAATTACACTTGATAAATACAAATTTGGATGCTGTACGGTCATAATTATTGTGCAGCAATAACTATCTACCCACAAATCAAACAGATCAAAGCTACAATAAGCGTTGTTTTTTTCCTCATTATATTATTACATTTTTGATATTTGAATACAGAACTATCCGCTTGCTTCTAGTAGCTCGCTGGTCAAACTGTTCCAAGGCCCTCTCGGCCATGAAACTCGATCGAGTTGGTAACTTATGTGACTTAAAACTGCATTTATAACTAATTAAATCTCCTTTAACACATAACATCTTCATAATAATTGCAATTCTAAACGAAACTAAGTATTCCCTACGACTGCACGAAGTACACATTCTCAAACACTTACGGTGCATTTTCCTAAAAGACACTGTAAACAAAATAAAAGCTGGACATCTCTTTTAAACTCGAACGTTATGGAAAGATCTTGGATATTTTCACGATTTTCCAACTTCACTAAATTGGGTTCCTTCCTTGTTCATGGTTTGCTGTATGCCGTCCTTAAACGCTATAGTCTCACTTGATCTCCACCATTTCTCCCTGTAGCCATAGAAAAGGAAACAATAATGACTTCAGGCTTTCAGTTATCCTTAACAATGAGGGATTTAGAATTAAGCCTCTAATCGAGATACCGTTGAAAAAAAAGTAATTGACAATAAGATTCAGCCCCCCGAAATGAGTCAAAGGCTGTTAGAATATTTAAGCAATAGACAGCACGTTATATTGGTTTACCAGCGTAGTAACTCACTTGCGATGTTGGGAGGACGCGAGAAAAGTTCTTTTTCATAAAAGAGACTTTTTTTCTGAGCGTTTACCGGTGCAATTTTTTGACCAATCAGGGTGCTCGTAGTATTTCGGTTATTAGACAGATAAAGTTCAAAGGCCAAAGTTGAATCAAGGGCACTAAGGTAGAGAAGGGGTAGAAGTTACACCCTTCTATAAACTGACGCTTATTCTAGTTTTTAAGGTGCAAGCTCTATGGTGTTTTTTTATACTTGAAATAAAATTTAACCTAGGTCTCACCAACCTCATCATTGAAACGTATTTCAGCGTATAACGGGTCTTCGTTTTCCATAACAACTGCCTCCCTCACTTGTTCGGCTCCCATGGTAACGTCAGCGTTTCCGATTGGAAGTGCTTCATATGTATGATCCGGGTTAGTTTGCTTCATTCTCATGTAACCATCCCGACCCAGCTCCCCTCTGAAAGCAGGCTGACCACTTGGTGGAGCGAACATGTCATAGTCAACCACAGCGAGTTCGTCTGCACTTACGGCACGCCTCATTTCTGGTGCCAAAGGACGGGCCTGGGGCGAATCGTCAAGTAACCACTCCTTGGATCTAAATAAAGAGTTTAGTTATTATAATGCTTTATAAGATCAAAGGAAAATGTAATAAGAAGCCAATCATAACTCGTACGTTTTCTTGTACAGTCACACAGCTTAAACCAAAACCAATGCAATTACGGTTTACTTTCGATTCCCTTGCCTTGAGGCCAAGAACAAATTACTCATTTGTTTGACCCAAATATGCATTAGCTAACCTGGTAAATCCTTCATTTGTGACACCAGAGCCTCGTCTCTGCCCTTTTGTGCTGTTTCGTTCCAAAGAAGCTGCCCCAAGATTCGGCCCAACTGCAGATGGGTCACTTTTGATTCGCTTTCTTCTGTTAATGGAGGCGTACCGTGCAGTATCCGAACTTAGACTTATCATACTGGCGCCATTTTTCACATCATCGACGGCATCTTCCGAGTACGTTGGTGTCTCCGAGTGTACGGTGTCGGCAGTGACGGGAGCTTCTTTGCTTGCTTCGGCCTCAATACCGAACTGTATTACTCCTAAAAGTCCAAGAGAGAGGAATCAAAATAAATAACGTAAAAATTGAAATAGAAGAATTAAGGCAAGAAGAAAGAGTGAGAGAATTCCACGAGTTTGCAGCGTTGGACCACACAGATAAATGTAATAATTCCCTGTCCAGTCAATAACTTGGATAAAATCGAACGCTGGTGAATGCTTCTTTTAAGCAACCCTAGTGTCAGCGACAAAACGACAAAAGTAAGACTGAATTCAAATATATTCCACCTTTGTATCGTTGATGTAAAACTAAAGAGCTCCGTCAGGTGCGTATACGTTTGAGGGACACAGAATTGCAAACGAAAACGCCCAGCAAACAGACATAGAGTATAAAATTTACCTTTCCTGGCAAACGATGCATGACAAATTACAGTTTAGCAAGACTAAATTTCATTAAAAGCTCGCGAATGATAAATTTAAGGTCAGATTATTCTAATTCTTTTGTGAGTGATTTGTGCCACTCAGTGGTAAGAAATTTCAGAAATGAACCAATTTACCTGATGGCTTAAAATTTTCGTCCTGCATATCCACAATGACCTCTTGAATTTCATCTTGAGGAACAGATTTAGCTGCAGTCATTATATCCGCTGACGGAAGCCTCCATCTCTTCTCTAAACTTTCGATAAGATATCCATCTGGGTCGTCCATCCATGTGTGTCTAAAGGCCGTCAAACCCCGCCTCTTTTTACCTCTGCAAAGCAAATAAGATAAAGCGTTAATGCTTCGGGCGCTTTCCGAATACGATCAGAGCAAATCAGAACTTGAAGGAAAAACTATAGGCGGGAAAAGGCAAGAAGGCAATTCGGTTTTAATTTTGTATTTGATTGGTTGTGATAGCATGAATTTTCTGGACCGATCTCTAAAGCCGTTTGAACGAAAACAATTGGATCAATATCAGTATCTGGGCAACTGCCCACCTATCCCTCCCCTAACCCAACATTAACCCTAACTTGTTATCAATAGACTGTTGTTGGGTTAGGGGAGGGGTAAGTGGGCAGTTGGCTCAGATACTGATATTGATCCAAACAATTTGATACCGGTTACTTGTTGACATTCACCCGAAAAAAGCTCCAAAAGCTCTTCAAGCTTTGCATCATTTAAAAACAGTTTGAATTCTTTTAAATTCAAACTTATATTTTCGCGGCTGAAAAAACACTTGACTTTTTCAGTTTTGTCATCTCACAGATTCAATATTCTGACAGCGTTGTAAAAGGTGGTCAATTCCCCTTAAACTCACAGTATCTAATCCATATTTTGGTTTTTAACTGTTCTATGTTTCGTTTTAAATGGAACCATAGCAAGACAAAACTCTCCAGCTAACTGATGTGTCTATTCTCGACACCTGCTTTGCTTGATTACGTATTGATATAGCAAAGAGAAGTCATGTTTTATAATCAATTCATTTTTACCTTCCGCAGCAGACATGCCAACAACAATAATAACAACAGGCCATGAGTAGGAGGAATGACAGAATTCCGGCCAAGATCCATAACGCGATCACTGTAAGACGAAACAAGGAATTTAATCAAGTAATATCTACTTTCATTCTATGGCATTTAACTCCAGCATCTATATCTTGTTGGAGTTGTAACTACAGCTGAAAAAGTAGGAAAAAATTTTTTCAAAATGAATTTCAGACCAATAACTCCAAAAGTGGAAACAAAAACCAGTTACTTACAGATTCCAGTTTGTGCTATTGGGCTACTGATAACTTCGGCAACTGCAAGAAAAGGAGAATTCCATCAAGTTTATCGTTTAAGGATTCCAGTATAGAGGTGCATTATTTGTTGCTTGCTTGGTATGATCGACACGGTTTAGTTTAGTCTTTCTTCAAAGTCTACAAGTCATATTACGTGACCGCAATGGTAATTGTCTTCATAGGTGGAATAAAAAAGGAGCATAGTGTTGCTACTTCCCCCGGATTGCAATGTTTTGCCCCCCACCCCATATTTTTTCTGGTCACCCGACGGGTAGCCGTTACACATTATTTATATTCTTGGGTGGAAAGGGTAGGGGTACTCGTTGAGTATATTGTCTTGTTCAAAAACACAACAAAATAAGCCAGCTACGGCTCGTAAACAGATCTAACGATCCGCAGTCCACAGGTACCCAGGGCATCGTGTGTCTCATGTTCTTTCAAAGGAATGATTTTCACCGTATTCCAACTGTATTTACCTGGCGGAGGGCACCCAAACACTGAGGCTCGCATGCACGCCTGCTCAACGAACGTCAAAGGATAGAATCGGATTTTTTTGGCTGCTGTCGTTATATTGATCTCGTTAATGACAATATTCGTTGGATCTGTGTTGCCAGTGAAATTCTGAAAAGGTAAATGATATAGAAGAAACGGACCCTTAGATTTCTGCCTTCTAGAAATAGCGTTGTGTTCTCGATTTTTGTTGCGTTCTGTTTCTTTGTTCACATAGAAATCAAACAGGATAAGGAAAACCTAAAAGATAATCATTTCACCGTCAGGGAAAACTTTTGATTTAAAGTACTTGCTTGCCTGAAAAGCTTTTTGTAACAACTTCAGTGTGTGGGAAAAAATTCAGTTATGTGATCATTTTGGAGTAAGTTTCTTTCCGACCCGTTATAGGTTTTTGGTTAGAAAAGGCAAGTGAATAAGCGAAGAGCGAAAAGAGAGAGTTAGAGGGTTGGAGAGGAAAATTGCTGGTTGTCCTAAAATCCGCAGAACGTCGTCCGCAATTTATCGTGCTCCTCTCCACTGACTGACAACCCAGAAAAGTATATTCTTTCGTTAATCATAATGCTCCAAAACGCTATCCTGTGAGAGTTCAAGTAAACAATGAATTATTAAAGGTAGTTCTGGTCCTTTTGTCGTTAAATAAACCACCTGGATGTCTATGATCAGTGTGATATGCTTCTCCCTTTACAACTCAGTGTCAAAATAAATCATATCTGTATTCATATCTGCATTCAGCTTACCTTCCTCTGGCCTCCTTCTACATACTCAATGTATTTGAATCCATCCTCACTGTATGAGATATAGTAACTTGTTACCCAGCGTTCAAGTCCAGAAAAATCTTGCCCCTTTGTGGCAATACCACTGATATCGACACTATCAACTATAAGAGAAAGATGAGCTGATAAATGATTGATCACAAAAAGGGACAGAAAATTAAGAAAGAGCTTTCAAGTGCCAAAAAGTGGCTTATACTATTATGGGAAGAAACCATGGCGACTCAGAGGAAGATAGGAACAACCATTCAAATGCCTGCTGTTGGAAACAGTTAGATTTATCCGTCTGGAATATCGTTTTTCTGTTTTAACCGTAAAGGTAAGGTGTAAACATAAAAAAAGAGAATGTAAAATGAATTCCAACATGAAATCCTACTATCTCAGATTCACCAGCCATTGGGACGACCTACGGCGCAGACCATAGGCAGATTTAGTTGACTTCTGCTTCAAATCGGTGCAGTTTATTTGTATCATTTAAAACTACATCACTGTTAAATTAAAAATTTTAAGACAGATTCATCATTTCCTTTTTTAATTTTTTTTTTACCTAAATCAATCTGGAGATACGGGTCACTATCATCTGGAGATGGGCACCAGCCTCGCCTGTTAACACCAGGATCAGTCGTGTTTAGTTTAGCGAATCGTGGTAATTGTACAGAACTCGAAGCTTGATAAGAACTATCTTCCAATGGACCTATTTCCCCGCAAACTGCAAAAAAGTTTTAACATATTCTATGAATGTTCTCGAACAATAAATTGTATCGAAACAACACACAGAAAACCTTATTTTGAAAACAGTCTCCTAACCTTGACAGTTTTGAGTGTTGCATTCTCTTGTTTCCACCGTGGGACCGAAGCATCCTCGTCTGGGAATTTCGCAAATACGCCTGCGCTGTTGAGTGCCAGCAACACCACCAGAACGACACGGCTCTGAGCATGTGCTCCAATCTCCCCATTGACTGAATCCGGCAGCTGAAATACAAATTTCAGCTTTGTTGAAAGGTTTATCAACATGCATACACGTATTCTCACTGCAGAATCGTTCGATTCATCAGCTGTTTTCTTTGCGGTGTTTTTCATACATCCTCAGCAACGAAAGAACTTCTCAAAGGAAGATCAATAGAGAAGGACAAGATCATCAAAGCGATAGATATTCGAAAGGAAGTGGATATAAGCACGGGTTTTGGAAGAGTGGAAATCACCCTTCACTGAGCGAATCTGTATACAGTGGTAACCATCAATTCGTTAAATAGCTCTATCCGCTCATGAAGCAACTAGTCCCAGATTATCTTGCTAATCAAAATGTGAACCAGCGAAAAAGAATTAACTGTGAACTGAGTTTCTCTCATAGAACAAACCTTGCATGCCAATTTTTTAGTAGCTTTTGATGAAAAGTGATTAAAAAAAGTCAGAGATGCCAATCGAGATAACGTTTTTACCCCGGCTCAAATAGTAAAAGACAAAAGACAAAAAAAGTAGTGGAAAACAGAGGAAAATAATGAAGCATAGATACGTACTATTAATGCCATAAAATATGGCCTCGATAATTTCTTGGGCTACTTCTCGGGGTGACTTGTTTAGAGGTGCATTGATCAGGTGTCGATCGTCCTTCGTAATTCCAATCAAATCATTTTCATTCGCCGAACTTCCCATTCCAACCCCGATGACGAGAACATCTTTGTTATCAAGGTCAGTGACAGCTTGCCTCACTGCCGTAGCATTACTGGCTGATGGGGCGTCCAGAATGACGACGAGAACTTTCCTGGCATTTGACCTGACCGATTGTAGTTCGTAAAGGCTCTTCGCCTCTTCCAGAGCTGCCAATAGGTTTGGCTCGCCGACAACTTTTTGAGATCTGCCCACAATCCTATTTAATGCATTCTTTTCCGGAAATTGATCGTCGAAGGTCACGCGTTTCATGACAGTAGAGCCGAAGATGATCACGCTGTAGTGGATTCTGTCAATACCGTATTTGTCTATGATTGCAGTGACTGCATTTCGCATCAGGAAGAAAGTCAAGTCAGACGAGGCTGAGGTCGCGCTGAGTGCGAAGGTCAGATCGATCAGAGGGATATTCGCTGAAATAAAAAAAATGTACGCCAAGAAATAAATTATACAAAAAACGCCAATGTTTTAAAAAAAAGTCATGCGTGAGGCAGCCATGCATATGGTGCCTGAGAAATGAAAAGATGATTTTTTCATCAAGCTTAAGAGATGATTAAGTCGAAGGGCGAATGGAATAGACGACTGGCGAAAACGGTGACGAACTTTGCAGGAAAACATCTAATCTGCCTAAGGATTAGAGGCAAAGCTTGTGGAGGATGCCATGTATGGGAAAAGGGACTTCCTACCGAGAAACGATTGATGAATGAGACATATTTTAGCTGGTGTTAGGGGCATCATGAATCGTGTCCTAACAGAAAAAGCTGATATTTTACCTGACGATGCTTTCCTTATGATGGTCTCTGCAATGACAACTGACCGATCCGTAGTGAAGGTTGGAATATCAAGGTAGTCAATTTGTGTTACCGTCACCACGTTAGTTCCATCTTCACTACGATTCACTGAGAAGACAAGGATTCCTTCCCTTACCAATGAAGCACCTGCTGAAGTAATTGCACTTTCATTTCCACCCGCAGTCACATCTGTGAGTACAATGAACACTTTCTTACTCCCTTGTATACTTGGTAAAGATCGGAATAAAGCCTCTGCGTCTGTTAGCTTTGCTTGAAGATCAATAGCCCCAGGAACTCTCTCTAAACTCGTCACAATCGATATGAGCTCCCTGTGATTGACATTCCGGTTGGAGAAGTCCACACTCGTAGAATTGATGTTGCCGTATAAAATGACTGTGTATTTGACTCTTTCTGTTCCATACCGATGGTTAATTGTATTAATAGTGTCTTGCATCAACGTGAAGAGACCTAGAGATTCTACTTCTTCGTCTCGGATGGCAAAACCCACGTTTATATCTGGGATAGTACCTGGTTAACAGGAAAAAACAGTCGTTACTTTTAATTCTCAAATTATTTTTGAGACTATATGGCCCTAGTCGCAAGGTCCTGGTTTCAAGCCCCTACCCTTTCACTCAAATGCATTTTCAAGGTAACCCAAGTTTATTACTGGTGCCTTCCACCAATGAGTGGTATGATTTTCAACGATTTACGTTCATAAAAAAATAAGCTACGGAGACTGGACTACCAGTTATGTTCAGTGGATAATAGGCAAAATAGTTCCTTACGTCTCAATATTCTGTCGATGACGCGGTCACCCACTTTCTCCGGAATTTCATTCACATTTGTCGATATAACATCTAGGGGATTGGGTGAGATGATCGCCAACTCATTTGTATCCACGACGCCTCCAACAGCCACAGAAATAACTAAAACTTTTTGTTCTTCTACCGTTTTGACAGCAGCTGAGAGCTTTCCCTTATCTGTTCCAGAGTTGTTATCTGTGACAACTACCAGAGCCTTCTTGGCAGCAGGTCTTCCTTTTGACTCGTTGAAGATTTTAAAAGTTTCCTGCAATGCATCTTCTAGGACAGGACCTCCCGCCAATGCTGACTGCGCGTCGATGGCTGATTTCAGTTGATTGTCAGTTGGGGGAAAGGAGCTATTGAAGGTCACCACACGTTCGACGCGGTCGCCATATACAATGATACTGTATTGGATTTGGTTGGCACCGTACTTGTCGATGAATGTTTTAAGTGTGTTCTGCATGAATGTGTAAGTGGCGTTGGAGTTGGCTGATGTCGCACTCAAGGCAAATGTGATATCGATATCCGAGAGGCCAGGTATTCCTGTAGTTTGAGAAGCAAAAAAAAATTTCAGGACAAGATACGACTAAAAAGATGTGAAAAAAGGGTGATGTCGGAAAGAAGAGAGAGCGAAGCACTCTACGTGAAAGAGAACGAAATGGTAGCCGAAAATTAAAGGAAACAACTATTAATAGATGGAAAATCTGTTGACCTATTTTTATTATTCGCATCGGTGACAGGATTCCAAGATGATACAAATATGAACTACACAAACAAACTCTGGAGATTATAAATCGTTGTATTAATAACCTAAAGGTACACGGATGAAATGTTTGTTCAAATTTTGTCAACTAATCTTCTCCGCGTTCATGGATTCAAAATGGTATACAATATTTCGGTACAAGGATAAATACCTCTGCAACACATGTTTACAAACCTGTAGGTGTAGCTGTGGTAGGGGCAGCCGTGGTGGTTGGAGCCTCTGTGGTAGTTGCTTCAGTGGTAGTAGCTTCAGTTGTGGTAGTAGCTTCAGTTGTGGTAGCAGTCTCAGTTGTGGTAGCAGCCTCCGTTGTGGTAGTAGCCTTAGTTGTGGTTGCAGCCTCAGTTGTGGTAGCAGCCTCAGTTGTGGTAGCAGCTTCTGTTGTGGTAGCAGCCTCGGTTGTGGTAGCAGCCTCAGTTGTGGTAGTAGCCTCAGTTGTGGTAGCAGCCTCAGTTGTAGTAGCAACCTCAGTTGTAGTAGCAGCCTCAGTTGTGGTGGCAGCCTTAGTCGTAGTAGGAGCCTCAGTTGTGGTGACAGTCTCCGTTGTGGTAGCTGCAGTGGTGGTAGCAGCCTTAGTTGTAGTTGCTTCGGTAGTGGTAGCTTCTGTAGTCGTAGCTGCAGTTGTAGTTGCTTCTGTTGTCGTTGCTGCAGTAGTAGTGGTAGCCTCTGTGGTGGTAGCTGTAGATATAGTAGTAAATACGTTAACCAATAAGCTACCATCGCAGTCAAACCCTTCAATCACAGCGTGTTCTAATTAACTATGATATGAAACCGATGAGGAAATATCGTGCAGGGAAGAAACTTAAGCAGGTTACCTGGCTGAGTTGTTGGTGGTGGGACTGTTGTAGGATCTGAAAAAGAAGCAAGATAACTTTAATTTAGAGTCTTTAAGAATGCACAATCAATGGTTGGAGTTGGCAAGTTTTATTTGAGTGTCAAAAGTAATCGAGGATCTGATTGAGTTTTCTTCATTTCACTCTGTGATTAGCTTGCTAAAACTTAAGCTACCATCTCAATCAATCAGATGTTTGTTTTTATTTATTTTTTCTTATTTATAGTTTTCATGGGCTCCTCCTCGTATCTAAGTTTGTTTTGAATGGCCAGTGTAAGAACTTTGGGTGTGGTTTTCAGAGCATCAATCGAAAAATAGTCCATGATCTTACATGATACAAGCCTACCTGGACATGGGCCGTTATTGCAGGGGTAAGATTCATATCCTTGACCAGGACAGAATGCTCCACCATTGGATGGAGGTGGGTTAACGCAATCACGTGCTCTGAATTTCGTTCCTTGACCACATGTTTTAGAGCAGGGATACCACGCACCCCATGCGGACCACTGACCATCAACTATGAAGAAAACATCGTGGGTTAGTTTCATATTTAAGAAAGAAATCTTGAGCTCCAAAGAATTGGGAGTTGGGTTCGAATCCTCGAGAAGTGACTTAACTTCTTGTTCGTCCCATGCTCATGGTTGTGCATAGAAATGTTTTCTTTTCCCCCATTCACACCCAACGCTTTTTCTGCTGTTATCTGGTGATACTATGTTATCAAGGTAACATTGATGAAGCAACGTGATGTAATCTCTCGTTCCGTTTTTCTCTAAAGAGTAGTCCAGGCCATGAATACTCACCGGGACAATAGTTAGGACAGAACTGAGTAATGGTATTAGCCCCTTCACAATCCAGACCACCAAACGCAGGCGCAGGATTGGTACACGTCCTTGTGCGAGCCTTGAGACCACCACAACGGGCGCATTGACTCCAAACCGTCCACTCGGTCCATCCGCCATCGATAGGATTTGGGTCTTGTAATTCAGCACGAGAGAAAGACACGCATCAGACCCCATTTCACGAAACAAGCACTTAATACACGCGGTTTTCCTCAACTTCTTAACAATTGTTTTTACTATCATAGCGATAATAAGATAGCGAAACTAAAATGTCACTAAATGTGTATATTTTCATAATTTTATGTTTAAAGGCTTTCTTTCCTTTTTCTTAAGCTAATTCTGCTGATTCTGGGATCCTCAACTACATACCACTAAACATTCTAGCGCTCCCGACAGGCCCTGAATTCCAATGTACCTCTCTGATAAAAAGGACTTGAATAAGTAAGCCTCAGTAAGGTAGATTAAGCGAGTGGCATCTGAATATCAAAGTGGCCTATCTTGGATAGAGCGCTTTAACACGCTGAACAGTTATCCTTACCATAACCAATTCTTCCTGGAAAAATTAACTGTCATGTTCTATCCTACTTCTTACTCGCTCTAAAAGAATAGCTTTTAAGCCTTTCAACCCCCTCCCCTTCCTCTCATATTCCTATTACTAACAGGTACAACGTAGCTTACCGTGGCTCAGAACACGACATTTAACGAATGACCCTACGGTCACAGCAGATAAAACTGTACAATATGATCCCGGACAACTTTCAAAACAATAAATGGCGGTTTGCTTTCAACAATAAACGGGTTTCCACCTCTTACACTTTACAAGGACCATAGAAGAAGGTAATTTCAAACTTACCGTTATGACAGCTTTGTACATCCACTCGCATGCAGAAGTAGTTTTCATTCACTCCTTTAGGTTCTATTGGAGAAAACCTCACGTATCGGCTAGTTTGAGGCGTGGTGAGATCAGTTGCCTTCAGAGAATTACCGTTGTACAAACTTCCAAAAAAATACTGAAAGACAAATGAAAAGGAGCAACTTTATTTCCAAGGAAGTATTACCAAAAAATCGATTGCGATTAGGGATAAGAGGAGAAATAAAAAATAACCATCACGATGGACCCACAGGCGATTTACAATTAGCAATTAACAACTAACGAATGACACTTAGCGAATAACGATCACTCAGTTTAGCGATAATGGCAACAGCGACGGTGAGAAACTGATAATTTTACCACTTTGGTTCAAACTAGAGGATAAATGAGAGGCTAAATTGAATTGAAATTAATGAAAAACAAAACATGAACTAAGTATCCATGAGTTTTAATTGCAATCAGTAATCCACGAAGACCGTGATGACTGATAAGTAACCTTTTCTTTGATTTCCAGCTCACGATGTATTCCTTATCAGATCATCACAATTGAAAAATTTGGATTGATCTACTTTTGTTTTTGCTTTGATTAGGTCTCACCTGGTTATTAATAGGGGTATAAACTTGATTGTTGGCACTGTAGCTCAACTTGTATTGTGATACGGATCTTCTCGAGTTTGGCAACCCTTGCATGACGACACGATCAAACAAGAGACTAAAACCTAGAAAATAATGGTTAAAGAAGTTGAAGAGTAATGCTATTATATATATATTATTATATTATATATATATATTATATATATTATATATAGTACTTAGTACTGGATATAGTACTTAGTACTGGAGGAATCATCTTTTTATGAGCGCAATGAAGATAAATAAAATAAAAATTAAAAAATTAGCAACTTAAAAAGAAGTTAAAAGACAAACTGAAGGTGGGCGACAACCCTCCACTCAACATAATTAACAAAAATCTTGCAATTCATCTTTAATTATTTATTTGAAAGTCCTTCCTTCTCCCTAAACAATGGTGAAAAAATTTAGTGACCGTTTTTTTTTTTTTAACACTAGGCAACATTGAAATGGAGAAGTGGGGGAGACAAATTAAAATTTCAGAAAGACCCGAAACGTAATGGAGGTGCCAATACATTTTCTTTTCATTGAAGATCTTAATGAAGATGACACAGGGCTCAAAAAAAGAAAACCGTCTTGTAGAAATCGTTTCGCTAAGTTGGCGGACAAGTGAATCACATAGATGGCTATCTTCCTGAAGTTTTTATATCCACCGCCCAATGACGTTGGCCCTTTGGAACCATACAGCGTACGTAGAACATTTAAAAAAACTAACTGTCACTTAAACAAAAGTCTTAAATCTACTTTCCCTTGAAAGATTTTAAAGACACAGAGAAGAGCTTTTGACTTAAGGTATAAGAGATGGAAGTGTCATACCTAAGTCGACTGTCAGATATTGCATATCGTTTGGAATGGCTGCACACCACGTTACATTCCCATTAATCTTTGCGAACCCTGGACCACCAGGGACGTTACTCGAAGAAGCTGAAAACTTTGAGTTTGCAGTGATGAGGGAGTAACAATCATCTGAAAAACAATCAATATACAATATCAGTAGTGACCCAATATTATAACGGTGATACTAATAACAACACTAATAGCCAAAAAAAAAAGAATTGAAATAAATCCTAATTAGTTAAATCTTAAGAGGGAAAATCCTTATTGCTTTTTAAACTATCTTAGTGAATTTGTTCAATGATTAGAAGGCTTTTTCAGTCTTTCACAGCTTGTTAGATGAATTAATGCTAATCAATATAGGAAGAGAGTTATGCTCTACTGTATTGCAATTGTCATTAATATTAGTTTATCAGTGAAATGATCTTTTATCGTTCTTTTTCTGGAATCATTCGTTTTATTTTTATCCCTCGATCTCTGGATGGAGACATTATTTCAATCGAACTTAATATCACTTCCATAGTAATTGTTCAATAAAGTTTCTGTGATCTTCAAGGAAGGTTTACCCTATTTGCGTTAATTATAAGGTTCATCAAAGCCAGAATTTTTTTTCTGCAATTGAGAATTTTTCAAGTCAAGCATAGCTCTAAAAATTTACGGTGCTTCAGTAGATGAAAAATGTGGTAAACTCATCAAGTTTGGCAACATGTTTTCAATGCGGAAAGTGTCAATACTTTACCCAGACGACAAAAATTTAGCGAGAGACAAGTGCTTCGCAATGCATTTATGTCAGCGCTGATATTCCTATGGAAACACGGCACGTGACTAGATTTGGTTCAGCGAGGAACTGAAGCAAAGCATTCCCTACGTTCTCTCTTATGAGAATAATTGTGAACTTTTAAAACTAATCTTTCGTGAATAAAATCATTTGAAAGATGTTTTTTCTCCAAGAAAGCGCTTTTCTGGAAATAGATTTATCTTGGATGAGATGTAAAGCCAATATAAAGTAATTATGGACAAGAAACAATCGAAACAAATTCGTACCTAGTAATACAACGTCATGTTTAATAAACAGCCATTAACGTGCAGATACGAATATTTATCACACGATATCTTTTAAGACTTCTCGCGCGTTTCACTTGGCACGTTTTGCCGCATGCGTCATTCACTGCGGTTTGCAAACCCCAGAAAGTGGCGACCTTTCTAAGCAACAAAGTATTTACGGCATATTCACTTCAATAAGGGCGGAACATTTTTCAATCTTCACGTATGTACGTTCAAAAGAGCACTTGATATTGGTAAACCTTTTTTTTTTCTTCTGAGCATTGAATTGATTCTGTCATTAGTTAACTAATTACAAATAAATTGTCATTATTTTCAATAAATAACAAATGATCTCCATGGCAAAAAGTAATTTTGAAAAAACAAGTTTTTCTTTGCATATCTCCACAATCCTGTTGTCAAACTGTGAGTTCAAAAACAGCGTTTTTATGGCGCCATCAGTTCTCTTTAACAAAGATCCTTCAATTGAAACCGCAAAGACTTCCCTATGTTCTCATGGTTAGAGACCCTCGATAAATTCCTTTCAAATGTGGTTTGATGTCTAGAAATGTTCTTTGTGCGTTAACAAATTCAAAGTACCAAACGATGAAATATTTGATCCGCCGAAACTCTGGGGCTGACTCGGTTCTAAAATTGTTAATTTGCGGTCTGAAAATTATTCAAAATTATGGCATATGTGGCAAATATCGTCCGCTGATGCATGCTTGCTTTGCTAGTGCGTGGTTTCAGGAAAAGATCAATATTTTCAAGACCAACCCGAAGCTTAACATTGATAACGACGGGAAAAGGAACTTAATTTTTATGATATTTCGAACGCTTTTGTGCTCTTTGTCTTATTTTATTTCTTCTCTTGTAAATGAAGATCTATTTGTTTGCAGAGGCGGAAAGATTTCTTCAATAAAAGAAGATACATTTCTTTACAAAAGAAGAGGGCCGGGAAACGATACAAATAGGATTAACAAAAGGTCTTTCATTCAATAACAATCAATAATAATCGATCACTTTTTTTTCCCTGCGGAAAAATTACCTTAATGAGTTAATAGACAATCATTTGAACAATACGTTTTCAAAATTGCCTGAACAAATACAGTTACTCTTGCGAAAAACTGCGAAGATGTTGTTATCCTCTTCACTAAAAAAACTGCCCAAAATGAACGCGGGTAGCTTTCCGAAATTGATATTATGTAGATGTATTGAATTCCAGCTTTCGAGCGTTTCATCAACTCTTTTTTCACAAAAGGCGAAAGACTCCTTGTTAAATTTCTTCCTCAGTTTGAATAACTGAGCCAAAAATCAACATTCGATCTCTTCAGCAAATCCCTACGGAAGATTTAGACATTCATGCATGTTCATAAAAAAATGAGGTATATTGAAAGGCGCATGGTTTCACACTAACATTTCTAGCTGGATAAGTCTGGAAAATGCGTCCCTAATTTCAAATTAATCTCCTATTTATTTAGTGTAGGTGTAGTAGGACTAGAGACAAGTTTATGTTTGCTTTAAGTAAATGGAATTAGCAAATAAAAGTGTTTGGATCTGTCCAAATTCTTTTGATTTGTGCGTAGTTGAACTATATCGCAATAAATACGATGCTCAGAAAGCTTTGAACACGTCTCACTTTGCATAAGAAAACCAAATCTCATTGTCAATAGATCTTGTGCGTCTGTGTTTAAAAATAGTTTGGTCCTGACGGATACTTTCTTTAAAGTAAAGGCCGACTGAATAGGGATCGCTCAAAGAAATCTAGACATTAGAACAAATAGAAAAGACTTACTTATTCCTCCGTGGACGGTGTTCCTCTGATTTGAGTGAAGAATTGTCAGAACTTGAACTAACAGCCAGCCCCGTACTAGGAGAGGCATTTTTGAGTTGTCGTTAAGTTTCGTCTTTTCACTTCTACGACAACTGGTCTTTCCTGTAGGTCCGTATCGTGCGAAGGCCTTGTCTTTTTGAAGATACTGGATGCAAGCAGCGTGTTTTCACATCTCTCTCTACCGTTGCGCAATTACTTCCCAGCCCCTGAAGTACCGTGACGTCAGAGCATTCCCGGGGGCACCCCATTCAATGAATTGGCCAATGGCACTGTTAAGGCACACGTTAATGTTTGCAATATTTGATTTCAAAGTTCGATGGATCACATAGGGCCGGGTAAGTGTATAGTTCAAGCAGTAATCTGTCTTCTCATACAACTATGATCATTCATCATAACATTCCTCGTAGACGACCGTCGTCATTGCTCTCCAAAGTCGAAAACCGCAACTAAAATTCCATTTCCGTTCACAGAAGCCCCTTCCGTTGCGACGAAATTGTTGTGCATATCTAAAAAACTTTTCTAGCGCACAATTTTATGATGCCTTCATTAAAGAGCCAAAATCGTTCTTTTGTTCTAATGGGAAATTTGTTTGTTTCAATAACTATTATTTCCAGAGTTTTGTAATTCATATATAGACTTGTTTAAAAGAAAATTTACATTTGCATCAAAACCACGGTGCTGTTCAAACGACTACTTTAATCTCATTTTTCCGTCGAAAATGGTGTAATTATTTTAACAATTGTTCCTTAGACTTCTAGCGCTTGAATTTAATTGTCCCTAGCTAAAATTGTTACAAAAGACAATGCCTAATCGATCGTAATTGAGTCTAATTGCTAAGAAAGTAGGTGTGTATAATAATATGTACTTCTATGTTTAATTTGGCTTTTAAGGGGACGGAAAACCATTTTTATCAGCTATAATAATCTAAAATTGGAACGAAAATGTCGCTGTTTCCTAGAAAGAGTTCGTGAAACATTACGTGTATGTAAGAGAGTGTTTTTTGCGTGAAAATATGGAAATTGAATCCAATATCACAAGAGAGTCTATTAGAAAGTTTTCGTGGGAAGAGAATCGCTCACGTATTTCTAATTTTTTTTTAATCTAAGTGTTAATGATGAGATTTGTAAGATATGTTGTCATTTTGGCCAGTACTGGACAAATTATGCAGATTGTCTTCAACTTTTTTTCCTGGCTCTCAGACGCTTATTACACTTATAACATCCACGACGATCCGTGGGAAAATTCTGTCGGCCTACTTCAAACACGAAACATTACTGAGATGAATTTCACGGGCAGTTGAAACTTAAGTGCTTTTAGAAACTTATAATGAAACAATGAGCTTTACTGTTCCTAAGAGATAATGCAAGCACTTTTGAACAATCAGAACGAAAGGAAAAATTAAACGAATGGAGGAAAAAGCAAGGCTTTGGGCAGAAAATGTCTGAAAAAGATATCTGCGTAGGTGATTTTAGGTATGCTGGGAACCCTCCTGGGATGAACTTCCGCAATTTTCAATTCAATGGTTTTTTATCCAAAATAGAAGACGCGATTCATGTCGAAGGACATATATTCAGCGGAGGTGTAACTTAAAGTTCTTAACATACGACTCATTTTTTATAGAAACCTTGAAGTCATGCTTCAGAAATCCTCAGTTTTTCACTAAGATAATCTCCACAATTTAGAAGTATGCATTGCATACTTTTATGTCTGGGTTTTTACGTAAATGTCTACCGTACTAATTATAAATAAAGCGTTGAGTGTTATGCCCGATTAAAAATTTGACTAAGGTACCACGAGCGGCCTGATTGGTAAAAAACCTATGTTACACCAGTAAACCCATAAAAAATGGAAACTTTTCGGGGTTTAATTCAAGGCCGCACTTTCCATCGGTTTACCGGCGAAGAAAACAACTTGGGATGTCGGGAGAACACTCAAAGAGTTCGTAAATCACTTTCCTCCGGTACGTGATTTACAAATATTCTCGTGTTCTCCCAACACCCCGCGTAGGTTAATGCGCCGAAAAAATAAACAAATATAATATATGTACCAAAAGATAAAGTAAAATTCTTTTTCTTTTGTTTTTTTTTCCAAATCTTGTATTGGTTATGATATCTTATGTTTCACTTCCTACATCATATCGGACTTAGAGCATACACAGGAAACAGAGAGAGAGAGGGAGATCAAACAAAGCGTTCTCACAGTGATTCGAGAACAATCGTTGTAAAATGTGTTCTAATTTGAATCCGGTGCGCAGAATATATCTTCTATGTTGGTTTTGACATTAGCCTACAGCTTTTCAGTATAAACTGCTATATTTAAACACACGTTCTCCATATTCAAGTTTTGACGGTCGGAAAATTACGACAAAGCAATACACGGAAGGATTTTTTATTTCTGCTGACAGGCAAAGGGTTTTTTTTTAAAATTCATTTCTCCGAAACAGCAACATGCTTCAAGATTTGTTAAATTTCACTTAATGGCTGTTGATATCAATGAGATTAAAGGAAGCAGGGAAAGGGAGGGTACCATGCATAATCGTGAATTTAGCAGCTGCGCGCTGGATGTCAGGGTCTGTTTTATTGATCAAGCCTGAGGTAAGGATAGCTGAATATTGCTTATGATCAAAAGAGATTTGTTTTCGTGGGATCAAAGCGGGCAATTTCGAGCGGCTCGTCTTACTCGCGAGGGCAATCAATCAGAACAAGGCTCTTGCTTTATCTTGATGGCTTCTGCACAGAGCCGTATAACAATTCCTCATACCATCATAGATAGATAGATAAATAGATAGCTAGATAGATAGATAGATAGATTGATTGATTGATTGAGAGATTGATAGAAAGATTGATAGAAAGATTGATAGACAGATAGATAGATAGATTGATTGATTGATCGAAAGATTGGTAGAAAGATTGATAGATAGATAGATATAGATTGATAGAAAGATTTATTGATAAATAGTTAGATAGATAGATTGATAGAAAAATCGATTGATAGATAGTTAGATAGCCAGATAGATAGATTGATAGAAAGGCCGATCAAAATATTAAACTTTTCTCTTTCCCAGGCTAAGCTTTGGCCTGCGCACATGATGTTGTCATTCGTTCTTGTATTATTTGAATGGAATGGGTTATTTTTGATCAAATACTCCTTATGGTATTCCAGCACTAGGTTATTCAAGCATTTTAAATCTCATCTGTTTCGTTTTCTAATTGTTTCCAAGTCAGACCAGCCTAAAGTCTCGATAGCCTCGTCAGAGTTATCCCTTCTGAATGAAATACGTGCAGCTGTTAGGTTGTCGCTGAGCTTTGCTGCACGCAACCTATAGCCCCCACCCTCATTCAAATAACTGGTAGAAGGAGGGAATTGTACACACATTGACAGCGACTGGCTTGACCAAATGCGGCCAAGCAATCCAGCCTGAGCCTTTGTTAACCTTCGAGAGGACTTTGTCTACACTTCTTTTCAAATCTTATGTTCAAGAGTATTTTTTGAAAACATGTTTTGCGATATTTATTATATCATTCTGCAATGTGGATTAATCTGTAGTTGTTTTATAAAGAAAATAAGAGCACGATTTATAATGAGAGAGAAAACTCTTGTGCTCCTTGGAGGAAGCATAGCTATCCATGCACCTTAACGGCTGTGAACATTGTATAAAATTGTGCAACAACTTGCGGAAAGGTGTTTTTCCAAAATGTATCGAGAAAACAGTAAATATAAGACACGCTGGAGTCGCTTTGAAACGACCCTAGAATGCACGGAAACACAAACACCATCGAAGAGGCAATGTCTTATAACGTTTATGGCTGATAAGGAGTTGGGATACCTGTGGAATTACCTGACAAACTTAGTTCATGAAAAAGCCGACCTTTTTGTTGCGTGTGTCTTAGTCATGCGTGTTATACTATGGAATATCCTTGAAGAAGATAAAAATAGTTGAACTTCGCATGCAATTTCTCGAAGTTTCACAGCAGACGAAATTTCGTTCGGCGTCTATTTGATGAAATTAAATCGACATAGCCGATATTAAATGACCAAGAAAGCGTTAAAAATTTTGATATCAAGTAATGAAGCGGGTAAAGTATAGACGATAACTAAATCACTAAAGAGGGTAAGTTTTTGAGGGAAAATGAATTTTGCTGCTGCGTCAATGGAGCGAAAAGAAGAGCTCTGACCAGCGGGCTTACTCTTGAAACATCAGCTATGGACACTCCTTACAGTGGCCAATTTACATTATCAGCTTAGTTGATAAAACCAAATAATCTTGATAACTAAATGAGTCAAGGAAGCCAGGTGATTCAATCATGTTGATAAAAGTATTCCTCAACCCAGGTTCTATTCCACATGAATAAAACCAACTTAAACGGAAAATGAAAAACATTTCACGAAATTCCGAAAATTGTATTACAGCTAACAAGCTTGAGATGTATCCCGAAGCGAAGTCTCTGGGAACTTTTCTGAAAACTTCTATCAGTCTTCTGAATTGTTTACAACTTTTTTTACATTTGGAAGCGCTTAATTACTTAGAAAATCTCTGAGCTTCAAAAGTATTATCTCAAGCTTAATGATTCATCCAAATCACTACGAAAAAGGGCACACAGACGTAGAGTTCGTTTTCCAAGCTGATTTAATCACAACCAGGTGTATAGGACAAAATAACTTACCAAACTCTCAATACTATTCTATAAAATCAGTACCCAATAAAAGCATTTCAAAACTATGTTAAATTATTTACAAAGAAGCCTTATAAATACGTTATACATAGTATAACTAATGCCTTGTTTTCCGTCAATGAAAAAATACTTTTGACTTGGTTCAAAATATATCTGATATATTGCAGAAAAAAAATATATTAGGTATCTGGGTATCTACTACTGCAGCACACTTTCATGGTCTTCTGTAGCTTATCTTGGAGGAACCCTGCCAAGGAATTAAAGTGGAAGTTAGTTTAAAGAAACTTCGCACGATGTAACCAAAGAAAGTGGACTTGTGAATTTTTTTTTTTGTTGAGAAAATAAACATGGTAGAATTTGTGTTGCGTGTCTCTCTCTTCAGTTGTCTAATTTTCTTCCTCGCGTCTACGAGGCTCAAATGACCGCTGTTTAACGAGAGCTCGTGTTGAGATTCTCAAGAAATCTTCGGTTATCAGTAACAGCATCTCGCCTAACGTGGCCTACAACCTCTAAAAGCTAAAAGTTGTATTTCCAAAATTACCTCATCACTTGTATTTCAACTAATTTTTCCAATTCCCTGAATTCATATCCCTCCAGATCACGACAGATAAAAGAACCCAGTATATCGCTTGAGACACCGTAAGAATTGAGCTGATAGCGATGTGTTTTCTCCCAACTATAGCCTTAGCCGATACGTATTTTCAACATAAATTGCCTGGCATTCTATTATAAATGCTGCAATCCGAATGGCTACGATAATCGTCGCTATTCCGTGATAAACAGCGAGAAGTGAGTGGCCTGAACAAAGCCGTGAGCTTGTCTTGTTGTAAAGTTTTAAAAGACTAGAAAATTTATGCTAAAACAATTGCGTTATTCGCTCTTGATTTCTATGCGTGATAGTTGATTCGAGCTTCGCCCTCATCAGCTATCACGCGAGAGAAATCTCGAGCTCGAGAGAGATTAGATAAGAAATGTGAGGAGAAAGAAGAGTTATAAACTGACCTCAGAGGTTCTCTTTCTCTTCCAACAGTCTGGATTCACTCGTTTGTGTTCATCCGCTAACAGTTTTGCTTGGAGCACATACTCTTTCCTATCCTCTTGCTTCATGGCCTTCCATTTGTCACCAAGAATCACACTTATTGCCCTAAAAAAAGCGATGATGAGGCGTTAAAACATCGTCATCTTTATCGGTTTTGGTCATTCTTAAAATAAAATCTAGGGCCAGTCTTCAAAAGCTAAAATGGTCTAATGAGAGAATACTAAATCACAGTACTTTACTAATTACATAATTACATATAGAATAACATTACCGAGACAGTGTGTTTATATACCTTTCAAATAGATAGAATACTTTATTTTCGTCCTCGCATAGGGAACAAAATTCTAACAAAAGAAGTGACCAGATCGACACCTACTGGATTTACTGAATTTTTTTATAAAGCCATGCAAGAAATTTCTTAGGGGATGGTTCAAGGAGGTATGTTTACTCAACCCTTCTGCTCTGAAGATCTTTCAGTTCTTTTGAAAAATGAAAAATTGAAATATGTTCTTATTCGCAATGAAACGTCGGTGTTTAACCCTCTCCCCCCTCTTGATAAAAAAAAATTCTGCTTATCTACCCTTCCTCCCCCTCCCTCCCCACCTCAACCACGATCGTGAAAAATACATGCTTACCTATTGTCTTTGCCTGGATGAGCCTGAGTTATTTCCAATCGAAAGCGTTTAGCAAATAACATGAAGGCGTTCATTGGTCTTTTGTTAAACTGATGCGTATTGTTTCTTTTAACCGGGCTGGGTGGACTGTGGGACCCTGAGAAAAGTTTGGTTCTTCGGTGACTGTGTTCCTCTTTATCCTGTTATATGAAAAAGATTATTCGTAATTTTACAACCAAGATTAAACTTTATCATACAATTCTATCTTCTCTATATAAGGCTATTTTGACATTTCTCATAAACTTCTTAGGTTGCCTGACTCGTTCCAGGCTTCTGGAAGACCTGTGGCACACGACGGTTTATTGTTTATCTCCTTGCACATACCTTGGCCATACTACTGAGTGTAAGAGCGGCTGTGGAATCCATGGCAGTAAATTCTGACCTAAAATAGGAAAAAAATTATTGATAAGCAACTAAAAATACGGTGTATGAGAGAGAATGCTCTTATTTGACGTACGTTTTCTCCTTTCCATCCAATTGCTTTCCGTTCAAAGTCAATCCCACAACTTCTGAGTCATATGGCAATACACAGACATTACGTCGCAATGGCTGGCAACTTATCCCATAATGCGATTCGGTCGCTGCTGGGTCAAACGACGCCCAACCTGCTGTGTCTGCACCCTTGACGAAGAACGGATGATCAGCGGTGATTTCTGCTTGAAAACTTGTTTCTTCATTACTGCATGATTTGAAAGTTACGATGAATTCATCCTAGTAAGGAATAAAGGAGGGTTTAAGGGTCGGTAAACTAAACATTTTTAGTCGAGGCATTTGTAGAATTGGCTTATGGGCGAACAATCAGCGAAATGTCAGTCAGTCAGTTGGTGACTCAATCAATCTTTCAGTTGATCGTTCGGTCGGTCAGTGAGTTAGTAACTGAGTCACTGAGTAAACCATCAAGCGATTCAGTTTGTCAACAATTTTATTTACCTGTTCGTTACTTATGCAGCAATAAGTCAATCCATAAGTCGGTCTGTCAGTTACTTAGTCAGTCTGTTTAACAATTACTTTGAAACGGTCAATAAATCGGTCAGCAGGTTAAAGAAGAAGAGGCTTACAAGAGGCCATACTTCCTCTTCGTTTTAATAAATTGCTACAATTGTACCCTAAACAAATTAATTAAGGGGAAATAATTCAATCTTAACAAACCAAACTCTTAACATACCGTAGTATTGTTATCAAATTTCGCTTCAATCCTCTGGTAGTCCATGACTCGAAGTCCATCTTGAAACATGTCAGCGGATATTTCATCCATATCGAGATCGTCGACCGTTCGCCATGTCCAGCCATCTTCATCCGGGAAACTCAATTTGGTTCCCGCCATAAAATATTGCCGCTTGGCAGCTGGTGTAGTGCTTAGCAATTCTGTTTGTGATAGATTTTCTGAAGTGGTTTTTGAAACACATCGCCAATTACCAGTGGACTGAAGATCCTAAAAAGGAGAACAGATAATAGATATAAAGTTTGCATACACTTAAGCCACTGAAAGATACTATCAACTGTCTATACCACGCAAAAGTTGTCCAACGTTTGTTTGAACGTTTGTGCTTGCGCTGTTGTAAATATTTTCCAAAGACTACCGAAAATCGCTATAAGTTGAATAGACAAAAAAAAAAGAAACAAGTTTTGAACAATATTCAATGCCTCAAAGAAGAAACGTCTCCAATGAAAAATTCTAAAAATAGAAGGATACTGTCCTTAGTCGTGATATTCTGTATATGTATTACGGTGTTTTTAGAATTTGTTGATAAGAAAATCATGATAAAGATTTTTAAACTCTCTAATTACATATTTTTTTGATATTCTGGTAGACTTGAAAACTCTCTCACAACTCATATCATAAACGATCAACCGACCCTTACACTTAATCACATTTCGCCAAATGGCTTCAACCTTTTCCTGAAAACCACGCATTTCCCACGCCTCAGGCATATCAACAGATTCCCGGAAAAAATGAATACAGTAGAATATTTTTAGCCCCTACGTGCAATTAAAGCGGAATTTCCTTTCAGTTCAAAGAAATTTATTCCGGAAGGCGCTGTGATCTAGAAACTTCTTTATTTGGAAATAACACTTTTTCATCTCAAGCCAACATCGAAATATCATGCAATTTAAAATATATTGATTTACCGACTTATTTACGCAAACGGAAACGCGAAGATGATATAATTAACTATTTATATTTCTATGGGCAGTCAGTTTTTATTTCCTTATATACCGTGCGGTCTTTGTTGCCGGACACAGAAGCCGTCTAGACCACTTACATTGGCGGTTTTTCGGCAAGCAATGGAGGTAGGAAGGGAAGTGAAAATGCAAAAGGCAAATTAATAGATTTCTAGGTCCCTGGCAGAGAAGACGTTAAAAACTCGCTCTGACGAGGGGCTAACGCTCGAAAAATCAGCTCAAGAAACTCTTTCCAGTGGCCAATCTGCATTATCAACTCGGTTGATAAAACCAAATTATCTTTCAAAATATCTCCCCCCCCCCTCCCGGGTTGGGGGGGGAGGACTCGAGGATGGGGACTATTTGTTTCTAAAAAAGTTTAAAGGGCTGAATAGTTTTAACTGCCAATGTGGGGGGGAGGGGGGGGGGAGGAAAGGGGAGGGGTGAGAAAGACGATCACTAGAATATTACAGAGCCCTCTTATCAGGGGATCAGGTAAATTTTATTGGGATACAACCAAACCCCTCCTGAATGGTTCCTAAATCTCCTAATTTTAATGTTATGTATGGTATTTCTGAATTTGCACTGCATAGCGTTCATTTTTCCATCCAAAGCAAGAAAGATGAAAGCTATTGCACGTTACACATATAAAAGGTGCAGTTAAAGGAAAACTATCTCTTCTCCACCCAGTATTCCATCTACATACCATAAGCTGAGGTGGTGGACTGTCATCTTCACGGCGCTTGACATAAGAGTTCTCCCCGCTTACTTCTCTCACCAGAGGACTTTGTGGACTGGTAGCAATCAGGGCAAACTCCGTCAGCAAAGTTACTTCCTCTGCGCGCAGATTTAGGGCCGGGGGAATGGTGCGAGGCTTTGCAGGCATTTCTGAATGATGAAGGAAAAAAAAGGTTTAATGCCACTGAAAGATTTCGGTTACGAAATTTAACGTATTTGATTAGTTTCACAATAACATGGTGGCTGAGTTCAGACTCGACATTTTCTTCAACAAGTAGTATCCAACGGCTTGCGAGACAAAAACATCATAACGATCACAGCAGTTGCGCACATTAGTTCATGATTACGAAATATCTAAATACAACAGGCTGACGGGTAAAAAAAAAAAAACTGATTGTATAAACATTTCATTCTTGTTTTGAGGACTGGTCTAAAAATGCTGAATTCACTTGCTGAATTCATTTAGAAAGCAATTTTGTTTAATGAAAGGTAAAGTAAGTGAGTAAAAAATACTCTCTAGTAGTTTTAACAACATCAAAACTGGAAAAAGAATGTATGTAAAGCATGAAATTGTTTCGAAGAATGCTTGTGACGCAGCTTACAGACGCTTTTATCACATTATCGTGAGTCGTAAACTTCTAATAACTTAACTGATTCTATATTAAATAATTTTCGCGAGAAGGATGTGATTTTTCAGCTTTACCGAGTTAGCTAAAAAGAACTTGCCCGCGAGCCAAGGATCAAACTCTAGGTTTGTATGCGAAATACGTCCTGAATTTTGCTAAGATCCTGTGATAGCCTTTTCCCATACCTTGCTTAATAGCATCCGCACGCTTTTAACTCATCAATGAATAGGCGATTTTGAATGATGAGAGTGGGCCAAGATCCTTTAATTCCACCGAAAATAGATTTTTAAACAACTATACTCGCGACAAAATGATAAATTTCTTCGGCAGTAAAAGTTGCAAAACAATCTCCACCTCTATTTAAATCGCTTGAGAGAGTGTCACATTCGTCAGAGCACAAAATTTTGAACGCTCTATTTATTTAAAGTTTCCAAAATATTTTTCTTTCATTTACATGCAATGGCATGCTTCAGATTAAAATACAGACATCTACGCTTGATTGTTTGTTCAAGCAGAAATTTACACTACTTTAAGCGGACATGCAGGGCCGGAACACGTTTGAAGATTGCTGGCTGCGAAACTTGTTTTAAAAGTGTAAAGTCCTCGGCCTTTTTGATTTTTGATTAAAGGTTACCTGGGCTTTTCCAATTGTATTAAAAGATTGAATTTATTCTACGCAGGACTTAACGCTGAAATCGGCGCAGGCATCAGGCTAAAAGTTAAGTCGAAAGAAGATTCTTTCCACAGCGTTATAGCAGGTGTCTTTTAGTGAAATTTCTTGTCCGCCATAATCACGTGCTTTCAGATGAGTCATGCCCGGTTTAAGAACCGGAACCGACGGGATAGCTATTTCATTCGGTTTTGCCATCATGTGTAATATCTCGTGGCCGGAAACCTGTTAGAATCAGCTGATTTTGGTAAAATTAAAAAAAAAGGTTAAATTCAATATTTTTCTCAGGGTACGCATCGAAACAGCGTGCGCGGAGCTTTCGCGTTCATCCTTTCGTAAAGGGATGTAACGCGTCAAAGCTGGTTCAGTTATTAAGGACTAATCTTGTTAAATGATCTCTCATCCACCATAATCACGTGTGTGATTCCCCGCGTTACAAACTCTATTTTCAGAATTTTTACTACCATTTGCCATCATGTGTAATATCTCGTGGCCGGAAACCTGTTAGAATCAGCTGATTTTGGTGAAATCAAAACAAAGGTTAAACTCAATTTTTTTTTCAGGGTACACATCGAAACTGCGAGTGCCAAGCTGTTGTGTTCATCCTTTCGTAAAGGGAAGTGACGTGTGAAAGCTAGTTTAGATATTAAGGATTAATCTGTCTGTGTATCAGATCAATACTTGTTAAGATAAGGACATGAAGGATTCTGTCCTCCCATTCTACTCAAAAGTCCTCTATGAGGCATCCCATTTAAGAAAATTTTCCGATTTTAGAAACTATTAAAACTTCACACACTTCTACACACTGGACGGAAAAATCATATAATCTTTCTCGATCAGACAGACTTGTCGCACAATTATGTCTTGTGATTGACTTCAAGATTTGACAGTACTTGAACAATTGAACCGTTTGGAGGCTTTTTTTTAAAAGAAAGATCAGTTTTTCTTAAACATCATTAGCTAAGTACACCTGCGAGAGATGGTTAGGAAAGAATATCTTTGCTGAAACGTGAAACAAAATCCGTTGAATCTCATTAAATTATGATTTTTTTTTCGTGAGCGTACTTGAACAATTTTTATCCTCCACTTTCATTTTTACGTAGACAGGAAACGGATTCCTACTCCACTTAAAATATCCTGAGGATGACTCAAAATTTTATTTGTAATTCAGGAAACATACTTCTCTGATAAACTTACTAAACGATCACGGAAGAAAAGAACGATTTTTATCGGCTGTAATTTACCACAGTTTACGGACAATTGATTCAACATCAAAGATATATCGGTAATTTTTATTGACAACAATGATAGAGGTGTTAAAAAGCATTTAAGGGCGGTTTAACAAGCTTTCTGTTTAACAAATCTGAAATGACGCGGAAAAAAAACAAAAGACGGATGAAGTCTTCCCTGAAATGACGATCGTACTTTAGTTCAATAATTCATCACTGAAAAGGTTCGCTTTTATCAATCATATACTCTCATGGTTTAAAAATGCAGCTACAAATTTAGAGCGGATTACACCATGTTTCCATTCAAAACATTTATCTGAAGCTGTCTGGACTAAGAACAGGCTTGTTTAGAAAATTATCTAGAGAATTTCTACTCGTGAAAAATTCCCCTTTCATTCTTGAACAAAACGATAACATTTATGAACAAGCTAGAAATACATAATCTGCCTATCATACCTTCCATTGAAAAGAAGCTTTTCCCTTCTTCCATCTTGTTCTCTTCGTCAAAGTGTACCTTTTCCAAATGATACTTCAAACCGTTAGAACTCTTGAAAGACTTCGGACAATGTTTGCACTGATAAGGCTTTATTTGCCTTTCTTTTATTGGCTGCATCTCTTTGTTAGAAAATTAACCTGAAATCACTAAAGAAAAGAGAAAGTTTCCACAGATAAGTTGAAGACAAGCCGAATTAACCTACGGCGTGCGAAACTCAAATGAAAGAAAGATTCGATTTCCTATTGTAAACAACTAAATAAAGGAACAAGTTTTGACTGGACATGTATTTTGGAAAAATCCAGAATATTTCTCAAGTAATGATTTCTCTTAATCCCTCTTCAGACTGTAGAGCAGACAGTAATATAATATGTGTTCACGGGGCTTTTTTTTCTTCTTGTTTTTCGCGTCAAAATCACAGATTAATGAAAATCGGTTTAATCGCCAATCTACGAGCCCTCTGCCAGCAAATTCTATAACAATTATATTCTTAAAACAATAAAGCTTTAACTACTAATTTTGACAGGATTAATGGTTTTTATCTATTTCACCATTCATATCGGAAAAACTGTCCAAACGATGTATAGATTTCGCCCGAACCGTTAAGATTCCAATTTTATATGTAAACAAAGACGGTATGGCTCTGTATAGAAGCTTTCTCTTCTGGAACATCGCACCGCAAAATCTAAAAGTTTAAGGCCCGAATTCTGGTGGATAAGTAAGATTTTTTTCTTAATACCATATCATTGGAAAATGGATGTAATCTTTTATCATTTGATGACCGAGCTGAAAATTTTATACGCCGTCTTCTTCAGCTACAGTTTGAGAAACCTTTCGACAGGTAAATGAAAGATGCCTTTACATCAGCCCTCGCTAGAATATTCCTTTTTCACTCATGAGCAATTACAAAGTTCTTAATTCAACCTAATGGGCTAATACATTTAAAGTTGTTCAACATTTTCCGGAACGTCTTGGTTTTGAACCAAAACCGCCTCTTCGGCAGAATATCATTCCGTATAACAAAACGGAAATGAAATCACCAAACGCGAAAAGTGGAGCACACTATCATGATGAACTTAATTCTAAAAGAGAGCTTACCGTCTGAGCTTCAAGTTTGACAGAAATCAGTTTTACACAGGAAAGAGAAAAACCCTTGGAAATTCCCATTCGAAATGTGTTAGACTTGATGACGCAGTAGTGAGTTCCGCTCAGCGATTTTTGTCAATTCAACACATTCTTTTAAAATATTTACTTAATGTTTATGCTGACGAAATAGTTTTACTTTCAATTTTCACTACGCGGTTCGACCACATCTTATATTTTCCCGGAAGGTTGTACTAAAGAATTTCATGAATCTGTGACAAACCTTTGAATCAGCACTGAGGGATTTTTTTAATACGGGACAAACTTTGGCAAAAATTTGCGATACTTTAGAGATCCTTTGTGCGAAATACTTGTCATGAGTAACTCAACAACTTCAAAAGTGAGAAAACAAAAAGGCGAGCTCAGGGCCATCTTTGCCACAGAGGACATAATCTTCTGTTTTAAGACGATACAATTTCAGTCAAAAGCAAATATGACACGCGAGGAAACCCGCCACTGAAATAGCGAAAGGTGTGAATGCGCGTTACAACAACTCAAGCGAAAAACGATTGAACCCAAAAGGAAATAAAACATTTGAAACTATGCCAAACCTGAACTTGATCTTGTAAAGGTAAAAATTTTCGCTGTATTCTCGATCACTTGAACAAGCACAGGGACACTAAGATGAGAAACTCATAGATAAACAGCCAAGGCGAATTGCTCCGAAGCAGCGAATCATGATACGCAAAACCGCAAATAATCGGTACGAGTCTAGTCAGACCTCTTCAGTTTTCCCTTGCGCAATGACTCTATTGTTCCGAAAATGGACTTCCTGGAGTGTAGTGCAATGAAAAATTAAAGATATTTCAAGAGTTTCCATGGCATTACGCCCTCAGTTCCACGCTAGTTCAGTTGCACGTCGGTTGGGTATTTTTCGGTTAGATATTAGATATATTGCTTAGATTTTGGTGCGATGTGTTATTTTCCTCTGAGAAGCACGTATATTTTTGTCAAAATTCTCCTGTTCCGATGTTAATCAATATGATTATGTCTACTTATCAAGTTCATTTGCCAACTCTAGATTATCTTTCACCAAAATCTTACAGTTTATAGGTTTAGGTCGAATAGTTTCATTTTCACGTATGCAAATGAAACAGCGAATCTACATGTGAGTTGAATGTTTTGATATCAAATTAAAAATGTTGTCGCTAGTCATACAGCTGGAAATAACCCCGTAAAGATATGATTGTCTAACCTTGTATTATGCATAGTTTATGTAGTTAACCGCCTACGGCACATTAAAGCTCTTAGGTCTTCAAAAGTTCATTTACGATGGGATCAAATTCTGACGTTTGGGACTGAACTTTGAAGCGTAGAAATCGATTTATTTCCTTGAGTTAGACTATGGCTGATAAGGAACCACTTTTCCATCGAGAACAATTGGAAAAAATTTCAAAAATACTTCGGAGCCTAAACTGCAAGATGTCTCGGCAAATAGTTGCGGTTCTAACCGTGTGGTCAATTAGTGAGACTTGAAAACGCAAAATGGCATTTGGAGACCACAATCAAGCAATCAATGAAACTGCTTCGATTCAAGAGTCTTCATTGAACAGAAAAAAAATTCAGTCAACCAAACAACATTCATCAACTTCATAAATATACCAGAAAACTGAATTAAACTGTGAACATATCATATGCAAAGCCAGTTTTTTTCAGTTATACAGAACTGAAGTAGTGCATAAAGGAACAGAAGCCTAACTCGTCATTGCAAAAACGTTACGCAACGTTTCGCAAAAAAAGATGATGCAACTTTTCGACGAATTGTATGACTTCAGTCGAAATCACTATTTTGGAACCAAGTGCACTCAATCGTAAAATTTGCATAGGTTTTTGTTTTATCGAAACTGAAAATCGCGTAGGTAAATTTCCCTTGACGACATCATTGTCTAATTGCTGTAAACAAGCAGTTTTGGCTGTGCAGCTTCTACTCCCTAATTTATTTCAACCATGCGTAAAAAATCCCAAGCAATTTGTAATTAGGTGCACCGATCTTTAGCATCCAATGTAACTCGGTAGGATAGTAATTCATATTTTAAATATGTCAATGAAGCTGTGATAACCGATAGACAACAGATCATTCAGTTTTACCTTCTAAAGTGTAAGATAACAACGATCTGAAGCCATGTCAAAACAAAAACCTTGCAATAACAAATGATCATGGAAGAAACGGGGAAAAATGATTCAGCAAACACATGTGAAAACAAGTTGGGTATTGGACAACTGTATCGGCTAATTAGCAGTTCGCAAACTTTGCCTAAGCGAGTTAATAAGAGGAAATCTATCGTTCCTTGAAAATGATCTCACAGTTCAGCTTTAAAATAATAATCACATGATCAAATTCTCAATTTGGACGCAGGATTCACAATTTCTGATTACAACGGAATACCGGCGCAGACATTTAATTTAAGTGCGGGCGTTGTTTGGAAAAGCGCTTCTTTTCATGGCATCAAAAACACCATTTCTGTTTCCTACCAGACATTCCACCCCGTCATCAATACAGCGTGGATTTCTGTTAACTTATTGTCTCGATCGAAACAAATCACTCATATTTTATTTTCTATAAATACACACTGAGACAAATACAAGATTAATTTGTCTCAATTATATTGGAGAGAAAGTGGACTTATTCCTGTGAGAAATTTTCTTGAGGGCCCTCGAAAAACAGCAAAAATAGAAAGTGAGAGGTACCAAAATAAAAACAATTTTTCACATATATAAAAAAAGTGAACTTATTGCACGCGAATTAGTAAAAAACAAAACAAAAAAAAAAACAAAATAATTAAGTGTTTCAGTGTCTTGAGGCGCTAACAGAATTATAAACCAGAAAAAAAAGCTCTGGATTAAATCATATTAAATTGTATACTTCTAACTAAATTTTCAGTTACCACTAGTCTGTAATATATGCAAAGATGTCAATTCGATTTGTAAACATACGCTGGATTTGGCGTCATGTTGACCGAATCCAACTCAGGTCTTCACAAAAGTTTGCCAAGAAAGACAAAGAGCTTTGTAGCAAAGAATCACAGCTAGATTCCACTAAATTTAAGAGCGACTTCACAAAGGTTATCATTGCAGCTTAAGTATCCCGCTTGAATGCAGTGAATGCTGTAAATTTGTTTCCGTTGTGTAGCCTAATAGAGGCGATTTGATCCTTAGAAAACGGATGTTTAATAAATATTACACTCATCACCTATTATTGTGGTGTTTGTATATATTTTAGAGCGCAGCGCCTATGTCATTCGTAAATTGTCAAGCAAAGGGCGAAAAAAAGATAAGAAAATTGGATTTATGTACAACCCTTTGGCTAAGTTTCACTGAGGAGAGGTTGCAAGAGTCCAAAAGTGGAAGAGATGCATCATTTGGGTTATCTCTAAACATCTTCTTTAGACGATAGGACCTGGCGATGAGGTTTAGATCAGAGCTTTCTCATGTGTTTTCTTCAATAAATGAGTTAATATTATCTTGGTCGGAGTTCCGTAGCAATGTACATAAGGACATTATAAACCTTCGCGAATGGACAAAACGAACTGGTTCTTTCTTTAGATTTGAGTAAAACGCTAATGGAGTTGATATTTATAAACTGTGAGTCAAGGTATACGATAAAGTCATATTTCATTTAATAATAAGTCATCTTATTTGGACTAGGGGGTAAGTTTTAAGAGACTATTTTTCTTGACAATCCTTTTTTCGTAACGAAACCGTTGCAACATGTAAGTATTATCTAAGTACCGAGAAAAGTGCCCCTCTACCGCTCGGGCTCTCCATTCCAAATTAGCAGCCTAATCATTCAGAAACTACACATCTTCGACTAAATATAGGCTAACTATATATTTAGAAATGACCTGAAATTCCAACCAATGAAATAAAAAATATAACAATCGTTCACTGTCAGTAGTGGATTTAGGATTCAGGAAATCGATATTTAAACCTACCGTTGCCAAACATCAATATATTTGGATTAAATTTGAATTATCTGATATTGGCGGTAGCAAACGCCTTTTTGATATTACAATTTTTTTAACTTCAGTAAAATAACGGCTTAGAGTCTCGATAACCCACACATTGAGAATTGACCCGCGCGTAAACGGTACATTCCTAGACTAGCTGAAAATTTTGTTAAATTGGAGGACAAATTATAAACTACATTAAATACTGATTTAAAAATCTATGATTTCGATCGATATCAAAATTCCGTGTACCAATAAGGTACTTGTTTTCTAGTACGTAAACATGTCTGTCAAACCGCAATCGTACTTTGAAAACAATCGATTTTATCGTAAGAAAATCGGCTAGCTTCGACTTCCTTTCTTTCCCTCGTTTGTTTTTAAGTTGAGCCCCCGACAGAGTTGTATGTTTTGAGAGAAATCGGTTGAAAATTGACATTTTCCGGAGTTCTTTCTTGCTATGAAAGAGGTCTTTGTTTTGAACTGGTACAACAATGAACAATAGAGAACCTCACCTGATCTCCGTATTTGCATTACAATAGAAGTCAAAATATTCCTTCACTAAGTCAGTATTTTTTAAACGAAAGCTCCTCTTTCTTCCACATCAGAATATTTAAAAAAATGCGAATAAATCATCCATGTGATGTATTCGATACCCAATGTACGATCTTGTGTTCTAGAATGACCTTTAAAGGTTTTAAACCTGATAGTTTAATGGTCTTGCTGGGACGTATTCTTGCGGTTTAGTATTGTGTAAAGGAATGTCATTGAAAGATGGTTTTTTTAAATCGAAAACGGATCTTAGAAAAGCAGACAGCTTCTTCACCACAAAATCACCTTTCAAAACAATTTCGTGCAGTACTTGAATAACGTTGTATGGATAAATATAGTTTTCATCGATTTGTATTTAGAACGGATGTTCTAAATATTGCTACCAAATGGAAAACAAAGTCGCCGGGTCGTACGATCGCAACCATTATGGAACGACCTTGAGTAAAAACTTGTTACATCCTGGGGGAATCCCCGATGAAAATATTTTGAATCTGTCTTTTTACAGTGAGAACAAGCATTGAATCGGTTGATCAACGAAAAACGGCCTTAAAAATAAGCCAAAACAAGAATCAAAGTCGTCCTCCAGTTACTTGTTTACGATATGGGACTATTGTACTATTGTCATTACTCTTGGCATTTTTTGTACTTTGATCAATCATGTCCGGACTTTGTTTGGAACATTGTAGAACACATGATCTGCGCATTGAAACACCGCATTTCGATTTCCAAACCCGAGCGAAAGAGAGGCGAGAACACGCATCGGTCACTTGCAAGCTCTCTTCGGCGCCAGTATTGCTCAGGCTTGCAGAAGCCGTCCTAAATATCGCGGAGTGCTTTTGAATGAAAAATTTTACACTTACCTCGAAGTTGTCGCGGTTGGTGTCAAAGAGAGATGTGATCACACAACAGCTTTGCGAATTTCTACAAGATTCAGTGATTTCGTAGCCTGTCTCGCTAAGATTACGCGAAAATCAAACCTTTTCGACCGCCAGCCGGGGAGGCAGAAAATTCTTACTACGGACCGTAACCGACGCCATTGTCCTTTCAAATTTTTTACGCAAGTTGCTATATCAACAACATTTTGACGGCGGTGATTGGCTGTTTGCAACAATACGACGGTCTAAATTAGTTCATTCATGGAGTGTTGTCACTCAAGTTCGCGTCACGTGATATGTCGTGATTGCGCGCGTAAAGTGCTTGCCCGGGCCTGTCAACAAAGTGTCGAGCATCTGTATTTGATTATTGATTCGGCGATGAGCTAATGATTCTTTTGAAATCGTGGAGATCTGCTCCTATATGTGCAAACTGACGGTCAGTTGTTTTGTTTCTTACCACTGCAATGCTCTTTAGCTCGAAAGAAATCTCTGTTCTTTGAAGACAGCTCGTCTACCTCATTTAATGTCAATTTCGCGCCTTTTTAGCAGCATGGCGGCTCGCAGCCCAAATAAGAGATATTTTAGGACGCTTAGCTGTTATACATTGAAAATGGTCTTATTTCAGGTATCTCTCAGCGAATAAACCGCATCTTTGTTGCTACAAACCATTTTATAGAAAATCTAACTCGTTTTATAAAAAACCCGATGAATGAAGAAGAGTAAGCGTTAAATTTATAGATCCAGCGCTTCAAGGGAAAGTCAATAATTATAAACCTTACCTGCTATACGATTAGCGTATTGAAGTGTATTCCATTAACAGCCAATGTTATAATTTGCTATGGTTGAAGGGAAGACCAGGATCAACCTCTTTCTATGTGTCATTGGTAATGTTATGCTTTTGTTTTGCAAAGGTTATCATCATTATTTTACTAGTTGACAGATGTCAATAAGATTTAATGACCCACCATCAGAAATCATATCAGTCAACTACTTCATCGCTTATGAAAATTTTTATCCCTTCAGTTGACTCAAAATTGACTGAATTTTTTATTTTCAGGTTAAAATAGTGATAATCACTTCCCTTTTTTTGATGAAAGAGCAACATTCCTTTTGCATGATACCTTCCCCTCATCAAGTGTTGACTGACTCTCAAAGAGCTCATTAAAATATAAAGAAGCATGGATTTGCATGTCTAAACTTGTTCCTCTAATTGTTCAGTGAAACTGAGGTAGAACTCCTGACATATGATTGCCATAATGTTTTACTTTAAATATGCATGTATATGCATTTGTGTTATGGCAAGAGAAAATATGAATTTGTTCATGTGATAGTGATCGAGGAGGCTTTTACTTTTTCTAAAACTTACAGCCCCCTGGTCAGTAGGGTGTCTCACTGTGCAAGCATAAAATATCACACTTTTTTAGATTTTGTAGCCCAAGGCCAAGGTTTTGTCATCTGTCATTTGTGCTCATGAAATTAACCAGAATCTCAGTGAAACATGATAGTTACCACTTTGAAGTTTCCAAGGTCATTGATTCCCTTCCTTTACTGTTCAGAGCATGTGCCAAGTATGGATGGGGTGAAAATGTTTTGAAGTGAGCAGATTGCTATTGTTTTTGAATTACTTTTTGAATATATCTGCATGTAAAAGATTTATTCCCAACTCTGATTGGCTTTTTTCAAATTGAATAGTTCAGATCTTGAACATGCTCATAATGGCTGCTGTTAGGGCACTTATGTTCTAACAAATTTTTTCATCATGTAATGGTTCAAATATTTTCTTGGTAACAAATTTTGAAACCAGTCTGAACCATGATTACTTTGCCCATTTAATCATGAAAGTGGTTGTCATGCTTTAAAGGAAAGGGAAAGATATTTTAAATTGTTTTTTTTGTTGTTGTATTCTTTTGATTTTAGAGCATTGTAAATGCGCTGGATGAAATAAAGATCATGGGCTCTATGTAGTTCTCTATGTAACGGTCTTTCAGTAATAAACATTTATGTTTTGTTTTATCCAGGAATTATAATTGTTGTTCAAGATGTCTGTGAGCACATCAAATAACTTGGTAAGAAGAGAATATGTTTTCTTCAATTGATAGTCATGTAAAACTTTGTTTACTTGGTATCAAACCTGATCTCCAACAAAGGAAGTTGATTGTAGATCTCTTGATAAGATATATATGCCGCCAGACTACGTGAATTTTTAAGTTTCCTGTGGGCAAATTCTCTTATTGAGGATTACAATTACCTTTATTCTCAGAGTGTCAAAGATGTTCGGCGTTCCTTAAGCTTTGAAGAGAGCTCAGCTGTTTCAGAAGATGGAAATAACAACAAGTTAAGTGAACAAGTTGATGAGATGTCTGCTGAGCAAACACCAACTGAAACACAACTCAGGAATGATTGTGAAAATATCTGGAAAGAACTGAATAATGTGAGTGATGTATCTCTAATGTAGCTGTAGTGAGCCATGCAGGCATGCCCTGGTTTACATTATCATATGACCTGTCAGGCACAGCATGCTCAATCCTATTGCAAAACATAGTGAAAGCTGTCATGAGCAAGGTTAAAAGCTGTCAGTCTTGGGACTTACATGGCTTTATTGCGAAAACTCAAGGAAAAACAGAAATAAGGAAAAAATTTGCATTTTTCTTTGAATTGTGAAGTTCTAGTTCTGACTCCGAAAAAATAAGAATTTAAAATATTGTTGGTAGGTATCTTGCCTGTGCCCATCTATTGCATCCTATTTACTGTAAGTTGAAACATAATTTTACCAAATTTTCAATGCTTAATGGTCATATGATAAAATGCTTATCCACTGACTTTGGTTGAGCCAGACAGGAAAATATTTGGCTCTTGATCATGATGCACAAACTTCTCTGTGCTTGTTCCTGAAGTCATGGTCCTGTGCCAAATGTTTTTCTGTTCAGTCCTTCCACTTGGTGCAGTTGCTCCAAAATGATACTTGATCAGACATATAACTGTTAAAAATCTATCAGAACTAAAAAAGACTCTCTTATCTCTTAGGATTATAGAACCTCTGACACTTTTTATTAGGAATCAATGCTTATGTATGTAAATAATACAAAAATGTTGTTAGTGCTCCAGTGTGACCAAAGTACTACATAATTTATAGAAGCCTGATTAATTTTTTTTTCTATTTCCTTTCTATAAATGCTGAAAAAAGTACTCTCTTAACTATGGTACAATGTTATGACCTACATAACTATCTATGGTCAATCTTTTTTTAGATGATATTTTTATCAATTCATTTCTTTTCAGACCCATGCTCGTCTTGATGCAAGGTCCACAAATTCTAACACAACTTACATGGGTGAAGAGGAGTTTGATGCTTATAAGGTAAGTTAATTTGAGAGTGCAGAAGCAATCATGATGTGATCTGCAATTAAATTTTTATCTAGTACATAGAAACCCAAATTCTGGATCATTTGGTCAAAGATTCTCCTCAAGCCTAACTGTATTTGATCTCAAAGTCCTTTATGTAACTGGAAGCCTTAAATGGTCAAAATCAGCAAGAACAAAAACAATACTTAATCCATACTTAGGACATCAAACTTTACAAACTGCTGAGACCAAAGCTAAGTCTTGTAAATCATTGAAAGCAATTTCTGTTAGCTATTTTGACAACAAGATGGTCTTTTATTAATGAAGCCATATGAACACAAAAACCTATATTATACACTGTTCTTTAGGTTCTTGAGAGAGTCTTAAAAGTAAAAGAGAAGAAGCTTCAAACAGAGCTCATAGCAGTTGAAAATCAAGGACTCCAAGGTAAGTTGAAGAATTACTCCAGGGTTTGGATGGGTTCTGAAAATCCTGGAAAGCTGTGGAATTTTATTTTGGCATTTTCCAGAACTTGAAATTCCTGGGAAGAGACTACAGCTCTTGGAAAGTCCTGGAAATCTGCTTAAATCAAGCAGTAAGGTTTTCAGAATTTATGTTACACAAAATTTATGTAGATGGTAAGGAGAACTGATTTTTAAATCTTAGAACTAAAAGGTTTTAAGGTGAAATTCAGAGTCCTGGAAGAATCCATCTGAGTCCTGGAAAAGTCCTTGAAATTTGTTGAAATCAAGCAACAAAGTTTTTAGAATTTATGTTATACAAAATGTATCTAGATGGCAAGGAGAACTGATTTGTAGATCTTGGGAATGGAAGGTTTAAAGGTAAAATTTGGAGTCCTGGAGAAAACAATCTGAATCCTAGAAAAGTCCTGGAAAAGTCCTTGAAATTTGTTTCTGAAAAAGGGCATGCACCCTGTTACTTGTGTGTATGAACATATGTTACCACTGATGAAAGAGCCTTGGGAACCTTGTCTATGGTTGTCTGTGGTGTAAAACCTGGCTGTGCCCGGAAAAGAGGCCATGAGGCAAAGCGCAAACAGGAGAGCCCGTTTGCGGCTAAAAAGGCAGCAGTGAGTGGTCTTGTAGTAGTTGTCACTCTACTAGTATGGGGCTTTTAGTTTAACTCCTGCTGATTGATGCATGTAAATGTGACTATCATTTAACAATAATTTTGTCTTTTTTTATGATATTGATATAATGTTTTAATTTGTTTGGAAATGCTTAAGATAATGGCTTAGAAGGGCTAAGAAATTATTTTCAGTTGCTGAAATTGCTTAGGTAAGAACTCTGTATATATGGGTATTTTAAAGCTGCTTTCATTTATTAAGCCTTTAACTCTCAGATCAAATGTGTAATCCTCCTTACTGTCAACCATACAATTCTTATAATGTTAGTTCAGAGAATTTAGTATTGGATCAACTAATTATCCCCAACTTGATATTTTTCTTTATTCTCATTACTTATCTGGTTAATATTGTGTTGATATTGTGAGGAGAAATTCTGTCTCGGTCACTCATGTGAGTTAAAGGGTTAAGCCAAGTCTTAATGTCTTCTTAATTTCTTAAGTTTTTGTTTTTTATGATGAATTGAATTTTGTTTCAGTGACATCAACGGATCCCAACTATACTGATGCTCATCTGAAAAGTGAGGTATGAATGACTTGAAATGTTTCTATGAATATTTGTAACTCTGTATTAACTGTAAAAGAGTCTTTAGAGAGGATGTTAATGTACCTTTTCTTCTTTTGTTCACTTTACTCGTTGGTGCCCTCTATGGACACTTGCTTGTAATCCATCACACAACACAGTTCTTTAGTGATTCTTACTTTACTCTGCTTTAATTGTCCAATATAGTTGCTGACAAGTATACAGCAGCTAGAAGAAACATTGCAAATCATAAAAGGACAACGCAAACAGGTGGAAGATGACCTGAAAAGGTAATGATTTAGTACATAGACCTGGGTAGCATGAGGGGGGGGGGGGGGGGGGGGGGGGATTTGTAGAGGGGTAGAATGATGAGACTGCACCCTTCCACTGCAAGTGTCTTATGTTACTTATTTTAAATTTGTTGTTAGTTTTCAGTCTTGCTCTGAGGATTTTCTAAATTTTTTTTTGCTTCCACAAAAACAACTTTCCAAATTTCAAATTTGACCTAGATACCAGTGGGTGAAGAGGCACATATTGGAAGTGCATTTGATAAATAGTTCATTTTACAGTTACATGCTTGGTTGCCAAGCATTTTAATAGGAGTAAGGCTAAAGATGACCTTGTTTGGCTCAAACTTTGCTGTTTTTCAAATGCAAATTGCCTTGTTATTATCAATGTTAACTAGATACTAGTCTCTATCACATCAAGGTCACCTTCAGCCTCACTCCTAATCAAAGGCTTGGCAACTAAGTACACAACTGTAAAATGACCTATTAAATGTATGCATCTATGCTGCAATATTAATAAAATTATGTTTTACTGTGATATTTAGAGAGGAAGAGCTTCTACAACAGCACCAGGAAGTACAGAAATCTCTACAGATTAAAATTGGTATTTTAGAGCAGGAGAAAGAAAATGTTCAGGGTGTAACAAGGTAAAAATGGTTAAATATAATAATTATAATTATATTTGAAGTTACTTTTAATTAACTCTTTACACCCCAAAATCAGTATGCATTTTCTCCATACTGTTCTCCATATGTTTCCTAAGGTGCTGACAAGGAGAATTTGCTTAACAATCAACAGCTTCTTAAGTTGATCATTTCCTTTATTCTTGTGACCTTAATTTGTGATTCAGGGGGGACATTGTAAGGAGAAATTAGATGCTAGTCACTCCTAGAAGTTAGAGAGTTAATACTGGCTTCTCAAGATTGAAATCTGCATGCGGCAAACAAGTGGTTGTGAACAGTTAATATGGAAAATTATATATTGAAGAAAAAGAAAGTTCATATATTTTAATGTCATTGGTTAAGGCCTTGAAAATAAAAAGCAACAATGTTTGATTCAGGGGTGGTATTTTAAGGAGAGTTAGATGCTAGATGCTTTTAGGGATCAAAAGTCTAAAAGCGATGTATTAAATTCCACAACTCAAACCCCTATTTTTGGGTGAGGTACAATATTATTTTCTTGGAACCTGAATGGAAATGCTGTGATTTAGGAGCCCTGACCAATGTAGTGAAATTTATGGAGACTGAGTGTATTTTTGTTTTTCTTAGGAGAGATTTCTATGAAGGGGAATGAAAAACTTAGGTGTTCAAAATTGATACATTTGGAAAATTCTCTCAAGTTTTGGATCTTCTGCAGTGTATTTGCATGCTTCACAATAAGCTTAGAGGGAACCTAAGAACTCTTGGGTCAGTTATTACTAAAATGTGCCTCTCTGTAGCAAAGCTTATAAAATGCTTTAGTGGTGGTGGTGACGTTGGGAATGTGTGGGTGGGGCTTCTTTGGAGTTTTTCTGATTAGGTTGCATTCCTTATTGCATACTTTCACCTGGGGCTCTCATTTATAATGTCATCTTGAAGTCAAGGATCTTTTTTCCTTTGTGATATATTTTTAGATATAGGTGGGTTGTATTAATTGTCGGTTGCCTTCATTGCAGCCAGGTGAAGGAGCTGGAAAGAAAGAAGAAGTCTGCAGATGCGTATCTTGTGGAGATCACAAAGAAACTGGTTAGTTTTATTGATATCTTATTTGTTAGAGTAGCACTAGCTCTGAGTCAAGCCCCAGGATTCAGCTTCTAAAGGACTTGGCTCTGGTCCCACTAACCTGGAGGTAGCTAGTCAGTCATTCAGCACATGCACAGGCTTTAAAATTGCTCTCCTGTAATGTCAGTGTGGACATGAGAAACAGGTTGTTAGAATGAAAAAAAATTTGATCAGCCAAAGAAGTTGACTTATATTACAGAGAATTTTTTGACAGGGGAGTGGCAGTTGCCAGATCATACCTCAAAGGCACTGTATTGAAAATTAAATATCAATCATGAATTTAATTTGATTTTCAGCTTCAGGCTTTCCTTTGCTTAATTTTCAGGGTTCTTTTTTGGCTGAAAACTTTCCCCTTCCATCACCTGATAACTTGAAAGGAAGCAAGGTAAATGTCATTTGATGTGTAGTGGAGGGCACGTAGCTAACATACACATCCACAAGTTAAGGTAGCATTGATTAGAGGAGGGTTGTGCCAGTAATCCCTCAGGGCCCAATTGTTCAAAGGCTGATTAGCGCTAACCTAGGGTTAAATTTTAATCCAGGTTTCCATATTTCTCTGTTCAAAAGCTTTTTCAGAATAATTTTACTCATTGTTTTTAGAGCATTCAATTATCAAATTGTAGTCAAAGAGAAATAAACTGAATTTGCTCCTCAAGCCTTCAGATCTGAAATCAAATTTCACACTTATCCTAGATTATCTTAACCCAGCTTTGAACAACCCGGCCCAGGTCTTGATGTTGGCAATATGAATTATGAGTAAGAGTTTCCTTTTGGTAACAGTTGGCAATTATTTACTTTAACCCTTTATTCTCTAACATCAGTATGCATATTCTCCATACTACTCCCTAGACATTTCCTAAGGTTCTGACAAGGAGAATTTGTTCAACAATCAAGAGCTTCTTTACTTGGTGTTCATCTCCTTTATCCTCATGACCTTGATGTTTGATTCAGGGTGACATTAATTGTAGGTAGAAATTAGATGTTGGTCACTTTTATGGGTTAAATGGTTAATTATGATTATTGATAAGAATAGGATTGTGTCAGTAATCCCTCAGGACTTGATGTTGGCAAGATGAATTATATGTACCAGTTTCCTAACGGCAACAGTTGGCAATTATTTGCTTCAATTATGATCATCATTCAAAAAGGAAATTGCATTAATTGCATTAAATGGCAGACTATAATTGTAGCAAACTGTTAGGGTACACTTTGTTGCCATTATGCCCTGAGTTATCATAAACTTTTGATTTATTTTTATTCCAGGCAAAGGTCCATCTAGACCCTAATGTTAGGTACATCTCACTGCAAAAGTTAACTGAGGTACATATTCTCACCAGATCTTTATCTTATAGCAGTTCTTTTGCATACATAAGGGAAGTATTTTCCTTGTTGCTGTCTGTATCTTTAGATTTAATCTTACAATGTACTGTGAAATATTTGAAAAAAAATTCTCTTTGAAATGAAATTTCTTCAATATGCTTGTTGGGTGTGATAATTGCTACACCATCAGGCTGACTCTGTTGGCAACATGGCAATCAAGTTAGAAAAAAAAGAAAAAAAAGAAAAATAAAGCTTTGGAATTTGGAGAGTTGGTTTTTTGGAGGGAGGAAATTTGGAGAACCTAAAGAAAAAAAGACTCTGAGGCAAACAAAATCAGTACTACTTGGAACCCACATATCTGGAATGATACCTAGGAGAGAGAAGGAAACTTTCCTAACCCTCTGACCCCAGAGATCTAAATTTCAATTCTCCACAATGTTTGCTGTACATTTCTTGTAGCTCATAAGTGAGAGTTTAGAATTAAATAAAAGAGTATCCCTAGTCTCTTCTTCATTCCCATAATCTTGATGCTTCTAAAGCTGATACTGTAAAGAGAAATCACCCCAACGTCACCCCTGGGAGTTAAAGGATCAAAACCCTACCATTCTTGCTCCCCAGGAGCAAAAATCTTTGTCTACACTACTTTATGGTTGAGGTGCATGCAATTGTAAGCCATCCTGCCAGGCCTGTCATTTAAGGAGTAATTTTATGCAATTAGTGTATTTTTCCAAGGAATTTTTCTTAAAATTTTTCTTTTTCTTTGAAACAGGATCTGATGAACATCTCCTATGTAAGGCCTCACGATCCTTACATCAGAATCAAGGAAAGTCACTGGCCACCATACATTGAACTGTTACTTAGGTGTGGCATAGCTAAGCGACACCCTCAAGACTGCAATCTTATTAGGCTGGTGGCTTTCAACTGAAAGCCCACACAAAGGACTTACTGTGTGTCAGAAGAAGGAAAAAAAAAACAGTGTAAAACAGAAGTGGGAAAGAGACTTACAGTTAGTCACTGGCTATGGTTGTTTTAGTGCACCTGCATGCAGAGATGATTGTGACTCATCAAAACAACAACAACAGCTGGAGTCTGTGCTAAGAAAGTAGCAGTGGGAAATGGCGTGATTTTGAAATTGGAGCCAAAACTACAGAAATATTTTCGCATTGACCAAAAAGAATTTAAACAAAGATGTTTTTGTTAAGCATTTGAGTGAACAATCTTGGCTTGGGAGGGGGATGTTGTAACTTGTGGATCCCTAGGAAGGAAAATCAAGGTAATGATGAGTTGTTAACCCTTTAAGTCCCCTTAGTGACCAAGACAAAATTTCTCCTTATGCTATCAGTGCAATGTCAAGTAGACAAGTAATGAGAATAAAGAAAAATATCAATCAGGGTATTATTGATCAGCCCAATTCTAAATTCTCCAAACTAACATCATATGAATTGTATGGCAGACAGTAAGGAGAACTACCAATGAGATCTTGGGAGTTAGCCCTTTACACCCTAACATCAGTATTCATATTCTCCATACTGTTCTCTATACATTTCTTAATGTGTTGACAAGGAGAATTTGTTAAACAATCAAGAGGTTCTACAGTTGGTGATCATTTCCTTTATTCTCATGACCTTAATGTGTGATTCAGGGGTGATATTGAAAGGAGAAATTATATGTTAGTCACCCTCAGGGATGAATGGGCTAAAGGGTTAAAGAAGCCAGTTTGAGCTCAGGGTAGAAACTTTCAACCCATCTGATTCTGACCCAAATAAAGACCTCTCTCTTATCCCTCCCTTTTGAAAATGAACAGTCTTGCTCAAATAATTGAATTGTTAACAACAATTTATTATGTGACAGTTACTCTTAAAAAAGAAAAATACATTGTAAAAGTAACATCTGCACAAACAAAACAATTTATTTAGCTTATGAACTAGATACTATCCTGTTGCAATACATCTGCATTTTGTCATTTAATGACCAATTATTACATCCCTTAATGCCACCCTCATGATTGCAATGATTGCAATCCAAAAAGAAGTCAAATAATAATGCAACTGGAAAAATTGATACATGTCAGTTAAAATAAAGTATAAAAAATAATTATTCACTAAAGTGGAGGTAAATATCCACCTTATTCACCAACACTGAGGTGAATAATAATTAGTTTTTAGTATAAAACACACAGAAACCAAACTGTTGATGTGCAATTTTTCCTCTTTGGCAGCTTGGAGGTGAATAGTATTTGCTAATCACTTCCAAACCAGCCAATCTGTGTTGGCAAAAAAGTACTGTTCACCTGTGTGGTATAAACTAATTAAAGTATGTTAAACCAATGTTGATTTGGACATAGATGTAACAAATATTCCATGAAATAGTTGAGAACCACAATTTTAGTTCCTCATTTTCCTGTTGTTCATGGACCAATTTTCAATTGACTATTGTACGTATTTGTGCCGTGCGATTAGCCTTGGAATTTTGCGACACGTTCTCGACTAACGAGATGAGAATCCGTTAATCAATCATGCTTTGACAGCCGCGTTTCCCAAGCCTTTGTTTAAGTTCTGACTGGTGCCTAGTGATGTTTACCTTCGTATTGATCGGACAGAGAGCAATTTTCCATGAGTGTCGAAAATGATCAGATATTGCTTCGGTTTTGCTTTTATTAATTCGTTTGCTTCTTTTTACCTTAAGTTATCAGGGAATTTCCCTTCGCTATGACGGGCGGTTTTACGGCACGAGTAAAAAGCGCTCAAACAGTATTCTGGTTTTGGGTTTACGTCACTCGTTCAAAAAGTTATTCCAAATTGTTGGCTAGGCGATGGTCAATTGTTTCTGAAGATTATTTCACCCACAGTCAGAGACTAACAACAACCTTCTTTGCGTTTACTCAAGGTCATAATATATGCTACTGCAGCACCAACGGTGCTCAAAACTCAAATGCGCAATTTTTCTTTTCCATGGGCATGTTTTCTTTAGTCAAACTTCAGGAACTAAATAGTAGTTTTACAAGGTGTAGAAAGAAACGTTTGGATTTACACTGTTAATATTAACTTACGATTTGAATTTTGTTTGACGGAGTTTTTTTTTTCTGTCTACATTTTTTCGAACGGAAGAGTTAATCCACACGAACATGATTTACTCCATTCTCCGGTAACAGGATCCTGTGAGTGTCCACTCTCAGGAAATACATGGCAATGTCCCTCACCAGCAACACTCGTTTTGCCCTCTTCAAAGACAACATGAAGAAAAAGGTTAATACTGTACTATTTGATCGTGTAATCTGATCGTCCGGATGAGTAGTCTTGAGAACTTTTATTTTCGGTGGTAGAAACTGACGTTTCGACAACCTTTGTGGTAAAGAAAGCGTGATGTTATTTGTTTCCGTTGGATTGGAAGTCCGTCAACTTATTCGCGAAATTTACTCTACAGGCAAACAGAGCAGAACGACCAACAAGACTAACGGATCAAAACTGACCAATCATGACCGACGAACGCTACTCGAGTCTCGCAGCCAATCACATCTCTGCACAACAGACCGATCAACTGACATGAACCGAACTAATACAATTCGACTCGGATGATGTCTTCCGCTTAGGTTGTCGAAACGTCAGTCGCTATTACTAACAACAATCCTTCTCAAGACCACGTTCATCGGGAGGATCAGACTAAACAAACAATTGTCGCTTTACTGTAAAACTAAACAAGTTTATTACTACGAAAGTGACGCTAACTAGAGTCGAAAAATTTCGTCTGTACTGAAATTCCCCAACCAAAACGAATTCTGTGCCAATTTTCATTGCACATTGTTAAAAAATCATCGTGCCAAACACACTTTGGCCATATCTCCATAGAATAGCTTAGTTATCAACAGAGCATTACCTTGTCTGTTTAGAGGCCATGAAACTAAGGTGTCGGTGGCAGCCTCGTCCTCTTGGCTTGGTGTCTCAACTGTGCTTGTCTCCTGCAAAGACGGCCACATGAAGAGCGATTATTAGTACCAGAGTAGACTTCTCAACACATGGAGGTTGGAGCGGGAATCATACATGTGCAAGGGTCAAAAAATGCAGAGCGCAAGAAAGAAGTACATAAGCTCGACCTACGTAGCAGCATCACTAACAAATCTAGCAGTTGCGAAGACTTTAGAGAGAGTGAATGCAAAAATTGTACCTCAACAGCTATTATTTTCAAGACTCCGCGTACATTTTCGAACATGTATGTCTCTATTTCTCGCGATTTCAATAATTTAATGTTCCTGGGTTGTTTCGATTCAATTATTTAAGTGACGACAAGAAAAATATCCAGGTACAAGAGAAACCATGTCTGTTTCAAACTAACCTATTCCATGTACTTAGTTCGATGGGACGAACAAAAAGGCGGAGCGAGCGGGAAAAAAACGTAGGAGGGATGAAACCGATGGCGACGGAAAGAGGGCTTCTCTTTTTCGATTTTAGTCCGTCTGCCTTTTCGCTCTCGTTTCCTGATCGCGGAAAAGCTGGCACGAAATAAGACAGGATTGAGATTGACAAGTGAATGTGGCTCTACCTCTGTGTTGTATCTTTTCTTCAGTCTTTCACGGATTAACAGTGACCTCGTCAAAAGCTTCCAGTTCGCCAGCATACGTTTTTCGCGCTTCTGCGGAAATCAAGATATGAAGAGCAAACACACAGTCAACTCCTTCTCGTACAATCGATTCAATGTCCAGCGAACAGCTGATTAGAAATTTTATCAACCACATCATGGTTTATCTCGATAAAACATCAAATTCTCACAAATAATTTAAAAGGAAACATATGGCATGAGGTGGAGAGAGTTGATAAACAGACCTCTGCTCTTTTCCTCTCTGCTTGTTCCTCTTCTTCATGCCACGCATCCAATAACACCTGTTCATATTCCTCACACACCACAACACCATCAATACTGAGAAAAAAAGGTTGACGAGAAAATTTACAATTTATGCAAGCTTTCAAATAATAAAAAAAAACTTTGCACTGCCCAGAACGGTTATTGTCCCCAAGCCATTTACTTCCACTTCAAGAAAAGCTGGCTATTCTACTGCGTCCTATTAAGGAAAGACCCTCAGAGAGAGCTCCAATCATTGTCATGAACACAACACGGCGCTCATTGTTTTAATGAACGTAAATTAATGTAAGTTATTTCTAGCCAAAATTTCACAAACGAGAACATTAATAAATACAATTTGAGAATAAAATTCAGATATCTCTAACTGTCGCGGCTACAAAATGGTGAACAGCTTCTTACCGGTAGAGGAAAACATTTTCAAAATATCTACTTACACAGGGTGACTAAAACCACAGTGAAAATCAAATCCAATCACAGCCTGAGCGCAATCAATGCCGAGTTTCTTAGCCACCCGTTGGATGCCGTTAACTATTAAACAAAAGAACGATGATAAGAACTACTGTCCGTCTCACATCGTTGAAGAAGCGATGACCATTCTGATTTCACGGTGTCCGCCCTCATTTCTCCTCCCTCCTCCCCCTTGTCTTTTATTCCCCTTCCTTAACCTCCCCCCCTTTAGCCTCCTCACCCCCTTCGCCTTCTTTGCGTTCCTTACCCATTCCTCCCTCTTTCCTCCTCCACACAGATGCCCCCTCCCTTCCCTTACTAACGAGTAAAAAGTCCGTGTTTCAGGAAATTACCAGGGAGGGGAGGGGGGGGGGGCGGGGGGGAACCTGCCGTGAAATATGTGTCATTCGAACAGAAAAGTAACATCCCACACAACTGTATCTTATTCATCAACCCCAACTCCTACCCTGTTACTACAAATCCGATAAACCTCCAACCTTCTACCGGCGCAGGAAAATAAGGGCGGCGTCTTCTAAAGTGCAATAGAACTGACACTTATCACATAATATAAGAAACTCACTTTGAATGTGCCTCGTTCCTGGTGGCAGCATACAAGGTTGGAATAACTCTACGTTACCATATTCATTCCTTGGTACTTTTCCCTGAAAGCCAAAAAGATTCATACAAATATTTCATTTTAAATGCACATATTTCCTTCTTCTCTAAATGCCACAAACACTTGTTTTTCAAGCTCCTTACATCTTTCGCTGGCGGAGGTTTATATTTCTCTGTTTGCCATCTGCCAAACAAGTCAATTGTGACTGAATCTCGCTCATGGATTGGTTGATTCTGAGTAAACAAACAAAAAATCAATAAAAAACTTTCAAACTCCGTATACATTTAGAAATCTGGACCTTCAAAGACATAAAAATAGTTCTCACCCTTTTAGGCCGTCCTTTTACAACCTTGTAAGGTTTCTCGCCTTGCTAAAATAAGAGTAATACAAAATAAGTTTAAAGGAGAAAAATAAAAAACGTCAGTTTATTTTGGAAAAAAATGTCCATTCCTATAAACTGGTAAAGAAACGCATCTCTTGCCTTCACAACCAAAGCCTCATTCAACCACTTCTCTCTTGTGTGGAGCTAGAAAAAAAGTCGAAAGAAAAATACACGATAAAGTTTCTTTCAATCGAGAGTCCGAATCCAAAACCCAAGCAATCACAACAGCCAATCACGAGAAGGAAAATGTCACCAGGATCCAATGAGAACTTAAAGAACCTGAAGCCTGAAGCGCGGGAAAACGCGGGTGACCAAGTCGCGAGTGGTGTTGGCTCGAAATCTGATTTGCCGAGAAAGTGGCGCGAGTTTTCTAAACCAATCACACATCGTGTCAGAAGAAAAACCATAGCAATCCCCGATTTATACTTTCGACATTTCAATTAAAAATTTCTCAAGCGATAGTCCAGCGATTGTAAGATCAACTAAAGAACTAATAGTATCAACACATTTTCGAGCAGAAACGAGTTGAGGAGGTAAAAAAATACCAACTAGGGGATATTGCTTGATCTGACACCAAATTCTCAAAGCGAGTGGAAGAGTTTACTCACCAAATGAACACATTGTCTTGAGTAGACTGCTTCACCGCGGCAATAACCCAAAATGGCTGCAGTTTCTGGGTACAAGCCTGAGAAATCAAAGTCCTAATCATCATGACAACTGTTAGTTAAATCAAAGCATCAATTTTTTGCATTTACAATTTTATGGTGACTTTCATTGCATAACGTTTGTGGATAAATGCCTTTAGGACTGAGAAAAAAGGAATACGTCGATCAAAGACTTATGAGAGGTCACAGGAAACAGTGACTTGCAAGAATTTTGCTACCGATAATAGTGGCGCCACATGACGTCAAGAACAAGTGTGAGTGACAGGCGGATATAAGGTTGTATCCTTTTACTAACCTTCAAATTTAAGGAGATGTCTCTTCAACACGTAACTGCAAGTTAACGCAAACAATTACATTTAACTGACTCACTTGTCCTAGAAGTGTAAAGAGGGAAAGGAATTCAACATAAACTCACAGAGGATGGTTTTTGTACTCCGTTATGCTGGTGGGCAGAGGTTTGTCAAGAAGTTGATCTAGTGGGAAAAAAGGTAAAACTGTTAACGTTTAAAAGGGCAAAGCTCGAGTTGTGCTGCAATTGTTCGATCAATTCAACTGGATTTAACGTCAAATACAACTCCTCTGGTTCTGGTGTGGAGCTTAATACATACCCTCAAGAAGAGAATTTTCCATTTTATCCATTTTCTGGCCAAAAAGAGAAAAGCAGTCTTAATTAATAGTCTAGTGATTCACGTTATTCTTTCACTTAAAATGATGTTGGATGATACAAAACCATCTCTAACAGTTTAAACTATTCCAATAACATAACGTTAAAATATACAGAACTGTATTTCAAAATACTGGTGTTAATACAACATTGAATAATACAGCATTTTACCTTATTTTTTGACTTGTATGGAAGAAGTGTATTTTCCCACCAATCAGAATCAATGCGAAGCTTCCTGGTCTTAGACATGAAGGAAGAGGCATACCTATTGGTGACGTCTTTGACAGCATTATCTTAAAGGAAAGATATAAAAACACTTCAACCGTAAATGTACTTTTACCAGCACTTTGTAAGGTACTAAGAAAAGAGAAGTGGAATGAGGTAAAACGACACAAGTATCAAGTGAAAATTAATATCGTCCAACTAACCATTATCAAATGACACAACATATACCATAGGTTGGGTTGCCTGTTGTTCACACAGTTCAGGATGATTGACACTAGAAGATTCAAGATGAACACCTGGCAAAAAAAGGAAAGAAACTTAGCAATGCTTTGTCATGTCCCCATTATGATAATAGAAATATTATTACCTCAGAGAATTAAGAGAGAATATCGCTGCTCAAGCATTACACTTACAAATCCATTTCTTGTCAGAAGGCAAAAACACCTCAGTCCACCAGTTGATACCTGTTGAATAAAACATACTGCCTAAGTAAAAACACCTGTTTGTTACAATGTAGCACTATTATAAAAAAGAGGATGGAAAAGCCTTTTTTGGAAGCCTATGGGCATTTCCTTTGCCTCAAGAAAAGGGAGATAATTTTGCATGCTATGAAAAGGCATCTTGTTCTCCATTCCACAGTAATGGCTAACCAAACAAGTGCACACATTCCTACTGGTGATACAAACCTGTTTCATCAGCGAAAACTCCCAAACACTTGATACTTTCATCAGAATCATCAGAGCTGATAATCTTCACAGGCTTCTTTTTATTTGATGAATCAGCAGCCAGTTTTCTTTTAACCAATGGTTTGCTTGAAACTTCAAAATCACTATCATCATCCAAAAGATTAATAAATGACACGCTACTGTTCTCAGTTGGTGTACCATTACAACTATCTGCAGAGGACACTTTTGTCCTGGCCAGAGGAGACTTGTTTTTCTTCTTTGGGAATTTTTCTGAGCAGTTCGTGTCTTCCTCCTCTTCACTTTCACTAGATGGTTCACTCCATTCTTTGTCATCATCAATTTCCTTCTCATGGTCACTGAGTGAGTAATCTACCTTGGCTCTCTTGCGTAAAGGTCTCTTCTTCACAGGTTTTTTGGCAGGGTCATCACCAATGTTATCCTTGTTCTTTTTCCTAGTCTTACTGACTTTGCTATTCTTATCAGAAGTCTTAGGAGTTCTTTGAACACCGCTAATCAATTTACCTCCTTCCTTTGTACCAGTTTTAGTTACCTTCTCCTTTTTTAATTTCTTACTGTCAACATCACTTGTATTTTCAGAAACGAGTGTCACGGATTTAGATAAAGTTGTCTTGGGTTCATTTTCTGATTTGAAATTCTCTGACTTTGTAGCAGCTTCCTCCTGAACATGTGGCGGTGATAATTTTTTTGAATTTTGAGGAGATACTTTTTTCCCCTTGGGAGTATTCTTCTTCACAGTCTGCACAAATAACAATATCATAATCATTAAAATGAGTGGTTAATTAGCTCTGTGATTAATCAAATTTTTTTTTGCCATTTATTGATAAAAGATTATTAATTTGTTCATGAACACAATTCAGTACTTACTTTAGTGCTTGTTTTACTGTCTACGTCACCTTTAGCTGACATGGGCTGACATAAACAAGACAAATACATTGTTTATCAGTCTCCTTAGGATGTCAACATTTTGTAAGTATGTGGTTTGGAAGATGCATAACTTCCCCTCTCTAGTTCCTCTGGTTAGACAAAATTAGAGATCTGTTTATCCGATAAATGATTGGAAAATCTTACCTGAAGGGAATACACAAGCCTTGTCAGAAATCCAAGAGCTCTGAAGATTGTCACAAATACCTGAAAATTTATTGTAAGAACATGTAAGGACAATTGAGCTTTTAGTGGGTATACATTCCACTCTGGATAAGTCATATACAATCAGAGTAATACATCACTCAGATACACACAAGAAACCCCATTAAATTCAGTCCTGATGACTTTGGGATAAGCTACCCATAAATAATTTTATTCTGATACACAGCAACTCCTAAGTTCCATCTACTTCTGTTTATGACAAATCACATTCTTAACAGGTTACAAGGAAAAAATTGATCAAGGGAAGGTTTATTGATTATGTTGTCAATTTAACAGATCGCATTTAATTAATTTATACTCACAACTGTTCAGGGTTAATTAAGTTAAGCTTTCTTCATAACTACAAACCTCAGATAAGTTTTGAAATCTGGCAATCTGTTTGTCTGTCTAGAAGAACAATAGAAAAGGAGTTAGTTGAATTATCTCCAGAAAACAGGAGGGAAAGTGAAATGGTAGGAAAATGAGGTATGAGTAGGGGATAAGAACAGGAAGTAGGAGCAATGAACAGAGATGGGGATGGGACTGGAACTGAGGAATGGGACAGGAAATAATGACATGGGACAAGCTCTGGGAATAGAATATGGGAACTGGAGGAATGAAAGGCAAGAGGAGGATTTAGGATGGTGTAAAGGCAGCTAAAGTGGATGGAGATACAGTGAGAGATGACAGGAGATGAGCACATGGAAAAGGAACAAGGAATGGGGGATGATTACAGGAAATGGAAACAAGGGAAAATACTGGGACATTGGAAAGGGGAACAGGGATTTGGGGCAGGGTGTGGAAACAGGAGTGGGAATGGAGGTTTGGAACAGGGAGGATAGGGACAAGGGATGGAAATGTTGTGCAAGTGAGAGGGGAATTGGGTGTGCCCAGGCAATTGGGTGAGGTGTGATAGACAACAGAAACTAGGAGTGAGGGATACTGATTATGTGGTGATAGCAAATATACACACACATACAATTGTACATAAATGTGATGTAATAAATATGGCAGAAGTATTCCATTTATGATTAGATACTGATTAAATGTAGTTTTAAATTGTTACCTCTTTGTCTCCAGTTCTTAAATCATCAGTGCTGGAGAACTCACTTTGAAACCTGAATTTTAAGACATCAGAAGCTATGGGGTAATCCAAACATGTAACTGCATGTGCAATGTTTATCAATCCACATACAATTTTAAGGATAAAGGGGTTAAGTTTCTAAAGAAACTGGTGCTGCATCGGTGGGAGAGTATAACAGGTAATTTAGTGTTTAAAACGTATATTGACCACCATAAAGAGTTTAAAGGCTGATGTTTCAAGTGATAGCCCTTTGTCAGAGTGATGGAGGGCTGAGTTTTACATGTACATTACTTTATCCTCATGATATCTCTTTTTCTTAAAAAAAAAAAAAAAGAAAAAAAGAAGTCTAACCATTTCAAGAAGTTTGTAAGTTGTACCACGTCCCATTTCCTCTTGTTCACAGAAATAAAGTCCCCTGGAACATGGGATAGCAGAATAGCCTGAAGAATGAAAAGTTGAAATTATCAGTAGGTATTTGGTAACTTCTTTAGACTTTAGATCATTCAAACCTTCAAAACAGAAAAAGAGATGTCAATAATTATCAAGATTTTCTGTCTGGTTGGAGCATTGTCCTTTAAAACAAACAAAAGCCTATTTTTTAGGTCAGAAATTGTCCTACAGGGCTGGGTTGTTCAAAGCTGGGTTTAGATGATCCTGGTTAGTGTGAAATCTGATTTCAGAGATGAAAGCTTAAAATGAAAATTCAGTGTAACTCTTTTTTGCTACAATTTGATGATTGGATGCTCTAAAAAGAAAATAAAGAAAATAGAAAAAATGCTTTAGAACAAAGGAACAAAGAAAGCAGGATCAAAATTTAACCCTGGGTTACTGCTCATTGGCATTTGAACAACTGGGTCCCAGGGGTTGTAATTAAATTCTTTTTTTACCTGTAGCAGGGACCCATTACAAATGTTGTTTCTAAAGAATCCACGTGCAATAAGAGTCAAAATGTGAACCTGAGGAAAACATACAATGTAAAAGAGAAATTAAATGGTTCAATACTACAAGCATTACATTTCATATAGTTGGCAGCACCCATGGAAAGAAATTGGCCAATATCCAGCCATGATGGCCTCATGCTTGGTCAATAATGTATATATACACTGTACTGAAGACAAGCCATGCACAATGTTATATTATGGAACAACTGCCCAATACCTTGTGGGCGCTGGTGTAAACATCTTTCCTAAATCTGTTAATTGCTCTTTTAATGTATTTAACAACATCTTCATGACTCCTGTAAAACAGTAAAAAGGACAAAAAAAAGTAGAGTTTTATCACTAACTAAAAACATATTTAAAAGTGAGGGAAGACAATTCCTTTTTTCCAGCCAAATTTGAAGAAAACACTGATTGGCTGCTTGGCTTACTAACTAACTGTCTGATTACTGACTCACTGACTAACTGACTAACTGACCTACTGACAGAATGACTGACTGACTAACTGACCTACTGACAGAATGACTGACTGACTAACTGACCTACTGACAGAATGACTTACTGACTAACTGACCTACTGACAGAATGACTGACTGACTAACTGACCTACTGACAGAATGACTTACTGACTAACTGACCTACTGACAGAATGACTGACTGACTAACTGACCTACTGACAGAATGACTGACTGACTAACTGACCTACTGACAGAATGACTGACTGACTAACTGACCTACTGACAGAATGACTGACTGACTAACTGACCTACTGACAGAATGACTGACTGACTAACTGACCTACTGACAGAATGACTGACTGACTAACTGACCTACTGACAGAATGACTGACTAACTGACCTACTGACAGAATGACTGACTGACTAACTGACCTACTGACAGAATGACTGACTGACTAACTGACCTACTGACAGAATGACTGACTGACTAACTGACCTACTGACTGACTGACTGACTGACTAACTGACCTACTGACAGAATGACGTACTGACTAACTGACCTACTGACAGAATGACTGACTGACTAACTGACCTACTGACAGAATGACTGACTGACTAACTGACCTACTGACAGAATGACTTACTGACTAACTGACCTACTGACTGACTGACTGACTGACTGACTGACTGACTAACTGACTGGTCGACTAACTGACCTACTGACAGAATGACTGACTGACTGACTGACTGACTAACTGACCCACTGACTGACTGACTCACTGACTCACTGACTCACTGACTGACTGAGTGACTGACTAACTTAGTAACTAACTTACTGAGTTAATACCTGATTGCCTGACTGACTCACTGACTGATTAACTGATTGACAGACTTACTGATTGACTGACTGACTGATGGCTGATTGACTGATTGACAGACCAACTGATTCATTGATTGACAGACTGACTGAATGATTGATTAATTGACTGACTTACTGCATGATTAGTTGTAATCAATTGAGTATTAAGATATGGGATTACCATCCTTTTTTTTTCTTTTTTGTTCCTGGTACTGTAATACTGATCTCAACACTGCTTTTGCTGGGTGGCTGATCCTCCTGTGAGGTTGAAGCTTCCTCATGTTCAGGTCCATGATCCACAACATCAGCCTCTACCCAAACAAAGCAAATCAAAACAGAGAAATATTGGTACATTTATTCAAACTTTAAGACTATATGTTCTTTTTAAACAATTACAATTACATTGAACTGGGATAAATGTCCAGTGTTGGTAAGTTTTGCTCAAGGTATTCCTCTACAAATTTCAGTTTTTGAGACTTCATCCTCCTCCCCCTTCTTCAAGGGGGCTTCAGTCACCCCTCCCATGGAGTAGGAAACTGTGTTTAAATCTTTATAGAACTATATTATTGCATCTCAAATTATAGCGATCCTTTCCTTTTTCTTAACCCTTTACACCCTAACAGTATGCATATTCTCCATACTGTTTTTTATGCATTTCTTAGCATTCTGACGAGGAGACTTTGTTGAATAATCAAGATCTTTTTGAATTGGTAATTATTTTCTCTATTCTCGTGATGTAAATGTATGATTCAGGGGTGATGTGGTAAGGAGAAATTATATGCTGGTCATTCTAAGTGGCCCAAGGGTTAATATTTGTCTCATTGGTTCTCATGCCAAAACACATATTGTATACCTACCATCAACATCTTCCCACTCTATCTCCTCATCATCACTAGAATCATCTTCCATAGATTCTTTTGCTTTATTTTCCTCAACATCATTCTCTTCTTTGACATTTTCTTTCAAATCTAGTTTCAACCTTTTGCTTGCAGCTGCATGGTGTTTTCTAGGTGAACTCTGTTCATTTCCAGGAGTAGGTACAGGTGAATGTTTATGTTTCACTGGACTTTCTTTTTTCAGCTTCCCTTTTATCTTTGCGATAGGTACATGCACCTGTTTCAACTCAAGGGAGGTGGCCTTTGGTTTCACATCATTCTTATTAGAGGCTTGTTTCAAACATGCAGATGATTTACGTTTCTCTGCCTTGGAAAATCTTTTCTTGCCATCTACATTTTTCACATTCTCTGGCATTTGGTCTTCAGATAAATTCACTTTAGGTTTTTTTGAGGGAGATTCACTAGGCTCCTGGGATGAGAACTTTCTCCTCTTGCCTCTGTGAGAGGGCCCTAAATTTTAAAATAACAAATATTTATACCCTTAGTAAGAATATGAATTAATGGCTGCAGCCACACCAGGGTAGTTAACTGGGTCTTTTTTTAAGACACCTGGTTCAAATTTCCTAAAAACTTAACTTGGTGAAAGATTTGGTTAAGATGAAACAAGGGGTTATATTTTTTGAATTACCACATTAACAAGGGTTATAGAGTAGGTGAACCTAATTGACATCATGGGGAAAACCAAATAAAATGCAGAAGTTGATGACCGTGTTCTTATTTTCTGGTTTCTCTTTCTTTCATTTAGTCTCCTTTCTTTCACAAACTTCCTTCAGATGCATACCACACAAACTTCCAAGGTACTGTCCTTCAGCATGATGTTGATTTTGTGTAGATATCAGATTGTCCTCTATTGTGGTTGAATCAATTGTCCCTGAGTTTGGTTTTATCCAAGAAATCAGAGATGGCTTGGGGAAATCATGAATCCTGCCATGTGTAACTTTCGTAGAGCACTTTTGAATGAACATCAAGGTCTTTCAAGCACAGTGATGTATTCTTTCAATATTTATGATAAAAAGAAACACTTGTTTCTAAGTAGCAGTACTGATTGTAAATCCTACGGCAATTGGATTGTGGTGCTTGAGTGACCAAGTAACTGAAAAATCATGATGCAGCTGCTTTTTTTGACTCTTTATCAAACTGAAACTGGCTTAACTGTTTCAATCCCAGATCACATAAGTAATTCTCCTTACCGTCTGCCATACAGTTATCATGATGTTAGTTTTGAGAATTCAGTATTGAATCAACTAACAATTGCCCAACTCATATTTCTCTTTATTCTTATAACTTGTCTTCTTGGCATGGTGTTGATATGGTGAGGAGAAATTCTGTTATGGTGACTTGTGGGAGTTAAAGGGTAAACAGTAACCATATAAATGGATGGAGAACAAAAGATTTTTTAACTGAGTTTGGCTAATTCTGAACTACCTTTCTGTGTAGTTAGACACAGGTTAGTGGTTTGTTATCAGTGCCGTGAATTGCTTTTTTCCCCAAATGTGCCAGTAATTGTGGTCTGTGTGGGAAATGTTGTTCTACATGGCACAAAGAAGTGCATTACTTCTGAACATGGGAGTCTGGTAACAACAGCCACGACAACAAGGTACATTAACTCTAATTGATTAATTAGAAATAACCTCGTTAAAATGTCTAGTGTGACTGCAGCCAATATCATACTTGTAAATTACCTTAACCATTCATGGCTCTATAACAAGGACAAACATTTAGCAAAGGGTGGGGTAGAGAGAGGGTAGATGTATGTGGTACAAACCCTTTCAAGAGAAGTAAATTCATAATACCGCGGCAACCTAACGTGTTTTCCAAAGGCAACTAAGATACTAGTTTCCGCCATTCACCCCCCTAATAGAAAATCTTTTCAGAGCCCCAGAATTGGGTACAAAGCCCCCTTGTGTGTTACGTAACTAAAGAAGGCATTTCTAATTCATAACCACCTTCACTGCAATCGCAGCTACTGATCAACAGAAAATAAGACGAAGTCACTTTTGTAAAGGTAAGACGCCCAGAATATTTTCGAAAAACTCACCGTTTCTGGAGGGTTCATCCGTCGATTTGTCACAGCACTTAGTTGATTTCTGTAAAGAATCGGCAGCCGGTTCTATTTCGCGCTTGACTGATCGCAAGCTTGCTTTTGAAGATACAGAGTTCTTCGCCACTGTCGCTCCAGATTTACCATTTTTACAAACTCTTGAGGCAGAAGAAGTTTTCCTCGTAGTTTCTCTCTTCGTTTTAGCAGAATCTGACCTCAATCTCGCCATAACTTGGTTATTTTGGGCGACCGATTTGCTCAATCAATCGCTATCTAAGAAGCCATGTTTCGCGGGTTTCTGACCGACAAACCGCTGATCATAAACATAATCACGTCGCGTCCGTCTCATCGTTTCGTGCAAGGATTTCGTGACTTATCTGTGACCTGAGCGTCTCGATTTTAGTAGCAAAATAAATTAAAACCGGAAAGACAAAAGCCAAATACAACAGAATAACTAAGAAAAAACAGATACACATGCAAATACACATGTTAAAAATATGCAAAAAGAGAAAGTTGGAGAGAGAGAGAGGGGGGGGGGGGGGGGCAGAGGGAGAGAAAGAGAAGATACACGTAAAGACAGCATGTCAAAAGATATCAAGAATGCTCATAAATGATCAATTTTGGGAAGAAGCTGAGAGTATTTATACTTCCAACTATTTCTGCTAATTAGGTTTCATATCAATAACTTAGGGTGAATGCAGCAAGGAAAAAAAGAGCAACAAAGTACTAAAACCTATAAGGTCTCTTTTATTTCTCATAATATAATCTCATAATTATTTATCTAATAATATCCAGAACAAAATCTTGGAAATCAGTTTTACAATATTAAAATATTTTCATACAGCAGTGGCCTAGCTGTCAGATGTTGATCTTAACAAATAAATTCTACATTTTTTTTTCTTATCATATTTAAACTATTTGAATGTTTTGGAAATTATTCATATCAGACCTAACCATGAAATAAACTTTAAGACCCTGATAGATGATGAATTACAAAGGAAATCTTTAATTTTCAGTAGAAAAGAAATAATTTTCTCTGAATGTTTCACCTAACTTTAAATTACCACTTTTCATTGTATTTCAAAGCATTTGTATTTTTCTTTTACCTCAAAAACTTACAACACTTTTGAAATAACACTCCAAAAAATTTGGCAATGCTTCTCTACAAAAACAAAATCCAACCAACATGAATTTCTTATTTTAATTCACAGCTTTAAATATTTTCGTTATTATAACAAGAGCTTCTTCCTCTAATTCTTTAAATCCCAACATTTAGGTGATCATCATGTAACTTCTCCCTTTCAACATCCATACATTATCCAGCAAACAGGTAATGAGAATTCTCGAATTTATCATGCAAAAGTTCTAACCTTGATCAGACAACACATTCTCTGTATCCATTATGAGGCACAAATAGAGTCTATAATTGCAGCCAGCACCCTAACATCTGTATGCATATTCTCCATACTGTTCTCTATACATTTCCTAAGGTGCTGACAAGGGAATTTGAAGCTTCTTTAACAATCAGATCTTGAATGATTCAGCAATATTATAGTAAGGAGAAAATAGATGCTGGTCACTCTATATCTAACTGCTAAGTCTCTCTTTCAGTATTTTGACTATTTGATCAGTGTCTTTGGTTTATTCAAGACTTGGTTTCATAAGCCGACCAAGGAACAGAATGGCTCCTGATTCATTTTGTCTTATAATGAACAGGAAAGGGTGATCAGCTTTGAACATTGGCTTCGGCAAAGGCATACTCATTACAGCCACACCAATAGCAGTAGCAGCAGCTGCTTCGGTGCCTTCTTCATCCACCTCGACAAATGCCTTGTGCACAATCTTTGAAACACACAATGGCTCACTTGAGATACCAGACAGGTCAGCCTTTCCAGGAATAAACATCTCTTCTGCTCCCATCTTTGCCAACACGTTGTTGAGGTCAAACTGCTGAGTCAGCTTAAATTTAGGCAAAATGACTTCAACTTCACCCATTGAACCATCAAGCAGGGATAGTGACTGCTGAAGAGTCTCATAAGTGATCCTGTTTTCCAGCTTGGCCAGACCATCAATTTCCACGGGAAGAAAGATTACCATAGACAATTTATTACCCAGGTATGGCATTTCAAGAATTTGACAAGCCAGATCCTTTGACTCCACAAACTTAAAATCACCTTCTTGGCACATCATTTCAACTTTCATTTCTTCTTTTTGTGACGGGAAGAATGACCCTGTGAACGTGTCTTCTTTTTTGAACTTCTCTTGCCACACACTTTTGAAGTAGATCGCGTTCACCAGAGTCAGCCTGGTATCCGAACCCAGCATTCCTGCAGGAATAAGATCTTTGATCTTATCGTTTGTTTGCTGTTCGACCCATTTGTTGATCTCTTCTCTGGCTTTCTCGACATTCGCAATGTAGTCTACCGAAGCGATTTCAGCGTGGTAGAACTCTCGCATTCCTTGTTGAAAGGACGGCAGGATTTCGAAGCTCTTTTGCACGAAGAGTCGGTTAGCTATCAGAAGCTTGTTGTTCTCATCGCTCGCCCGATTCAAGCTATCGATGAAGTTCTTCATGCTCTTGCCCAAATCATCTGATGAAACTGAATCCACGTGCAAAACTTTCATTAGTTCCAAAGCAGTATTCCCCCTCGTTCCGAGAGAAGTCATCGCAAGTGCAATCAGTAAACTTGCAGGAGAGTAGAAGAGGTTTTCACCGGCAAATTTATCGGTACTTTTCAGACATTTATGAAGATCTAGCGCGAATTTGTTTGCGGCTTCGAACTCAAAGGCAGCCATATTTCAGGTTTGCTCAAAAGTTTGCACAACCTGTTCTTTCCACAACTCGTTTCCAGTCTTTTCCACGCGTCAGGTTAACACAGAAATCGATACTCAGTGGGCTTACTTTGGGTGTAACGCAACGGTAAAATTAAAAGCCAACACGTGAGACGCGCGCAAATTTGTAGCCGCAATACCTCTGCTTCCTTCCTTGAAAAATCTTTGCTTTTTCCACGGATATCAACCTGAGAAAATTGAAGCTCGGAGGTGGTGTTTATGTTCTGTCTCATTACCTCTCACGAAAGAACAAAGTTATAGAGTAATTTTTCAACCAAAATTGTAAGAAATCTAAAGTATCTCTCGCAAATGAAACATCAGCTGTGTTTGAAAGAGCTTCTGGTGGCTTACTTGAAAAGACGGAAAACTGTTGATAATGCCTGACGGAGTCAAATTTTGACCATGTTGCAAATGGTGGAAAACGAGAGAAGATTGCGTGATATGACCTTCTTCTGACGTGACTGTCTCGATTTCCGTCGCAGACAAATGCAGAAAGACAAAAGAGAGAGAGGGAGGAAAACAAAAGTGACAACAGCACAGAAGATATCAAGAATGCTCATGGTTGATCCGTTGTGTGAAGAAACTGACTGTATCACGTCGCGTCCGTCTCATCGTATATTAGGATTCATATTAACAACATAGGGTCAACGCAAGAACAATAAGAGAAGCAAAATACCATAAGTGTAATACAGCTTAAGTATAAGTACGGCTTTCTTGGGCCGAACAATGTAAGAGTGATCTTTGCATTACACCTTTTGTTTTTTCGGTTTTCAATGAATACAGCCAGCAATTTGGACGAATCTCAAGAGTACCAGCGGTTAGCAACGGTGTTGTCGTTCAGTTCAACTATCGCTCTTTTTGGTGGAGTAGATGTCTTGGGCATTGTAATCGACGGCAAGGAAAATAGTGTCGGAATTTCTAAAGAGTTTGAAACAGGATTGGTTCCATATTGTCATGACTTCCTTGAGTTTTCTGTTTACCCTGTTACAAATGGTGGAGAACGATCACGGCAACATTGATGGAAGCTTTTCGCCTCGTGAAAAAGCGGTGACTTTTTTCGGACTGTTCTGGTGAATTTTGCCATTCATGATTATGCGTCTAGTAATGTTTGTTAAATACAAGTCAAAGACGTGTCTATTTCCATTGCAAAGAATGGAATCGCCACCTTTCTATCTGCCTTACAGATTTACTGGATTAAGAACCAAGAGTGAATTATAACTGTGGCATCGACATCGTCTGCAGAGTGATATTCTTTCTCCTCTAATACTAATATATTTCAACGAAGAGCGTGTGTTCGAAAGCTTTAAAATTAAGGCATATATTTCAGTTATTAAGAATTCGTTCATACACTAGGTGATGAAATTCAAAGGATAAAATAGCTCTGACGAGATCTATGACTCTATCACCTGTGTATCATGTGATACTTATGAGTTGTTTCCATTGGTGGAATTGTATCCTGAGTTCATCAGTCTGGTATTGAATCCTCTACTATGAAATTCTATTTAAACTGAAACTAGATAAATTGTATCCTTCTGTCAGCGAAAAAATATGTAGCTTTAATTTGTATCAAAGGCACTCTCTGAGTCTAAATTAGTTAAACCTGTACCAGTTCTTATCAGTATTTTTGAACGTTTTGGCTTTCTTTGTTACAAAGAAACATTGGTAAAAAATTTGTCCAAATCTTAAAATAAAGCAGTTGCCCTCTTGCTTGATTTTTTTCAGTAATCATATGTCGTTCTTGTTGCCATGATCGGGGAATCTTTTAAGGAATTTATTTCACGAACGCCAGTGAATTCAACCTCGCTTTCAGGTAAAGTCCCAGGGGACATTTTTTTTTTCGTCTGGAAGAGAGGAGACCCTGCTGGGGACGAGCTCGCAACCCATGAATTTACTGCTTGTCAGGGATTTCTTTGAAATTTGTGACTTTGATCGCGGACAGGGAATGAGCGCATTTTATAGATTCTCGGCTAATGATGAAAAATGCGAACCGATGCGAAAACTTGTTCTCAGTTGTTATGTTCATTTACACAATTTCGTCATTCCCTGATAATACCATTGATAATACCATCGAAAATGAAACTGGGAATTTTACCAATTTTAAAAGGAATATTCATGAATCTCATTTTCGGTGATGGCGCAATCAAACAAATAAGTTCGGGAAATGCAAAAAATACAAGCTTATTTACCTTTATCATTTTAAAGCATTTTATGACGCAAGTAAAACCGTAACCCTCACCCCAAGGATTTTATGACAAAAAGAAGTTAACTACTACTAGGGATGTTTCCCTTGCAGATGTTTTTTAGATAACGTAACTTCCGAATCCAAAACGATTACACAGCAGATTTCAAACTATATAACCTTCGACAAAGACACAACCTTTTAATTTAAAGAGAAAAGCGAAGCATGGATTGCAGATTTGTTTTGGTCGGTCGTTTTCTGGCCTTTCTTCTTCTGTTCGTCCAGTGTGGGTTTCTGACAGCCTTTCCTGTCTGGTATGAGGATGATTTTCGTCTAATGCCTTTGCTATTGTTATTTTCTCCCACTCTGGTTTACTATGTCTTTTGTTTGGCTACTGCAACAAAACTCCATAAAGTGTTCCGTACGTGGGGTCTTTACGTTTTTTTCGGTTTGATCCCTTACATCGTTATCATTTTTGCATTGTGTGGAGACGTACTCGACAAGAATAATTTTCTCAGCCCGACCTGTTTGAAAGTGATCCTTTGCATCACCCCTGTTGTCTTTCTCATTCTGGTGAATACAGCGAGTGATTTGGGTGAACATGAAAAGTATACAACCCTGGTCTGGTCGCTGTCAATCGTGACAACAATAGATCTAGTCGATGGCGTCGAGATGTTGGATATTGTGCTCGAGGAGAGAGAGAATAGTCACGGAATTCCAAAAGAGTTGGGATATGCGATTGTGGCAGCGGCGTGCGTGAGCTTTCTGTTGACTTTGCTGCAAATCGCACAGAATAAACTCAATAAGGGGACCGTTTCGTCTCGCAAAGGAGTGGCAATCCTCGCAAATGTTTTGCAAATCATCGTGAATTTGGCGTTCATGGTGATGCGACTGGTGGTGCTTATAGGGTACAACAAAGATGAGAACGAGTCCCTCTTCATCATGAAGAATGTGATCTTCATCTTTCTCTCAGCGATGCAGATCTACTGGATCCGAAAGAGCTAATTTGAGTATGTGAAATTAACTGAACAGAGAGACGTATTCGATTTGAAATTGCATCTAAGGAAAGGAAACTGAGACTTTTTAAGGAGGATGTATTTCGACGATTATCAACAGCCGCTTGATAAGTTTGAAACTGAAAGTACGATCACACCTCATCATTAAAACAAGATATCTCTCGGGTCTTTCAAACCATCATCAACTATTAGTCCAACCTTTTTGACAGAGTCGAATTTTAGCAAATAATAGTTTTTTTTCTGGAAGGAAAACGAAAGTAAAATGGTTTTAGAAATTGTAAGCATTGCCTACCTCGTTCATGATCTTTGCACGGTAGTTATTTTAATGTTCAATGTTCAAAGGCGGTAATGAAACGGAACGAAATGAAATATTGTGAATAAACTTAAGGAATGACACTCCGATTCAGCTGCAGGCGACTGCGCCTTACACACAATTAAAACAGAAGTATTGTACAAAATAGTGCTGACGAGGTAAGAGGGTCTCATTCATCAGTTTGGGGCCTGTTTGTAATACTGCAACATTTGTGTTTGTGAGAAGATTTCTCTTTGCGATGTATTGTTTATTTTAAATGGTTAAGAATATATGAAAGTCATATATTTGAACTGCGGATAAAGACGTGAATGAAAGTGATCCTCGCAGTAATTTGCACTACTTAGGCAGTAGTGAAAATAAGGCCTGAAAAAAAATTCAGGCCTGTACGGGATTTGAACCTATGACCTCTGCGATACCGGTGCAGCGCTCTACCAACTGAGCTAACAAGCCAACTGGGAGCTGGTCATGAAGTTGGTTCTAAATAAACCCGTGAAGTGATGAATAAATGGTTAAGAATATATGAAAGTCATATATTTTCACATTATTTATTTTGCCGCTCAAAAATTGTACTTTCTGTTTTTTGAGGTGTAACGAGTTGGTGTTTGTTCTAATAGTAAATAAACACAATTGTGAAGAAAAAGCTTCGGTGTTGTTGTCACTCTCAAGATCTGTCGATCAAAACAGTTTTCAATCCTAATTGTCAGACCAAATTGATCATATTATGCAAGCTGAACGTTATTCATGAGGCAAAACACTCCCATCCCCCCAAATAAAACAAAAATTTCTAATATTTAAGAGAAGTCGTTGGAAATTATTTTCATAACATCGCACGTTTTGTTATCTTTCACCTAGATCCTTCTAATCATCAGACAGCTTTTCGGGGAATCCCCTGACACTGGCCATCAGCAAACAAATTCCTCAGAAAAATAAGCCTGGTGCAGCTTTGACAAATTTATTGGAAATGTTGCCGTGAGAGAAAATATTAGAAAATGAAGTTCAAGAGAATAAAAGAAAAAACTGCAAATGAAATTTATATAAATACTCTAAGAAGAACGAACTTGAAGTAATCAAAGATGGCTTCATCGTCATGACGCAATCCATGCAAATGAGTGGTGTTCGGGGAATCCCCGAACTATTGTTGTGCAACATTTTACATAAAAAAATCCATATGTCACCTGGCAAGGTTTCTCAGAGATGGTTATCTTGATAGGTTCAGATTTTTAGCGAATTAATTTTTCTTGCTTAAACCTCGTTAGCATAAAATTTTTAGACCTTTTTTTAATTGAGATATAAAAAAAAAAGAAAGAAAGAAAAAAAGAAACAGATCCGCGTATTAAAGAAGGTACATAGGAATATCAAGTCTCCAGCAGCGACCAAATTACGTATGCAATGCTTCTGGAATATTCGGGTAATTCCCTTTCGCATCATTTGATCAAGATCGCTGTGGCGTTACCACATTGGCTACTAAATTTCCATACAAATATACGGTATCAGTTCCTATTGCAGTAGTCAGCACAATTTGCTTCTTTCAGTTTTAGAAAGCTTTTAAACTATATAGCCTTCGACGAGAACAGCACCCTTTTAAAGAGAAAAGCGAAGCATGGATTGCGGATTGGTTTTGGTCGGTCGTTTTCTAGCCGTTCTTCTTCTGTGCGTCCAAATGGGGTTCCTGACAGCTTTTCCTGTCTGTTACAGGGATGATAAACGTCTGATATCCTTGGTACTGTTATTTTTTCCTTCCTTGATTTACTATGGGATTTGTCTGGCTACTGGTGGAAAACTCCGTAAAGTTTTCCGCACGTGGGGTCTCTATATTATTTGCAGTTTGATCCCTTACATCGCCATCATTTTTGCGTTGTGCGGAGACGTACTCGACAAGAACAATTTCCTCAGCCCGACCTGTTTGAAAGTGATCCTGTGCATCACGCCTGTTGCCTTTCTCATTCTGGTGAATACAGCGAGCGATTTGGGCAAACACGAAGACTACAAAACCCTGGCGTGGACGCTGTCAGTAGTGATAACAATAGATCTTGTCGATAGCGTCGAGATGTTGGATATTGTGCTCGATGAGAGAGAGAACAGTCACGGAATCCCAAAAGAGTTTGGATATGCGATGATAGCAGCGGCGTGCGTAAGCTTTCTGTTGACTTTGCTGCAAATTGCGGAGAATGAACTCAAAAATGGAACCGTCTCTCTTCGCAATGCAGTGGCGATTCTCGCAAATGTTTTGCAGATTATTTTCGTGAATTTGCCTTTCATGGTAATGCGACTTGTTGTTATTGTCAAGTACAACAAAGATGATAATGAGATCATCTTCATCACAAAGAATCTGATCGCCATCTTTCTCTCCGTGATGCAGATCTACTGGATCCGAAACAGCTAATTCTGTGAAAAGTAATATTTATTTTGCCGCTCTAAACATCGTACTTTCTGTTTTTGGAGATGTAACAAGTTGGTATTTTTAAACTCTGAAGCCTTGTTCTTACAGTTAATAACAATAATTACGCAGAAAAGCTTCGGGGTTGTTGTTGGACTCTCATGACCTGTCGACCAAAACAGTTACAATCCTGACAGTCAGACCAAATTGATCACATTATGGTAACTGAACGTCATTCACTAAGCAAAGTAACCCCTCAAAAATTTCAAGATCGATTTGAGAAAAGTCGTTGCAAACTATTTTCACAATGTCGCACGTTTTGTTATCTTTCACCTAGATCCTTCTAATTATCAGACAGCTTTTCACGTTTTGTTATCTTTCACCTAGATCCTTCTAATTATCAGACAGCTTTTCGGGGAATCCCTTGAAACTGACCTATTAGCAAACAAATTCCTCAGAAAGTAAGCCTGGTGCAGCTTTGACAAATTTGTGGGAAATGTTACATTGAGAGAAAATATTAAAAAATGAAGTTCAAGAGAATAAAAGAGAAAATTGCAAATGAATGTATATAAATACTCTAAAAAGAACGATCTTAAAGTAATCAAAGATGGCTTCATCGTAATGACGCAATCTGTGGAAATGAATGGTGTTCGGGGAATCCCCTAATTATTGTTATGCAACATTTTTCTTAGAAACTCCATATGTCAACTGGCAAGGTTTCTCGGAAATGGTTATTTTGACAGGTTCAGATTTTCAGCGAGTTAATTTTTCTTGCTCAAACATTGTTAGTTCAAAATCTTTAGAGTTTTTTTTTTAATTGTGAGTAAAAAAAAAAAAAAAAAAAAGATTAGAGAAACTACATAAGAATATCAAGTCTCCAGCAGCGACAAATTACGTATGCAATGTCTGAGCATGTGAGCTTCTGGAATATTCGGGTAATTCCCTTTACCATCATTTATTTGTTCAAGATCGTTGTGGCGTTACATCATTCGCTGCCAAATATTTCATACAAATATACGGTATCAATTCCTATTGCATTAGTCAGCACAATTTGCTTCTTCCAGTTTTAGAAAGCTTTCATACATATAACTATGGCTTCGTTTTTAACATGGTTCGGGAGATTCGCTTTCTTCGGTCTGATAAATACACAGTGCTTTATTCTATCTGCTTATCTCGCGAAGTATGAAGACAGTTCCAAGTGGTATCTCACAGCCATTTCCTTTGGCCCAGCAATTTTTGTCTGGATTCTTCTTCTACTTTTCAAAGCGCTGTACCTTAGCTGTCTCTTTCGAATTTGGGGTCTGTATATTGTGGCTTTGGTTGTAAACATCGCAATGGTATTTGGAAAAGTCGGAGATAGAATTGACAAGAACGAGCTTTTAGGACCAAATGCACTGAAGGTGTTTCTGTGCATTACACCACTTCTGCTACTACTGTTGCTAAACACAGGCGATCTCGATGATTCAGACGAAAATGAGGAAGAAAGAGAGATTGTTTCTAAGTTGTGTTTTCCCATGGCCGTCGATCTGTTCGATGGAATCGAGATGATAGATATCGTGTTAGAAGAAAGAGAGCACGACTTTGGAATACCCAAAGCATTCAGTACAGCAATGATCGTGTTGGCTTGCCTCAGCATGTTGGTATCTCCCTGGCAAATGGCAGAAAACAAACTCACTAAAGATGGGCCAAAAATTCGCTTCCGTACCGCATTATACCGCAGTATTGTTCAAATAGTTTTCGTTAATCTACCATTCTTGGTTATTCGTGCGGTGGTGTTCTTTATGTTTGGCAAAGACGAGTCCATCTTCATTGCCAAGAATGGCATAGCAATAGTACTTTCCATTTTGGAAATTCGTAATCTTCTCCGTTTACGTCGGGTTGAACAAGAAGACCAAGCAGTTTAGAAAAGGTATATTTTTGTAGCTCCTCGATTTCATCTTAAGATCTCAAAATCCACTTTTATTTTGTATTACATTTTGCAAGAGACATTCCCAGTTTAAGTGGTCTCCTGTAACCTGATAGAAGTAGACTATTTTTTGTTTCCTCTATAGTTTTATGTTTTCGGTTCTGCAAACTGTACATAAAGCTTACAATTACTTTTTTCATGTGTCTGAAATATGTCTTACAGAGATCGGTTTATTGTGTTGTATCTAGTCGTATACATGTGATAGAAAGAATTTTGAATTCTAGGGCGTGTGAATTGCGCAGACCTGGAAGCTAATTTTTGTATCAGGTGTACCTAGATGACTTTGCCTCAATTATTTTTCTCCTCGTGAATAATGGAACTATATTCTACATGTATCAGCCACGAATAGGACAGTGAATTATAAACTTGTGAATAAATTTACATTTATTCCAAGAAGTCCTGTGAGGTTAAACCTTCTAAGGAGAACTTGAAGTCTTGTATCAGTTGATGGACAATATCATTATTCTATATCAAAAGAAAACATGTAAAACTATAATATTAATAGTAAAGCAAGCTTATAACGGCAGAAATCACCAGAAACTACAACGGACACACAGGATGTGAGTAAGTTTTAATGATTTTACGCGTAAAATGTTTTCTATTTCGAAATATTTATCGTTGTAAATCGACCATATTTCGTTCCTCGTACAACTCCTTATAACGTTTAAATTTTCAACGGTCAAGTCCCAAGTCACTCAACGCGTGACGCTTTCATGAATTAATCATTGGCTTTTTCTCGAGATGTGAGTTTGAGCCTCCTGTGATGTATTCAACCCTTCACTAGATGTTTGAAGTATTTTAAGCAACCCAAGCATGGTCAGGCTTTCTGAAAACTCAGCGGGGCTCATAATTTAAAAGAGGAAGTAAATTTGTTTCCTTTAAAAAGCTTTGCGGGAGTGAAGCGGGGAGGGGATAAGGAGCATTGTTTCATGTAAACATACTTAACAGAGGGTGCCAACGTCACCATTCTCCCCTCCCTTTCCCCTCTTTTGTTTACGTTAGGTGACATAATAAACCGCAAATCAGGCACACCCACGCTATTGTGTTAAAACAAAAAATTTAATTTGCAATCCGAGTCCGCCGAACGGCTAAAGGATAAACAAACTACAAAAATTCACTACTTTGCAAAGGAGCTTAAAGTTGTCGAATATGCGATCGTGCTTTAATTGGACAGTTAGTCCATCTTGTTTCCTAGACTTCCTAACTAATCCTTACAACACTGAAAAATCTCCAAAATCCCATGAATGATCAAAATGCCATTCTTGGCGATGAAAATTGACGCATTTCTCTTGAACTTAAAGAACAGAGCCAAACGAAGGCCTAAAAACACACAATTACCGAGTAAAATCTGAAGGGTGATACGAATGACGGCTAAGTACTTGTAAATAGACGTGTCCAAAAACCTGTTCTCCTCCAATTGAAAATGCGAAAGCATAAAACTTATGCAGACGAAGGCAATGATAGCGTTCTCAAAGCTCCTGGGAATGCTAACTTCACTTTCCTCCAGAATAACTTGCAGCATTTCAATTCCGTCGAAGAGATCTAATGTTATTTGGAAGGCCAGCTTTAATACGAGCTCTCTGCCTTTACTTTCTATTTCAAATGTGTTAAGCAACAGCAACAAAAGGAGCGGTGTTAGGCAAAGGGTCATGGTCAAGACATCTGGTCCAAAGAACAAATCCTTCTCGATTTTTTCTTCGATTCGCCCAAATATTATTCCAATTATGGGCACTAAAGCAAGCCATACGTACAGACCCCAAACGGAAAATACCCAGGTGATGAGCTTTTCATTGCACACGACGAGAAACCAGAGAATCAAGGATGGGATGTAGAGAAGAAGTAAAGCATACCAGCCATTTTGATTTTCGTAGCGTGCTGGATACGAAGCGAAGGAGATATACTGAAGGATCATCACGATGAAGAAGGCAGCACGTGCAACCCAAGCCAACAGCGAATGAGTCATTTTGAAACTCAAATTGCTGTTGTTGTTGTTGTAGACTTAAAAGGACTGCTTATACACTGAGAAACTCCGTTCACCCCGGAATGAGGAATTCAAATTTATAATCATTCTAACGACGTGTCATTTGAACCAACTTCCTGCGTTTCTCGGAAAAAAAAGTTATCAAAGACCAACGGATTTCAAGTTTTCCTAGAAAGCCTATTGACCTTATGTACCCCATTATCAAAAATTCTTCCGTTTCTGTCACGGCAAATACCGGTAACAAAATTACTCAACTAACAAGGCCATTTGCATGTATATTATGCATCGATGTATCATTGCTCCCAAACATACATTTCAAGCCGCTTAGATCAATACAACCCCATGTTTCTTAAAGTAAAGCAGAAATGAGTTTGCCCGCCAATACAGACGGTTGTTTCTTCTACTTTCTTATTTGACGTTACTACTACTCAACCAACAGTGTTAGTTGACAAAGAAAAGCATGCACGGATTAGATAACGGACTAAAAGGCACCCAACCTACAGTAGAACATGAAAAATAAAGCGGCTAATAACAATAAGCTGTGACTTAAATGGCGATAGCCACGATTTTTGGTACAACCTTAAGTCGCCGTTCCTTTATCTTTTTATGTAATCGACACCAAATTGATTTCTATAACGACATTAGACATGTATGATTAACCGTTCTACGTTACCGCGCAGAAAATATTTATGCAATTTCGAAGAAAAGAATCGGCGGCTTTAATTTTGTGAATCAACTTTAGCGCCCTGCTAGAGGACCTCAAAACCGAAAAAAAAATCATACTTTAAAATGATTCAAAAAAGGGGGGGAAAGACAAGACATTAGTTTTTATTACATCCATTTTGGATGTAATAAATCACTGGTGTTCCTTGAAATCTGACTGGCTCCCATTGGTGCGATTTGTTCACAAATAGCACCTTTTATATCTAAGTCACATCTTTTATGAGGAAGCTTTATTTTATTAAACAGTCCGGGATCGTTATCAGATTCGCATGACCCAAACCAAACCAAAACAGTAACCAATCGCTGCTCAGATTCACGTTCATGTGACATCTTACTGAGGCAACAATAATATATTAAACTTGGCTTCCTAAGGCTGAACCACACTGGGTGTACTAAACCGACTGTTTTTCGACTGAAAATTGTGATTTTAGCTAAAATTGTACAAATGGAAGGGTAAAATTTCGGACCGTTATTAGATTTGAAAAAAATAATATTTTCTTCTTCTTTTTTCCACTGTGTAAATGAAAGGGTTGTTGAAAGCTTCTCGAAGCAAGTAAGAAGTTGGGAAATCTATATTGCTATGGCCGCATCCACTCCTTCCTCTTTCATTTCTGATTTGGTCAATGAAAGGCATCTCTCCGCCTCTCCGTGATGTTCCTCGCTGCAATGGAATGCCAAGCCTTAAGGTGGATTATGAAAGCGTTAATTGAAACCTATTCTGGACCAGGAATATGCAAGTCAAGAGGAAATGTACAAACAGAATGGTGACTCAGCTTTTGAATCTATTACAGCAGAGAGAAGAAACATATGTCTCCAACAATAAACAATAATACTCAAATTCAAGGGGTTCATCAAGGAACACCAACAGAGAATGAAAACTTTCTAAAGCTACAAAATGTCCTAGCCCTAGTGCAAGACAATTTATAGAACAAAGACTTCGAGCAAGACTTCGTTGGATGAAAGAATCTCAATGAAGGGCAAAATTAAATAACCTATATTTCATTCAAAACATGAAAGAAAACTTCCATTGGTAAATTATAGCATGGAGAAAAGTAAGAACAATTTGTTTCATAACACTTTTTGCAAAGTTGAAAATCATCTAATCATCAGAACATAAGAATAATCGCATAAAACTACCTCAATCAAGGCCATTCAAGAAGATTCATTATTTTCAAATAAGCAAATACAGTAAAAGTGGGGAAACAATTAAAATTGTGCTTTTGCAGCTAGAAACTAAATCTTAGACCCATAACCTGCGGTGAAATGAAGCAAAATGTTAACACCCAATGCCATGGTCGGAGCAGTTACACAGTTTCATGTAAGTCAACAACAATAATGGAAATGATGACCCAGATATGCAGAAGGAAATGTTCAGTGATTGAACATAAACTTCATGATCATGATCTTTCAGAATAAAAGTTCCTGCTCAGCGTGCATATCCTGTTTAAGTTCACTGACACACTGAATTAAATTGACACACTAATTTGAAGCACAGTGAAATATCTGTAAAGAGATATTAGGGATTTATTGAAACAAAACAATAAAATACAATACAAAAAGTCCAAAAGACCATCTAAAAAAATAACATAAGATATATTTATTTATGCTTTCAGTAAGTCATATGCAAGGCAGATGAATTAATAGTTCCTTGACACAACATGGAATTGAATTTGTTGGAAACCTAACACCTGCATCTCATTAATTTTCATGAAACGATACTTAAACAATTCAACACATTTGTTGTCTGCTTTTTCTAAATTGCGATTAAATCTGGACTTTGATAGATGGAGGAATAGCCATGAAGAGGATATGCTACAGTATGTACCACTAAAACCAAATTATATTTTTGTTTATTGAAACCCAATTTAGTTTATTTACATTTCATGTCTATAAAAAAACTACTTGCGTACTTGAATTGGTAAAAAAAAAAATTTCACTATCTTCTCTGAATAACATAAGGAACCATCATTGATTTTAAAAGGTTTCCTTACAAACTAAGTATAGTCCAGTGATAAGAAATCGTCAATTAGACAAAAAATGTTCGAATGATAAAAACAGAGATTAAAAGCATCGTAGAAAACACAACATGGCGGTTGGCGACTGATTAAGAGGTAAATCAAGACCACTCCATGCACTTGTTTTCCTGCAGTTTGCATCATGATAATTAACAGTTGAATCGAAAGAAAATAGATTGAAGAACAGTTCCAAAATTTTTTTTTGACTCCGGAAAAATTTATTTACTAACCTAAACTTTGGGGCAAAGTTGAAAGACATACCTCAATCAATCAAACGTGTCATTTCATCTGTCCTGTTACTTTTTCCTTAAATTTTCGCCCATATCACCCCTTGATGACCACCATCTTAAACACTCGCGAAGATAAGTATCTATTTACTAATTTCCAATCGAATTATAGTACATATGGCGCGTAATAACGAATAAACAGCGGACATTTCGGATTAGGTACGAAAATTGGTCAGCACAAAATGCAGACTGGGTGCAAACTACAGACCGTGAATTTTAAAGTGTTTTTACGTCTGATACGCGATAACATTTCATCTAACAACTAATCGAGGGTCACGCAATCGCTTTTCCTCGATCATCTTTCACGATCATTTGCGCTATTGTGGAACATTCCTTGCCCGCTTCTTTATAAATTTTGTTTTCAACAAGGCGGTCATTGCATTTGGCTTTTAACAAAGTGGCCAGAATCGTTCTTAATAGAATTTGAAGCCTTCGTATAGTCTGATAAATTCGTACTAACCCGCGGCCAACTAATGCCTTCTCAGGGTTGTCATAAAATTTTGAGTAACCGGACTGTGATACAAAGAAGGCCGCACTAAAAAGTTCTATTTCCATCGTTTTCATGTGATGAATTGATATTATCAACCAATGAGAACTAAAAAAAAACCAAAGTAATCACAATTACTAATCAGAACAAAAGCTTACCATGATTATTAACCAATGAGAACTCAAACTAGAAACAGGCAATCTCCTTAAAGCGCGGGAAATGCGAGTGACCAAGTCATGATTGGTTTTAATTTCACATTTGATTGCCAATTGTTTCTGTTTGAAACAGAAGCTAGCTATCAAGTCGATGGCCCCCATCGGGAAAGAAGCTATGAACAGTCTCGTTTGATTTTTTTGGCTGTAAGGAGACGAGGCAAACATTTCGTACAACGTAGAGATGTTTTAGCTTACGCTTTAACGCAATGACATTTGATTTTTTTATAGACATTTTTCAGTGTAGGGAAGAGATTGTTATATTCATTGAGCCACTTTTTCTTGCAGACAGTTTCAATTTTGGAACAAAGGCCGACGATGACTTAGAATAAACTATGAGAATGCTCGGATTACCAACTAACCTTGTTAGAGCAGTTTCCAACTGAGTATCGAAGTGCTGCTAGATTGCTTTTGTTTAGCCATACTTCGTTGTGTGATTGATCCAGAAAACTTGTGTCACAATTGGCAATCAAATGTGAAATTAAAGCCAATCATGACTTGGTCACTCGCATTTCCCGCGCTTTAAGGAGATTGCTTGTTTCTAGTTTAAGTCCTCATTGGTTAATAATCATGGTAAGCTTTTGTTCTGATCAGTAGTTGTGATTACTTTGGTTTTGATTTTCGATACTCAATTGAAAAGTGCTCGATGATTGGCTGGCAGTAAAGATCACGATAGATTTTTTTTGTAGGAAACACAGTTGAAATGCGCTCTTTGAGAATACAGTGTTTTCTATCCGTGTGTACATATCAGAACTGCGAGTAGAGTAATGAACTATTTTACCGAACTTTGCTGTATGTTTGGAATGAGAACTTGTTTTATATATAGTCGGAGGTTGAAGTAGCTTTTCTGCAAACTGATCTTATGTGCTGATGTTCTCTGCATTCGATGTTCTTACGTGTTTAAAAATTGTTTTTGGTTTAAATACGTATTCAGTAAGGATAGATCTAGACTAAACGGAACATAATTTTCATGCTGATGGATACAATTTCTGTGTTGCTTACACCTTTGTTTTTTCGGTTTTAGTGAATCGCATACAGCCAGAAATCTGGTGAATCTCAAGAGTACCAGCGGTTGTCCGTTTAGTTATCTATCGATCTTTTCGGTGAAGTTGTTATCTTGGGCATTGTAACCGACGGCAAGGAAAATGGTCTCGGAATTTCGAAAGAGTTTGGGACAGGATTGATCGTCATGGCTTCCTTGAGTTTTCTGTCGACCCTGTTACAAAATGGTGGAAGCAACCTCGGCAACATTGATGGATGCGTTTCGCGTAGTGAAAAAGTGGTGATTGCGCCTTAAACACAATCAAAAAAGAAGTATTGTTTAAATTTTTCTGAGAGGCAAGAAGGTTTCATTCATCGCTTTAGGGTCTGTTTGTGAC